AGAACTTAGGGAAAGCAAAAACGTTTGTATTTCGAAAATAAAAACCTTTCCTTTGAAATACTCCGTACATTTTCGAGGAGGACGCTCCTCGTCCTTCGACTTCTTATTTAACGATAAAATATTACGTTCGCTCTTGTTATAAAATTTTCCTTCAACAGTCACAATTCAATTACTGACTGAAATCTCCAGACCGTGCTTTTTCGATTCTCTTATACTCGTACTTAATTTTGGTCTCTGAATTCGGGTTTCACTTATTTATATACTTACAATAAGACATTTGAAGAAACTTCTAAAACGACTTTAGAAGGATTTGGATTACCCAAATTTCTCCGCAATCACCCGGCCTTTTATCTGTGTCCTCATTACAAAATTGTAATAATAATACATTATTACACATGATGGATACGCTCAAAATCTACTTAGATTGAAAAGAAAAATTGTGGCGAGACCTGGTTGCCTGTTCGAATCCTGACTGTGTCTAAATAGATCTTTAGTTTTTACTTTATACATGAACTTATTACCAGAATGCGACGCATAAGATAAAAAGAAAATTAATTGCAAATTCAGAAGTTTAAATAAAATAACTGTGATTATTTAAAATAAACTAATACTTTATATTGTTATATTGTCTTTTGTAGTTCATAGTTGTACTCGAGTACCTACCAACTTGAAGGTATTTTATTCAAAAATGTTTATGACATCACTCCTCTACGCATCTTACGTTTTGGGTATTACATCATTCAAATTGTTATTTTCATTTCATACAAGAATTCATGATTGTACGTGACTTGAACGACAAGAAATATATACCTACGTATTCGTATGTCCTAAACCTAACTAACAGGACAAGGTCAAAGTTTGATTTTATTTCAATTATTTTTATAAATCTTTTATTCCACACAGCTGGGACTTGAGCCCCGCTAGGATTTTAAGGTATTTGATATTTCACGAGAGAAAACTTTTATAGTTTTCATTTATAATTGCACTATTATTTATTGTTATAAGAATCTATTAAGATTGAAGGAAATTGACGACACAGGCAGGACTCGAACCGGCATCCGCAGCGTCCCGTGCTGCTTCTCTAACTAATGAGCTACCGTGTTGTCATTTTTTTTTTCAATCTAAATAGAACTTAAATTTTTTCAACGATGTCAATAAACATTTTTTTGTAAGTATGTTCCATCGAACTCAACTATCGGATTGCAAAGAATCAAAAAAGAATGTCGGTATGTACAAACGTAGGTGGATCAGCCAGCTATAACAGGTTATGATAAGTATATCTAGATTTTATTGGTTAGGTAGGATCTTGCAGGTAAATTATAGAAACAAAACACGAGCGGTTTAACTTTTTAGGCAAGAGCTCCCCTGCAATGTCAAGGTTAGGACGAAACAAAAGACAAAGATGTCATATTGGTTCATACAACAAATATTCCATATTATAATACACTTATTTTCTGTAAGGCCCAATGCACAATGCAAATGGAGGAAATATCCTCCATTTTTGAGATTGGTTTAAAGACCGTCTGGGCGCTTTTAATGAAGTTATTAGAGCGAAAGATATAAGAAGCGCGAAAAACTCGAGTTGTTTTTCTTCGGAAACATTTCACAGTTGCGCTGTATGCGGTTAGGTTGACGTCTTGACGAGAGCACTTCAAAGGAACTTTTAAAAGCTGCTTCGACGCATTTTCACCGGAAAATTTACTTTTCGCGTCTCATACCTGTATATTCAGTAATAGAATTACTTCTTTATATTTATTGATTCGCTTTTTTTCCGTTTACGAATAAAATAGCGAATGATTTGGAAATTTTATTACTTTATACTTTTTAGACTGCGGGAGTAGAATACACTAAGTCAAACGTCGCTTGATACAAGACTCCAAGGATATAATAGACCGCTGTTAGAAAACAATAGCATCGACTAGAGCTTAATCGGATACTCGTAATCCCCAGTTGGGGTCCAAGTAATCGTCTCCGGTGATTCAGGGGGTGTGCGGGCGAGCGTTACGAGCACATCCCTAACTCGGTACTACATGTGACGAGGTTCGTGTAAACAATGAAAACAACATTCAATGAAACCTTATTTGTACGAGAGCTAGCTTACCCTTGCAAAAATTCTGTCGTTTATCCAAAATGGCCGAAGATCGCTTATCTGACTTTATTTTGACGGTTAAAAGTATCGATGATGACAGATCAGTTTTTTACTTCAAACGGAAGTCCTTTATCTCCCGTTTGAAGGAAAAAATTATAATATTACATCTAAAAAGTCATGAAACCAAACAAGACTATGAAAATCTTTGCAGTTTTACTTCTATCAGTGGTGTAGTTTCCCGTTATTCCATAGAAATTTCCATTGAAGATTTTCCAGTATTGGCTCAACACGTTATAGGGTGAAGGGTGGTCCCCTCAGGCTGAGGTCGCCCCCGGTCCCGTAATGAGTTGATACCCTTCGAACAGATGGGGCAAACGCAACGCTAATAACGCAGAAAAAACTCAGTTTTATTCGACGAGGTCGAGAATTCAATTTTATAATTTTATTGGATAATATAAGCTTTACAGAAAGCGGAATACTAGTCAGCTCAGCTGTTTGTAATATTATAATAGTTAAATGTTTTTGCATAGCTTAAACCCTTAAAATTCAGCTTCCAAACTTCTGAAAATTACACTTTATTTGCGTTCGTCTTTTGAGAACCAAGAGTATATTTAAACAACCAACTTAAACAATCACGGTTATTCCATTATGAAAGTTACTACATTTTTGAGGCCTAGAAAGAAAACTATAAGTGATAACTTTTAGTTGTCTGTTCCTCAATACCACTTTTTATAATTTTGAGAACCATTGATATACTCTCAACCGCTCACCACAACCGAATGCCATTGTAAGCTGTCGAAAGATCTAGGCCAGTTCACGGCACGTACGACCCATCGCGATACCATCGCCTTTTGAAAATGCTGGATGCATTATTCCCTCGATGACGAAGCACTGTTGCCAAGTGAAGCGAAATGGGACACGATCTTATGTCTACTTCTCACGACCTAGACTAACGTTTGTTACTAGTTGCGGAAGTATGTCAACATACTGAGGAGTAGCTGGAGTACAAAGGCAAGGAGCTAACGAAAATAAGAGTGTGTTCACTTAACTTTATAAATTATCTCCACATAAGCATTCTGTCTATGAAGGCTCTGTAAAATAAGTTTGTATGTCAAAATAAGCGAAGTTTTCTTTTACAAATAAACGCTGGTAAAACGTACATTTATTTAATTGCTTTATGATTATTTTACAAAATTGTTTATAACTTTTTAATTGTGTAAATTGTGTAGCGATAAAAGATACATTTTTGCAAAGAAAATTTTAATTAATATATTAAAGTATTTTTAATTGATATTAATTTTTATATTTATTATCTCAGTATGTATAATATTTATTATATTGCCATTTGGCAATGAAAGTTTAATTTTATTTTTTATTTTCATTAAACCTGTAATTCTCCAAGATAAACTCCCTCGACACGACAATGAACAAAAATAAAGAAAATCCTCGCATTTCCCTAACGCCTATGATCGGAAGCCACAATTATTACTTCCTTAATGAGAAAGCAGTGGAATGTCAGGAGCTTTGCGACTTGGATTTATGCATGGACGGATGTAGGCCAAGTGAAAACCTGGTATGACTTCATCAGCAGAAAGCACTATGTGCCAAGCACACGAGGTGAGCTTCGAGCTTTACTGATTAACATGCAGTCTCATACTGCTATCATCAAACCAGATGACTTTTTCCACTCTAATATCTGCATAATTTAAATATAATTTAGCTGCGTGTGCACATAACATCGACATATTCAATCATCACGTCCAATAATAAAATATTCAGTAATTTTCTGATGTCCGTTGCGGGGTAATGTTTAGAGTTTAAATATAAACGCATTTCCGGTGCTCCACCCCATTTATAGTTTGTACAGAGTAATGATTAACAAACAACATCGGCTTTTATTTATGTACTGCTCTCTCTTTATTGGGACCGAGCAAATACAAGTTAAATCTTTGGCTCGTGTTTAGTTTGTCTATGGAATGCCGTAAGTAATTGTTGCGTTCGCACACAAAGTTTTTCACTCGCATTGTTTAACATGAAAAGTCTTTCCAATAGAGTGAAACGCAGTGTGGCAAGCGTTGCCTCTTGAGAGCGGAGGCTTTTAGCTGATTGCATCATCCTTGTGTCTGCGAATGACATCCGGAAAATCTATGAATGATGCACATAATGGTTATTCCTGTTTCACGGCTAATGGATGAGCCTTTTGTCGTCTCTCGCTTTTTAGGTAATATTCCGACTCGCAGACGTTCAAATGGAAATATTATTTCGAATAGCTGCAAAAATCTCTATAGCTGTGCCCGCGACTTCTTTTGCAAATGGCTTAACCAATACAAACAGAAGTTTTCAATTAGAATCAGTAATTCCTGAGATTAGCGCGTTCCAACAAACAACTCTTCAGCTTTATAATATTAGTATAGATTAAAAAATGACAGCTTATTTTCGCAGTGCTGTAAAATAGAGACTTTAAACTAAACTTGATGAAATAACCCGAAACATATCCTTTTATTAGAAATGTTCCTTGTCGGTTAATATTATTAAATATATATAATAACACATCGAATAATTTTCCACCGTGTTGTATCATACGCACACCGGGATATCAATTGGCAAACACTGATATATGAATGCGCAACACAATCGTATCATCAGCATTCCTGAAACCCTTTGACAGCTTATTGGGTTGAAAATTCAAAGGTAGCAATTCAGTTTATGTTAGTAGTATTCATGTTGTCGGGCGGTATTACCTCGCAGTCACCCGTTTATCATATCATCATATGTTACTTTTTCTTTAATAGAATTTATTATATATGGCTATACGAGTAAACACCTCAACGGAAAACAGGGAGTCCCCCCCCCCGCCGTTAAATTATTTTATTTTAATGTGACGGTACCTGACGTTTGTATCTTTTCGCAGCGTCGACTGACACAAAAGTCCAGCATCGCAGTCGGCGTGCCAACTCTTGTGATCCGGGGAAGGGCGATGCGGGACGCCTTACTCAGCGACCCAGCAGGGGAACGATTCCCGTGGCCGGCACCTCCTCTGAATGAACTGTTAAGAGGAGTCCAGTTACAAGGAGAGCAGAGCAAATCGTATGAAGAGTTACCAGCAGATGCCATCAGGGTGTTTTACTTTGCTGCGCATTGGGTACGCCATAACATAAGATGACATGTGAGAGTGTAATTGCAGTTTCAAAATACGACAAGGTGTGATACAAAGTACACAAACATTGCAAAAGTCTAAAAACAGTCTATTACTATAAATTTCATTAAATTTACACTTGTTTCTTCAGTAATGGCTAAAATTATTCAATCATATATTTCAGTGTCCACCGTGTCGGTCGTTTGCACCGAGTCTGTGCTCGACGCTGTCAGCTGTGCGCAAACGCAGATCTAAATACGCCAACACACAGCTAATACTTGTATCTAGCGATAGGTAAGTTTAATAAGAGCACATATCAAACGTTATCCACATATGGCAGTTTATGTTCATTAATCGTTTAAAACGCCAGTTCAATTTGAAAGACAATGGAAAAATTTGTAAACCAATGCCATTTGCAATTTAACATTGGATGTATCAAACAGCTGATTAAAAAGAGAAAATAAGCACATAACAGAATCCTTACAGGTAAAATGTCAACTTCAGTGTTTATGGTCATAAATCCACTTAAGTTATTCGAGCATAGAGTTCGTGGTCCATAAAAAAACTTCGTAAATCATGAGCTACCCTCAGCAGGGTATAAAGCAAATGTTGGATGGTTCAGAGCCACTTCTCAACCACCCCTATCTATTTAAAAAGTGTGAGTTAATGTTGAAATGTTTGCGTCGAGTGATACGAGGCACTCGTCTGAAGCTTTGACCTCTGCTTTTGAGAGTTTTATTTCGGCAAAGCTTAGTGGGTACTTAAAATTTGAGTTTATAAACATGCTTCGATATGGTATCTACGAGAGATACAGTGATTTATGTGGAAAGCTTTATATTTTCAATTATAAAAACTTTTACATTTACAATATATAAATTTGATGGGCTCCTTGGTCTAATGGTTGCCAGCTAATAATCAACGGGTCGTGGGTCAAATATATTTCTGATTTATCTGGAACATGTTGGACGTCGTCTGGAAATCTCGACATTAAATGGATGATGGGAATAGCGATATTCCGTCCGGGTCTCAAACCACTATCCACAGATGGAAAAGCCGTGAAGTTTAGTCTCGTTTCAGTTTCAGTGTGTGGATTTCCGAATATCCAAAGCCAAGATAGGTCGATAGCGCATCTTCATCAAGCGCTTGTTGTCCTCCTCTATCATAAAAAATAGTGTATCAAAGTGTACGTTATAGGTACGCTTTTAATATTTTGCAAAAGAAATTGCTCAAATTACGAACTAAAGTTAACAAGGTAAATTACATGCAGTTTGATGAAAAGCTCGCTAATCACCATTCCAACATTCACATTTTATATTTTTGTAAGTTTTGATAATTTTCAACAGATGCCTAATTAGGATCCATTTATTCCATACATAATATGTCAAACTTGTATGACATGTTACGGTACGGTTGATACGATAATCCTGTCATGAATTAACATACTTTAATGCTTCATTTAGGCATTTCTTTTGATTATTTCTATGTTATTTTAACAAGATTTGAAGTTAAAAAAATTGTTACTTATGAAATTTTATGAAAAATCTCAGATAAGAGAGTTAATTCGGTAATACGAACATAAAATGAGCTAACCTAATATTTGATGTACAAAAGAAACGATAAGATCTTCGGCAAATTACACAAAGTTTACACTTACTTACTTACTTTTATGCTATAAAGTCTTGAAGCTTTTCGATCGAGATCTAACTTTAATACTGCTTCAGAACTTTGCCGTCGTTATGTCTCGCCAAATTGCTCAAAACTTTTTTAATACCCATCGTAGGTCAACTAATATAAAACATTTACAACGAAAATCTTTTTACGCACTACAGAATTCGACCATTAAAAATAACTGGTGTAATATACATGCAAATACCGCGATTAAAACGGCGGCTACGCCTAGGGTTACCATAAATACTGTCCATATCCTAGAATTTCGGATTATGGAGTACCACATAATGTCTATTTGTTATAGTTGTCGCTAGTTCAAACTTCCTAATTTAAGGTAAGCGTCCACAGATCGGCATAGTAAGGATCGGATATTGTTTGCTTGTTATGTCCTAGAAGACAAAAATACATCTGGAGACATCGACAAGTGAACTATTTCCTTATTTGTTAAAGGATGACACCGAGCGCTTTAGATATTTTCGTATGCTTCAAGCTAAATGCTTGTGCACTTGAGAGAGAGTTCCTTTCTTTCTATTGCTTAATCTACGCTATTAATAAATTCTCAAGCGCTGGCTTTTTATTCGTATATTGAAATAAAGAAATCTAAGTTATTTATTTCATTCTTTTCACATTATAGGGGACTTGTCTTTAAATCTACTGTGATACATTTCTGTCAACACAAAACGACACCCTTAAAAAAAGGATGGAGTTCATAATCTCATTTAAAAGCTGTGACGTCACAAATTATTTTATGTAGCAGACGAAATCGATGGGTTACCGCCTGCAAACGTTAGCTTACATCTCCTTTACATTTATTATTTCTTTTCCACGCCACGTCTCGCTTTCGACGTCTGGGACTCAGTCGAAACACTTAAAACAGTAACTGTCGTGTAACATTATGTTTCTGAGTTTGAAGCTTTCTAGAGCTCCGTTTAGTCAAAAATATTTCAGACAGAAAATTAAACGTCTGATCTCTCAAACTTAATTTATTAGTTGGTTCATAAATATTTATTTCAACCCATTAAATAAAAGCCACTGAAAACAAATTAGTATATTTTATATAATTCTATATTCTCCCATTCAGAACCCACTTAGCGAAATACTAACAGCGAATTAAATGAGCCTCTATTATTCGTACCCACTTGGATTTTAGTTTTAATGAAATAACTTTAGTTTAAGCCAATCGAGCCATCCAATTACCTGAGCCACCCGAAGCACGGCTCTTAAAAAATATTTAATTTAATTAGAATTTGCTCGTTTGTCATTTTAACGACGTCGGTACAATTTTAATTTCCCACGAATTATGTTTCACTGAATGAGGTTTATACGGCGAGATAAAACAAAATTTTCTTCTTTTATGATGTTCTGTGCTTATAAAAGATTTTAATTAATACGTATAATAATACTGCATAGTAAGTTCGTTATTTAATTTTCCTTTCTGATTCTGTAGTTCTTCATTGTGCCTTTGATTTGAAAATATATGGTATTTGAATTGATTTTACTATAAAAACCTCTGCGCTAACTTAAAAGATGCAATGTTTTAAATAACATAAGGTTTTATCCGTATACTGCATCATATATAATTACAACAAACCACAGACGACGACAAAGACAGATATCAGATAATATAGCGTGTTATAAAAAATATTTTAGAATTATTGACATACGGTACACACATATAATACATACATACATATAATACATACGGTATTCCTTGCTATTTCTTTGTATTTATTATTCTATATTCACATATTATAGTACATATATGCGTATGTCTGTGCACAGCGATGCGTTCGTTTTGATATACCTATTTCTGTCAGACTCGTGGCTGCATCAGCGCAATTCGCCCCTTTCCATTAACCCTACCTGTCGTTCGACGAGACTTAGTGACGTCACGACGCACACGTTCCGCTCGGTTGTCGTGTGGCTGCATTGATAGCGTGTAGCGACAACGGGCGATATTTTGATGATAAATAAATAGAATAAATTAAATATATAAAAGACGCTTTAGTAAGTTCGTTTCTATCTAAAAAACTGCCTAGCTTACAAATTTAAAGTATATGTTATTACCAGATATTTGTTTTTGTCAATAAAATAAACGGTCCAATATCTTCATTATAATGGTGAAGAGTTATGATAGTTGGACAAATTAATAAACTGTGAATATTGTGTATAAATGTGAATATTTCTTTTTGAGATCGCCCGTTATATTTTCTGCTCTTCAATTCAGCGTGTCGCTTACACTCAAAGTGAACCGGAAAGGGAACTGTTTTCTTTGTGAGCTCCAATTTACCTGACGGCTGCGAGCCCAGAGTCGTTTTCATACGTCTGAACTCTGAGATTAAAACCTTTGTACAATTCAGATTGAAATATTCTCCGGCCTTTTGATACAACCGTGAGCCCGCCAGAGTTTCAGACTGTAAATACGACGCGGGTGAGCTACGGCGAGGACTTGAGTAATTGTAATCCAACAGCGACTAACAATAAAAGATATTTAAAAATTTATTAAGATTCGAAGTTAACGTTACGGGCGGAACTTGAACCGGCATTTATAGCGTTCCATGCTACTACTAATTGGGCTGCCGTGTCTTGTACGGAAGAAGTTGTACAGATTCAATTTAATCAGCATAAAGTTATCTTAACATCGGCAATATTTGATGACTAGGTTGTCGTCCTCGTCTTTCTTTGTTAATAGAAAGCTATTTTCGTGGATTTGGGTGTTGTGTGATCAAAACGAATATGACAAACAGCGCCCGATTATAATATAAAGTCCATTTGTCGAACCGTTGCGATAAGTAAACGCCACGATTTATCGTTTCAATAAAGCGAGGGTCGTAGTTTTGTATCCGGCTCAGGTTTGAATTGCTCCGCCGCCCTTTTATGGCCTTATTTACCCGGAACCCCGAGTATTTGCCCTGGATTGGGTTACAACTGTTGGCCTCTTAACCCCCCCCCCCCGTCATGTTTTTTTATTACATGAATACTTCTTTCTTTCTTGCTTGCTTGCTTGCGGATACCTTTTTAAATAGGCGTACGGATGAGAACGCACTAAAAAGTAAATCATCATCCATCGAAGTTGGTATTTGGCAAAGCTGGCCGGGTCCTTGCCGAATTGACGGACGGTGTCTTCGCGTTTCAAATAAGTTTAATTAATATGTATCGCTTTTATAAACCGTTAGTGTTCTATTCTAATGTGTACTACTCGCGTACAGTAATTAAAATAATACAATTTTCAAAATATAAAATGAACACCAAGGTTATTAAAATATCCTATAATCCATAGCTCAAGTCCAATTTAATTATGCTATGATAGTGCAATTATTGCAAAACTTTCTCTCTATAACGTATAAGTGTATCTCTTGTTACTCCGTTATCAGGCGCTTACAGCCCGGTAATACTCGTAGCTAGAAATTTATGAAGGGAAACGTAACCGTATCGGCCATTACACACTCGCGCAGTTTTCCCGACGACAACTTGCCGGGATCGAGAATCTTTCTTTTTACGAAATACAACACATAGAGAAGTCCTACAGAGGGGGTGATAACAAGAAAATATTAAATAATGTAGTTAAAATTGCATAAAAGTAGGTACAATAGCCGCGACCCGTTGTCACTGTACCACATATGTTTGTTAATTACAAGTTATAAGACGAAGCATTTTCCTCCTGTTTTAGGACATTTTATAAGACGAATGTTACCAAAACCGTTAGAAAGAATTATTAGAAAATAAATAAACAGCGTTTCTCAAGCCAGCAATATTTTTATAATAAAGTGCAATGAATCGGAGATATTAATTAAGTAATTTATATTCGAGAATATAAATGGAAACACTAGTCTTCCGATTACTACTAACTGTTCGTGATAACTCGATATGCCGATACTATTGATATAAATATTACAGGTAGTATATTTTATCAATACTTAAATAATAGAGGGTGGTTCTAATCCGATAATAGGAAAACATTCAACGTTTTTCGAACCGCGCAAAACAAGCAAACCCCCTAAACAACCCTGAACTTCCACAATTCCCTTTCAGCCCATTTCAGGGGAAAACGAATTGCTGGGCTTGAATAACAAACTACTTACAACGATTATAATGCATTAAGCACTTGGAACTTTTGCCATTTGCGTCGACGGTCGAGCAAAATGGCTTGTTTTGTTCGAGGAAAAATAGGCCCCGACAAGCAAACACATTTTTTATAATATATATAAAAAATGTGTTTGCTTGTCTAATATTAATAATTATAGTCATACTCTCTACGTCCGTCATTTAGTACAAACAGTTCTGTGCCTGTTTCACTTTTTACAGTGATAGGAAATTTTGTTTAATTAACTCCTCTAAGATATTTTAACAATAGCTCTAGTCCGCTGAGCTCGTCGCCTCTCAGTTACGGTACTGGCCCAAAACTTGCAACGCGAACACTAAAGTACTAATGATCGTAGTGTAAGGCAAGTTTGTTGGTAGTAACTTCTTTTTTAATTATCGTTGCTAATTGGGAGCCTTTATTAACGAAATGAAATTAAATCGACACCTTAGACACATTCCTTTCATGTTTTTTTCATACAGCCATGTAGGCAAGCTTGGGCTACACTTGATAGTAGGTGAAGTACGCTAGCCATATAGCATGAAAAGATCAATCTATTTTGGCCTTAGACAGCTTTTTCATTACGTTTCGTGATCAAGAGGGATGTCGATATTCCTACCAACCATTTCATATCCAGACTTCCAGACGAACGAACGTACCTCCTTCCGTCGACAATAATGTTCTTTTATCACGTATTGGTCTATATTATTCTAATGTAGTTTTTATCATACATAATACTGTTTTTGGTGCACAATTATTTGATAAAGATAATGTATTATACAATTTTGGTTTTACAGATCTGAGCAATCGTTCAAGCGTACAGTAGCATCAGTGTCTGCGGCGGGAGCCCTAGCGGTGCCTTGGTCGGCGAGCGAGTCTCGGACTGCGCTTCCGGCAGCGCTGGGCGTCGCCGGCATACCTGCCCTTGTCATAACTGATGGCGAAGGGAAAGTACTGACTTCCAATGGACGCCAACATTTGGCCGCTGATCCCACAGGACTGGTGAGACAAAAGGAGTATTTATAAATATATCTTTTTCCTTTTCTTAATGCCTCTTAGCACTTAGTTCCGTTATTACAGCATTGAATGACGTATTATTATATCTGCCAAGCCAATTTTTATTGTTACTTTGCCTTTAAACTTTCTGTTACAGCAAAATAAACAAATGTACATTTCGCATATTACAGAACTTCCCATGGGGCCAGCGTCCCGTATCGGTGGTGACGGAGCAAGCTTTGTTGAAGATGGCGCGACACCCGGCCGTCGTGCTTTTCATTGGTAAGTTATAATCTTTGGGCTTGCATCGACGTCAACGGGTCAGCTACAGTCATTACATCTTATAAATAAATTGACTCCTCGTTAATTTCAGACGACGAAGACTCAGAAATGGAATTCGCCGAGTCAGTCCTGGCCCCCGCCGCGGAGTCCTACTACGAAGAGTGCAGCATCCAGTACCCGGGCTTCTGTCCTTACCAGAACTCTTCCGACGACGAGACGATGGACTTCGACTACTCCACCACCAAGTCATCAAAAATCAAGAAGAAGTCATTCAGACACGTCATGTTCTTCATCGGCATCGACGGAACGGACAGCGCCGATATGATCAGGGAGCACATAGGGCTGGACGATGCGGTGCCGATGCTCACCGCTATAGATTTCCCGAAGCAGCGAATGGTGTCGATGAAGTTCGGTGATGAAATAACTACCGATTCGGTCCAGAATTTCGTCGATGCGTTTCTGAGTGGCAACGCCGAATTTAAACCGCTCAAACCGTACAGTGATAAGTGCTAAAAAGCTACTGTGAAAAGTTATCATTTTAAGCCATAAATAATGACTGCAGGGCGAGTCCGCTGTAAGATGTAATGCTACTTTCCCTACTGATCATAAAATGTCGTTTGCTAAAGTCAAATATAACTTAATGTTAATATCAAAGTGCTATCTTTGTTGAATGAGGGTGATAGCTATTTTTTGTTTGTTACTTTTTTCTTCTCTCTATCAACACTGAAAGAAGTAGCTGGATATACTGGAGACGATTGAAATATATTTATCTCTTTAACAGTGGAAAATGTTAACTCAATAGTTAGTATTTGGTCTCGATAATACCTAATATTCATATAGTGTACTTTACAAAGTAGAAAGAATCATTTTCATAAGTAGTGTTTGTCAATTCAGTCGTAATAATAATAAGTAGTTTGTTTGTATATTGAATGAAAATTTACTTAAATAGGTAGTTTTTACTTGTACCTACTATTATATAATAGTTTTTTTTAATGACGTTTTATAGTTTATTCACCGCAAGAAGAAAAAGTAGTCTTTTATAATTACCTACTGCTGAATTCTGAAAAAATGGTAGTAGTACCTGATATATACTATTTTTGTCCTTGGTGTTTTAACGTATCTAAGAAAAGAAATATGGCACTACTTTTATCTTGTTTTGGTGAATAAGCAATAGCCTCCAATATTATTTTATATTCCATAAGACTTTGACAAGTAGTATGTTAGTATAGACTCTTGTAGATTCGTACCGTTAGATTTATTACATTTGTATCTGTGATTAGTTTTGTATTCTCTAAGAAAATTTATTGTTAACCGTGCTCACATTAATAAAACATCAGTGCAATTTTTTAACACATCATAACATAAATAGTTTGATTATATTATTTGTTTCCATTTACATTCTGATTCCAACAAATTCCCTATAGACGAATACTTTGCTTTACACACAGCAATGCATGATAATGTGCTCATAACTAAAAGTACAATACGGCCGATGTAACTCGGCAGGCCTGATCTAAGCGTGAAACGCTGCCGTTTCTTCAAAAAAGCCGCGACGCATCCGAACCCCTGGTGGCCCGGACCGCCACTTCCGTTCGTCAACACACGCTGGAGAAGGCCGCGTAACGTCCTTACCGATCCCGACGACAATTTAACGAAAGCCGTCGACGCACTTATCGCTATGCGATCGGCCAACACCGGCGCCGATCGCCCGCAAAACCGCCTACGCCGGCGTAGGCGAGGTCACTCGCTACGCGTACCGCTCACCCGGGTGAGTTTCCGTCCAGCTCCTCAAGCTCCCACCCACATTGCGGCTGTCCAAGCCGAGGCCGATGCCCCCCTCGGGGCACCCTTGGTCTAGCCGTAAAACACGGCGAGCGCTATCGCGCTCGCCCAAAACGCCCGGTTAGTATTCGTGGCTCCTCGGGAACACAATACGACAAAGTCAATCCAAAAAAAAAAAAAAAAAATGAAACGCTGCGCAGAAACGTTCTTTACGATGTTAACGGTGGTAAGAGCGAGGGGCGCGGGACGAAGATCTAGGCTAGTGATTGACTCAATGTCAACACAATCGACCGCTTATTCTATCAAATTTTGTAATCGATTTTTATCGATTTAGATTGTGGATTGTAAATCGTATGAGATATTGTACTAAATGGATTGATGAACACAGTAAATAGTTTTGTTGATAAACAATACCATGATTACCTTAAAATCATTAAAAACTTTTTCATTATTGAACTACCTGATTAAGGGAATATGAGTTATTATTTATATAATTACTATTTATACCTCTTTAGGGCTTTTTATTCTCAATTTTAATAGGAATCGATTAAACGACACTCTCAAGGATCGCGTATGGACATCTTATTTGGTTCTTTCGTAAAGCTTCGTACATATTCGGTAATGTTCGGTAAACAGTAGTGCGACTCGGTCACTCCTTGGTGTTAATTTCGTTATCTCTGTCTTGAGCGCAGTCCGTTAGAAAAGTGATTGTTTATTGTTAAATTTAATATTATTATTTCTCTTTTGTTATATTTTTGTTTTGTCTCTGTATTTTAGTGAAAGATAAGTGTTCGTAGCCCTTATTCTCTTGGAATCAATTATTGGTATGTTACTTTTGCTTGCTATAGGTAAAAAAAAATATTTACCCCAGTAACGAAAATGAATGGCATGCGCCAAAGTTAGTCTAACCTCTGTTCAGAGCTGCAGAATTACGTTGGCCGTATTATAAACATGTTATTTTTAATGGTCTTTTATTTTTTAAACATAAAAAGAGCGGGAGATCGTGCAATGACAGGTAATTTTCAATTTAATACAGAGTAGAGATCATAATCATGCAACAGAGGGCGCTAGAAGTCCTTTCCACCGCCATTATGGGCATATTATTCTACTTCTACTTGTACTTTTAAAACAAATACATATTTAACTTACATTATCATTAAATTGTTTCCTAAATGCTTAAACATTCTTTAAATAATATTATTCCTCAATAGTGGTTCTATTATACCCATAACTAATATCATCTACGAAAGGGTTGATAAGGACTATGAACTCGGCATTGATATTTTATCTGTGACAGTAGGACGCTTTGTCTACGGTTCTTGCTCTTTGGATCTTTCATCGAAATTCCTAATTTATACTTATAGACGCCATTATTGCGAAATACATTATTTGTTTGAATTTTCACGTGCTAATACTTGAATTATAAATATATTCTCAAATTCGTCTTATACCATGGCTGACAATGATGATCTTTTGGACTACGAAGACGAAGAGCAGGCGGATCAACAGACCACCGATGGAGGCACCGAAGCGGCGCCCAAAAAAGAGGTTAAGGGATCCTACGTATCTATTCACAGTTCCGGCTTTAGAGATTTTCTGTTAAAACCCGAAATCCTACGAGCTATCGTCGACTGTGGTTTTGAGCATCCGTCTGAAGTGCAACACGAATGCATCCCCCAAGCAGTTCTCGGTATGGACATTTTGTGCCAAGCCAAGTCCGGTATGGGTAAGACAGCTGTGTTTGTATTAGCAACGTTGCAGCAACTCGAGCCGTCAGAAAATCACGTATACGTCCTCGTAATGTGTCACACGAGAGAGTTGGCGTTCCAGATCAGCAAAGAGTATGAACGATTTTCCAAGTACATGGCCGGCGTCAGGGTGTCGGTGTTCTTCGGTGGAATGCCGATTCAAAAGGATGAAGAAGTACTTAAAACGGCATGTCCACATATCGTTGTCGGAACTCCAGGACGAATCCTGGCCCTGGTTAATAGCAAGAAGTTAAACCTGAAGCACCTTAAGCATTTCATTCTTGATGAATGTGACAAAATGTTAGAATCTCTTGATATGAGACGAGATGTACAGGAGATATTCCGAAACACGCCACATGGAAAACAAGTAATGATGTTCTCAGCCACACTGAGCAAAGAAATTCGACCAGTCTGCAAGAAGTTTATGCAGGATCCCATGGAGGTGTATGTAGATGATGAAGCTAAGTTGACATTGCATGGTCTGCAGCAGCATTATGTAAAACTTAAAGAAAATGAGAAGAACAAGAAGCTGTTTGAACTGCTTGATGTATTAGAATTCAACCAAGTGGTTATCTTTGTAAAATCAGTTCAAAGATGTATTGCTCTAGCACAGTTGCTGACCGACCAGAATTTCCCGGCTATAGGCATACACAGAAACATGTCCCAAGATGAGCGCCTCTCACGCTATCAGCAGTTCAAAGACTTCCAGAAGAGGATACTAGTAGCGACAAACCTATTTGGTCGTGGAATGGATATTGAGCGAGTTAATATTGTCTTTAACTATGACATGCCTGAAGATTCAGACACTTATCTCCACAGGGTAGCAAGAGCAGGAAGATTTGGTACTAAAGGTTTAGCAATTACCATGGTATCAGATGAAAATGATGCAAAGATCCTTAATGAAGTACAGGATCGTTTTGATGTTAACATCACGGAGTTACCAGAAGAGATAGAGCTATCTACTTACATTGAGGGCCGATAGTTCTATAACGCCACTTCTCTGACAAATTATTTTATAAGATTAGGTTATAAAAGCAATGAGTGTAGAGTTTAAAACATCTGTGTGAAAGGTCAGTTTGTAAGTACCTCTTCAATAAGACTAATTAAATTACTTTGGTATTCTACTTTTTGTTTTCTTTTAACTTCATCAGGAAGCATTTGTTTATAATAATTTTGTTGCTTATAACATTCTCCAGAATTTAGTGCAAACTGAATTAATGAACCTACCTCTCTCAATTTTCCCAATCTATATAAAATTTGTTGTTCTAAGGATTGGTGATGATTTGATCGAAAGAAACCAACAAAAGATTTTATTTTGAAATTAACTTTATTCATATTTACTTCTTAATTATGATTAATTCACTTAGTAAAATATTTTCACTAAGGTTATAATAATAAAAAAAAACATAGAGTATTAAAGGGTGCATAAAAATGCAGTTATTTCCTAGAATAAGTGACCTTTCTCCCCCATGTAAACTTCTTAATTTCTAAACATAATGATTATAAAACATTTTTTCATGAGTAAGATGTGTAATCATATCTAGAGCCCACTTTGGTTGATCTCCTGGTACCATGTGACCAGCATTTCGGACCATAATTTCCACTAACTTGCCAGCTTGCTTTACATAACCGGCCAATTCACCATCCACCTTCCATTGATACCGCTTTGCATTTTTGTAATCATCTGCCCCAGTAAAATTAAGATTCCTTAGATAGTTAAGAGTATTAGGATATGCAACAATAATATCTATTTGGCCATTGTACACTACGACAAAATAATGATCAAGTAATTCAGAAATCCATGGTGCTACAGACTGCATCACATCAGCCTTCAAATGTTCCTCCACTGCTTTACCATCATTGAACGTGAGGTTTCCGACATGAATCTCTTTCCTTACAAATGATTTTTGAATCATTGGTCCAAAATCTTCCCTTGTGAAATAATCTTTAGTGTGCAGGAAGTTAAAGTAAAATTCAAAACCAGTCATATTGTAGAACAAGCTTTTCCCATCTATTAAATCTCCATTTAACAATGTATCAAATGCTTCAAATGCAGGTATCCACTGCTTTTGCTTTATTAAAGTAATAGCTTTGCTTTCATAATCTGCGAAAACTTTAGCCTGGTTCCAATCCAATAAGCCGATTTGATACAAGTATTTGCTGTATACCAATTGATGTTCTGGATCACTTAAACCGTTACCGATGGCTAGAGCTTTTAAGTTAATTTTGATTTGTGCAGTGGGATTCTTTTTGTGGATAGTATAGGCGAGAGAAGGAACATATTTACCAGCATAAGATTCTCCAGTGATAAAGAATTTATTTTTCTGCAGTTCGGGGAACAACTGGAAGAACTGTATGAGAGTGTTGTACAGATCTTCGCCCACTTGTGCCTGATTTGTGCAATAACCTTTAGGGTCCCTCGTGAAGCTAAATCCCGTACCGACAGGGTTGTCGATGTAAATAATGTGGTGACTCAGCGCCCAGGTGTACTTGCGCCTCTCGAATGTTCCATCGCGAACTCTGAGCGGGCCGTTTTCTGTGAACAGTCCGAAAAGAGACGAGGCTCCGGGGCCGCCTTGCAGCCAAACAATGACAGGCGCGTCTTTTTTGTTAGGCACCATCGCAGGGAAATACCAGAAAAATTGATTGGAGTCATATTTCTTGTTAACGGTAAAGAAACCTGAGTAACTCTTGATCCGCAGTGTCTCCGTAAACGCTACGCGGGCCAATCGCCGTCCCTCCGTTATGTTCCCGCTTTCCACGTAAGGCGTCAAAAACAACGGTGCTCCAGGATCGCCGCCGTCATGTTCTCCCAGATTGACCTTCGGGTACGGATTTACAAAGCTTTGAACCGATAAAGCTCGAAAAAGCACTAGAAACAGCAGCAAATAACCCATCTCATCCACTGCCAATATAGTCTACTGAGGTAATCAGAAATGCTTATGTCCTAAATTGAATTAGCACTGGCTTCGAAGAGTCGCAGCCAATCGTAAATAATATTGTTATCTTTATTCGCAAAGGTTATGACATGGGAATGTAAACAAAATTGGCAGTTAGTCGGTTAGAACTTGGCGGCCACTAACAACAGAGTAATTGTGGTCAGACTTTCGAGGCATTTATCATGCCATGACTATTATTCCAGTAATATTTTTCCTATATATCTAAATAAACAATTTTTTTAAATAAATAAATATAACAGTTATACTTTATAACGAATTCCTTAATTGATCAAGAAATATCCCAAAATAACTTAATAAAAGAATTATGAAACAATTATAAGACATTATAGTAGTTTCTGTAAGAAAGGTAGTCTGCGTTATAAATGTTTATGATTTATGAATAAGTACCTAACGAAGACGTCTTCGGTACCGTATTTGTGTTATTTGGAGTTGGAAATAAAATAGGTAGTGGAATGTGGACTGTGCAATAATTTCAATCTAACACCGAGAAATGATAAGTTTCAATTATTTCCGTCTTAGCATAGCTATTATATTATTTAATGATGTAGAAAGTTTGTTGTTTCCTAATGTGTATCCACGAATAAATTTACAAGCTAAGCACAAGCATGTGGCAGGAGATCCTCTAATACTAACTCCTTATCTAGAAGAAAACCAAATTCAGTTGGCTCAAAACCTTTCACGCGTCCAATTGACGGAAAAAATTGGTTTCGCGAGTCATGCTGGCTTTTTCACAGTCGACGTTAAACACAACTCCAACCTGTATTTCTGGTACTTCCCAGCTTTTAATAGAAACAAAGGGGCTCCAGTTGTCTTGTGGTTGCAAGGCGGCCCCGGAGGCAGCTCACTATTTGGATTATTTGCTGAAAACGGTCCTTTAATAGCCAAACCGAGTGGCTTTTCCAGAAGAAAATATCATTGGGCACTCGAAAACCATCTAATTTTTGTGGATAATCCTGTTGGAACTGGGTTTAGCTTTACACAAGATGAAGAGGGGTACTGCCAAAATGAAACATGTATTGCAAAGGGATTGTATAACTTCCTTCAACAGTTCTTCATGTTGTTCCCAGAGTTAAGGAATAATGATTTCTTTATTACTGGTGAATCTTACGCAGGGAAATACATACCTGCATTAGGAATGTATATACATAACCAAAACTCCGCTTCAGAGCAGAAGATTTCTTTAAAAGGTATGGCGCTAGGAAATGCATATTGTGACCCAATTAATCAGTTAGATTATGGGAGTTATTTATACCAAATTGGATTGATTGATACGAATGAAAGAAATTTATTTTATGAAATACAAACAAACATAACAGAATTAATAAAAGCACAAAATTGGATTAAAGGAGACATACTCATGGACCACCTAATGGATGGAGACCTATCTAATTTCTCATATTTCAAAAACTTTAGCGGCTTTCAAACATACTATAACTTTTTGATGGAAAAAGTTGACATAGATATACCGGCCTTCCAAAAATTGTTGAATAATGATAAAGTGCGGAACAGTGTTCATGTCGGTGGCCTACCTTTTAATGACGGACAGAAAGTCCAATTACATTTAGTCCAGGATATTTTGCAGTCTGTTACATATGAAATATCACAGCTTTTATCAAAATATAGGCTCCTATTCTACAATGGCCAACTAGATATAATTGTTGCTTATCCATTAACAGAAAATTTCTTGCAAAAATTAGATTTTTCCGCTGCAGATATATATAAAAATGCTGTGAGGAAGATTTGGAGAGTGGGCAAAGATCTCGCTGGATATTATAAGCGGGCAGGAAACTTAACAGAGGTTTTGGTCAGAAATGCTGGCCATATGGTGCCCAGCGATCAACCGAAATGGGCTTACAATCTCATTTCTAGATTTATTAAAAACAAAATATAGCTTTAACTAGTTAATATTATGTCACTATGAAAAGTTAAGTTACTTACACTTACAAGTAATTTGTTTTAGCTTTATAAAAGACAACACTTGATCAATACTCATTTAATCAAATTGCGCATTAATTACAAATAAATAACAATTATTGTACTCATTACTACCTAACTTTTGAGTTCATCACAATTCATCAGATTTCTTCATAACAGGCAATTAGTACCTATCAATTGATGCTACAATGTTTCAAATTATGTATATTAAAATCCAATAAATGGTTGAAGTCATTCTTTGCTTATTATATTAACTGGTTTATTTTGTTAAAATCATAGAAAAAATATGACTAAATTTTTTCCTATTTACTAGACTGTGATGTATTTGAAACTATTTTTACACAGGGCTAAGAAAAACTATTTTAAAATATTAGTGCAACTTTGAAGACACAAGATGAATGCATAAATTAGATATTTTTTTTCTATACTTAGTCATTTAACGGTTGTCGTTTATCACACATGGTCATTATACATATTTACAATGCGATTATATATTAAAATAAAATAATTTTAGATACATTCTTACGTAGGTTTTTGATTTTGTCTTAGAACTTACAATAACGTTTTTTTAATATCTAATTGGTTCGCAATTATAGCAAAAGCGCCAGTTCATTCAATTATAGGAATTATAACCCTAAATGTCCGTTGTCAATAGTCATATTATAGTCAAAAATTTATTGGAGAATTTAATTGCAGTCAGAATATTGCACTGGGTAATTATTCATAAAAATCGCATTGTAAATAAATGCATTTGCTCAAAATATGTTCGGAGGCGTTATAATGTAATATGTTATTTGCTGTCTATGCCAGCCAATTATATTTTTGGTCACGTTTATTGTAATCATAATTTCAACCGTCATTAATATTTCATACCAGTCAAATTCAAAGAGTCTTTTATCGCTGCACATTAGGCCAGCAAAGCCGTGAGCGCGTCTAAGAATTGTGTCCGTTGAGACGTCGGGAGCACTATCACGGATGTGTCGACGTAATCCAGAACAACCGAGATCCCGCTCTTTTGAGCTGCCTGTTCAAATGCTGCACCAAATAAGCTGTAACAGAAATTACTCTTTAATACTTGGCGTTTTTATTAAATTCAGTAACAGATTTATGAAAGTCTTTTCGAAGGCATCCAAATATCTGAAAGCGCACATACTTCCGAGGTTCCTGGTCGTATCTCGGCGGCAAGCCTAACAGCAAGCACTGTCCGTCAGGCAGAGGTGCGCTGGCCAGGATAGGTCTAGCGCCAGACGTGGCCGTGGCTATCCAGCGAGCAGCTTCACCCAGCCAAAGAGGACCTCGGACAAGTCCAGCTTCTGATGTACCCTAAAAAATAAGTACAAAGTGTTGTCATTTACGGCTATTGTTAAGTGTAGGTTGTACATTATGTTTTGTCTTTATATGTCTATAATAAAATTAGGCACCCCGATAATGATTAATCCTTCCCACTTACAGGAATCGCATAATGTATATGTCCTTCATATGTTATAAAGCAAGTGCTGGTAACTTTTGATGAACGATAAATAGTTACCTCTTGCACAATGAAGTAGTTGAAGGGCCCAGCTAGGAGCAACCCTCGGGAGGAAAGCGTGGAATGTGCTAGACGCGCTACTGCCTCCAGAGATCTCCGTGCAGCCGTGATGCCCACTTTCAGAGGTTCGTTCTCTCCATTCACTTGGAGGGCTGAGAGTGCCTTTTGAAACCCAACCGCTTTTGGTAATGTTTCCTTAAAAATTCAAAGGTTACATATCGATGCGTTATGGAATGACATTTCTTGTTACTTCTAAAGGCAAGTGCTGTTTGGGTTCCACCAGAATTATGGTAGAAATCTCATGTGTCTAACAAATCTTACAAATACAACTCACATGCTCAATGAGCGCCATAATAGCGTAGACCGCGTCCAAAGCGGCCATTGGGGGCGAATGGGGCTTGTGGAGCAGAAAGGTGGGGCGAGTAGGGATGGGCAGCTTGTGTTTAGGGGCTGCTGTTTCCAGGGCTGAAAGAAGACAGCGACGTAACTCCACGTCCATAGATCGATAGGCCTGGCGGGCTTGTTGCAGGGGGAACCTGTTTGAATGTTATTTATATTTTAAAGAAGACAGGTGAACATTTTTCACAAAGACTTTTGTGCAAAACCAATAAGACCACGACTATACAGCTAATTCATTTTGTTAGACCAAGAGTAACTTGAACTTTAGGTTCCCCTTAAGGTGCAGCTAACAAATGATAAAATACAAGACTTGCCCCATGTCAGCGAGCAACTGCCTCAGACGACTGGCACCGGAACTGGCGTGCAGCTTCAGCTTAGGAGTGAAGAAGGAGGCGTGGCTGAGGGCACCTTCCACAGACCACCAGCGGTACAGAGGCAGCCAAGCGTCTTTCTCCACTACGACATGAGCTGTCTGAAAAGTTTAGAAAAGTAATAATTATACTACAATCATATAAACCACTTCAACATTGAAATGAAATAAACCGCTGATATGGATACAGAATGCTATAAAAGTTTGAACCATAATTGACCTAAAATAGAATAATTAATCCATTCCAGTACAACTTAAGAAATTGTGCAAAATTCATTAAAAATTTCTTAATTATTTCTGTACTTTTAAAATGGGTAAATAAATTAAACCTAATTAAAAATTGTCCCTAAGTTAATAATGAATAAGCCAATATAATGAACAACAACATTTTCTGTAACTATCAATACATACTGTGCTATGGCTCTGAGCATTAAGACATCTATTCAGAGGTTCAGCATCAAGGAGGCATTGGGCCGGTGGACGTAAATAGAGGGCCGAGTGCGCGGCGCAGCCGACGGCCCCGGCCCACAGTGCGGCTGCATTATTGCGTGATGCGCGAACAGCGAGCTCCAGCGCTACACAGGAACTCTGGAATTAATCATGAATTCATATTCTTGCAAATGTTCTGATTTGATTTCCAGGAAAACATTGCAAAGCTTATTATTAGCATGCCATATTAACTACGTAACTCACAGGTTTGCCATAGTATGAGAATTGTGTATAATTAAACATAAGTGTGTGCCGCCTCTCTTCCCATGCCTTCCTATCCCTCCTACGCTCCACCATGGCCTCCAGCCTGTCTGCTCCTTGAAGGTTCTCGTCGGCTTCCTGAAAAATATGCACAATAAACACTATTCAAATCCAATACAGAACAAACCTTCTGGGAGTAAAAATGCTTACTTCTATATAGACTTGTAAGGACTAGGTGTTATACAAACATTCAAACTGTACTTGCTATAATTGTAACAAAAGTGAAATGAATAACATTGTAATTCCAAACTTACTGATGTAGTAGTACATATTCTGAATGATTCATTAATTACCTAATGTTTAAACTTACTTCTTCATCTTCATCATCTCTAAATATATCATCAAAATTTGGAATGTTCTCTTCGTCATCCTTATATACTAGTCGCACCTGTAAGATTTATTGTAATAAGCCTTACAACAGTAACTGCCGTTGCTACAATAAATTAATTTCAGAGGTATAAAGATAAGAGCTCACCTGTCCATCACTGTACACATTACAAATATCAGTGGGTTTGTGGGAGTCAAGGACAAAAAATATAACATCTTCATCTGGCTGCAGAATATCAACCAGGTCTATTGTTCCACCACAATTTACTAGTACAACAAATTTAATCTCCTCATTATTTTCTTCGTAAGCGGTTTTTAAATCCGAAATCCCTCCCACGGGCACTAACGTGTACAAAATATTATCACATTTGAAAAGATCCTGGAGAATCTTGCACGTGCACACCGCATCCACATCATAATGGACTAGTAATAAGACGCGCTGCAAATAGACAAAAATTAACAATAACCGAACAGACGATCAGAAAACAAGGAATACATTTTACTAACGTTCCCAAGAAGAGTATTATAGAAGTCATTTTTGATATCTTCCACGAACATTTTCTAAACTCCGTGGAAGGGATTAAATATTAAGATATCATTTTTAACTTTAATAAAATAAAAAAAAACGTTAAGTTCTATCGATGCGGTCCCAGTGTCTGCTGAATTTTCATAATATTTGACAATGGAGATTCGGGGTTGTGCTTGTGACAATGACACAAACAACTTTTCGCGCCAAAGTGTAATTCAAGTCCACATTTTTTTATTAATATTTTATGGCCTGGTAACGAGACTTTAGGCTAAAACAATCTCAATGACACATATCCACAGATATTGGGTATCAAACACGACTCTATTCGGCAATAGAGTTGTATTTTATTTTTCTCAAGAAGCACTGAGAGAAGCAAACTGATTAATAACTATAGTGAGAACCACTCATAAAAAATGGGTTCCCATTTACGATAGCTATGAAAGCCCAAGAGAACCCTGAAATTGCCTTAACCTAAATATAACATACATACAAAACTATGCTTTTGCATTAATCATTGAAGATATAAAAAATACTAGTGTAATGTGTTTACAATAGATTTATTTTTATTAACGTTATGTTATTACAGATTGTCTTCTTTTATAACATTCGAAATGATGTTGGGCAATCTTATATGCAATTGTATTAGGTCTTATTAAATTATTAGTTAAGGCTCTATGATAAGATTTTAATAACGATTCATCTGTTTCTTCAGGATAAAAGTAGTCTTTCAATTCGTAACAGAGCAGTGCTTCTGGACAGTCGAGGGCTCTAAGACATCCGGCATACTCTGACCATACATGTTTTCTCCATTTCACATTATGCCTCTGAGCAAGTGGAACTAGGACACAAGCTGCAAAATTGGGATCTCCGTAGCTGACAGATTGAAATTGTTCCAAAAACTGAGTGTAAAAGTCTTGAAAATTATGTAATCCTTCTAACGGTTTATCAAAATCAAACTGTGTTCCTCTTTTAAACAATATTTCTGTACACTTTGATAACAAATTCTTAATATTTGCATCAAGAAATAGTGAAGTATCACACAAATATACACACATGATTCTACAAAACCTGTCAGTTATAGCAATATCATTCAAAATATCAGAGAAGCATAACTCATTGAACAAGATCCATTCTAAACTACACCGAATTATAATCTCTTTGTCCTTTGCTTTCTGTTGCTCTACTTTAGTTGCATGAACTCCTGCAACTGATGCAGCTGGTGTCTCTTGACTCTTACTATATAAAGTAAGAATTGGTATATATATCCAATCACGTGGTAAAATAGGCTCTTTCCACTTCTTATAAGATGTTAAGTTACTTTTTGCCCCTTCACATTTTATGTTAATTACCTTACTATAACATAGACTTATGTCGTCTATGTGGGATAAAAATGTATGACCATCTGATAAAGTGACAAGATTAAACAATCTCTGGGCTGAAAACCATTCCTTGTTGAAAATAATATTGCAAAACAAAAATTCTAGCTCGCTCTGTTTGTCCATCTTAAGTATAAAGCATAGCTTATTTGCCACCATATACACTAGGTCTTTATATGACTCTGAAACATCTGATGCTATTGCAAGTTTCAAAACATCTATCAGGAAGTCCATTTCCATACGAGTGAACCAGTTGTTAATTAAGCATAATTCTGTATTACAGAAGTGTTTCAAGTATGACAGAGTATGTTTTAGGAATAATACAGACATATCCTTATCTTTTGTAAAATATAGCAGTTCATAAAGTGATGCTAGGACTGGTATGGGAGAAGCCACATTTAAAGTTGGTAGCACTTTTTGGGGTGTGTCAATCACACATGTACCCAAAGACATTAAATTCTTCACACGATGGACAGCTGTATCTTCTATACCCGATAATAAATTAGAACTGTTTCTTAAGTTATTCATCATAACTTTGAACCCTTCAGATTTACACAAATTTAAAAGTGCAGCATTGAGTGCATCAAGACTGATATTTTCATGAATTATGACAGATGTGAAACAGTTCAATATAGAGCATATTGTCCTTAAGTGTCCACATGTATAGGCTTGCATTTGAGCTAACTGTCCCAACCATTTCTGCATTCCTTCCCTAAGCAATGGATATATTTGTTCTTTAAATGAATTTTCTTGTGAGTTGATTAAGCAATCAACTAATTGTAGCACAACTGCAGCATGAGTTGTAGATAAAACTGATGAGTTTACAAATATATCAGTCCCCTGAACGTGCCTGTGTAAAGTTGTTGATATCACTGGATACAAAGATATAACATTTTCTAGACCCAAATTAAAGTGCAGTAAATTAGATAGGATACAGTATGCCTCTATTTGTAACCTTAATCCATAAGCACTATCAACTCCTGAACTTACATAATCTGACACTGGCTTTAATATACTGTACTTTGAAACCAACTTTTCAGCGACTTCATAGGATGTTAAAGATAGCACCCGTATAAGTTTCAGAGCGGCAAGAATGGGTCTGCCATTGTATAATATTGAGGGATCAAATAAGAAATTGACACTTGAACTTGGTATAAAGTGTTTGGTTATTGTGTTCATTAAATGATCCATCTGGATGATTGTGCTGGCTGTTTCTATGGAATCTCTAGCCAGTCTTATCATTATTTGTAGTGAATACTGGACACAATTAAAACTAGGCTTGATTCTTTCTAAAATATAGTACAACCTCTGTAGGATATCAGTTCTCATAAGTGTTGCTATAATGTCTATTTCCGCTAAATGAAAGTCTTTTAATTCAGTCTCTTTTGATTCTAATTCTTCTATCTCTGACTTATCATTTTCTAGGCAAGGCAGTATAGTTCCTTCTTTAAATCCAATCAAAGCATCCAGTGAAGCTTCATCTATTCTATTATACAGCAAATTCCTCATTGCTCTTAAAGCTGGCTCCAAAATCATAACTTTATTTTCATCCATACTCATTCTTATAAGAAAAAATAATTTAGTGATAGGTATATCTATAATGTTTTTGTAAGTTCCTACACTAAAATGTTCCAAGATGCCAGCAATAATATTTAAAGCCACAACTCTTTGCTGTGCCACGGCAGATCTCGAGAGTTCTATAATTTCAGTTAAAGAGTAGCCTGGTCTGTGTGGTTCTTCACCATGGTGAAACAAAGGTTTAGTTTTCTCATTATATTCCAGACTATATGGAAGTAGATAACCACTAAAATCAAATCTAGCTTCATATGGTTCATCTGACTTTGCCTTACTTTTATTGATTCCTTTTATCCACTGCAATTTGTCTGTTTCAAGATGATTGAAATGCAGCCACTTATTGATATTAGGATGTGAAAGGACATCATTTTCCCACAGACTATCAGTATCTGTTGTTTCTGAAAGATCCGGTGTTGATTCCTCATAGTCTATAGGTTCCCTTTCTATTTCAACTTTATGCAACTTCTCCATTTCAATCTCTGTTTTTTTTCTTTTGGTCTGCATATACTCTATTAATTTTGGATCTAAAGAGTAAAGTAGTTTCTTTTTTTCCTCCAATATCTCTCTTTCAGACATGTTACTTAAAATCTTTACATTTTCGTCATGAATTGTATCTGCATCTTTATGTGTTAAAAGAAAACTTTGCTTTGGAAGATTTAAGTCCTTTTGTTTAGAGGTTAAATTAGATGATGTAACATCAATATCCATTAGTGTTTCATGGCTTACTATATATTTTGCACTTAAACCAAGTGCAGGGTCCCGTTTTGTGATAAGAGGAAAACCTTGTGAGGGCAGTGGTTTCAATTCTAAATTCACTTCTATGTCTAAATTTTTTTCTATGATTTCACCTATGACACTGGGTATTGTTCTTGGGAAATAAACTTTGTCATTATCTGGTTCTTCTACGTGATCTTGGGTCTCATCAGTGTTTTTTTCAAGAACTTCTCCAACTAAAGACGGTGCGCTATCATCATTTTGAACTAGTTTTTCAGACGTATTCCTAAGTCCTTTGGATAGTGCATACTTTGACGGTTTTCTAACTACCGAAGGGGACGCCTTACTTCTTTTTATAGTTTGATGTTCAGTACGACGTAAATTAACAACTTGCGCTGACGGTTGAAACTCTTTATTAATAGATTTATTCTTCAAATAATCCTCTTGCATACGAAGAATATCTTCCTCACTTTCCCCGGGTTTAGGCCGTTTAATCATATTGTAATGTTCAACTTAATTGGTAAATGGTACGATTTGCTTAATGGTATGGTTTGCTTTACTTTCTTTTCGGTGTATAAGGTTACGTTTACAATTATTATAAATGAGCAACACTTTGATCATATATGTTTAAAATTGCTTACTTTGATTAGAATTTGGAGATTTTGATTTATATTTAGTATTTACATCTCCCAAGGGACATATGACAGATATTAAAATTGACAATTTACATCCAACTACAGTCAAAACGTGTATCATTTTATTTTAGAGCCTATGGTATTTAACTATTTATAGGCGTTATTTACCTATGGTCAATAGGTAATAGAGCATAGAAAAAGCATGCCTTATTGACATTTTACTTAATTGTAAATAAAAGCATAAGTCTTTTTATCAATTTCTTATGAACGATTTAATTATTGGTTAAATTAAATACATCTAAAAATGCCTAAACTGAAGAAGAATATTGAAAAACTGAAGCATCCCAATAGCCGAAAGATGATGTCTTTAGCGAAAAAAATGACAAAGCAAGAGAAGAAAAATCTAAATAAACTTGGTACACACATTAAGCACAACCTATTAGGTGAAAAAATCATGTGGTTTAAAGAAAGATATCCAGACGAGTGTCAAGTCTTAAGCAAAGACCAGACGTTACACCTTATTGAATCATATTTGTCGCGTTTCGACGAAGAATTAGAGCAAATAGCATTAAAAAATTCTGTTGGACAAAGAAAAAACCGACAACACGCGAGTCGTGTAGATATTATTAATATAACGAAAACGCGCGAAAAAGATGAATTTCAATCCTGTGGTCTAGAAATGCCAAACTTGATGGACAAACAACAGGTGGAAGTCTTAAAAAACTGGAATGGAGAGTTACGCTATTTACAGAATTTTAAACTGTGTAGGATTTCAAGGAAACAACTGACATAGATATTAAAAATAATTTAATTGTAAATAAAACCCAAAAACAGTAAGAATATTTTAATATTTCCTATTGAAAACCATTGGTAGATGAATGTTACATAGCAGGGATTGATACTTAGGAAGCTAGTACAACTAACTGGAAATAGAAGTGAATTGTAGAGCTGAAAGGCAGATTTTCACAATAAAAAGCAAATTATATGTTACAGTTATATTTACATTTTACTTTTAATTTATACTTGTATAGTAGTTCTTGGAGAAAAATCCTGTTTTTACAAATTACTATTCATGACAAGAGTATATCAACACTTGCATGATAGTGGCAAAAATATCCAAATTTCATATCATAGATTGATTTTTATAACTATATTATATAATCTTAAAATTAAAAAAAAACAATGCAAGTACTTGTCTTCTAACATTTTTAGCATATATTCTTGATTTGCAATAATTTGAAGCCTACATGCTTACAAGGGATTGTTAGTTATTATTATATTCTGTCCGAGATACCAATTGATTTGTCTTTCTTTCTTGTTGTTCTTATAGTTTTCAAGTATTTGTGATAAAACACTTAACTCTCAATTAGCACCACACTGCTATACACTTTCATAAATGACTAGAACTTTTTGGGTTAAAAGTGCCATTTTCAGTGCCCTTAAAGAAAATAAAGGTAAACATTGAGAAGTTTTGATCTTTTAAAAGTGGACCAGCATTGTAATCACTATAAATTCTCTATGCTACGCTACTTTTAATAAAGTTGAAATAAAATTAAAAAAAATAATAATCTACAGCCACAATTACTAACTATACTACACAGATTTTATTATATACAAAACATTGTGTTCAATTGATTGTCAGATACACTATGTTGTGTTGCATCTTAAAAGTTATGCATACAGTATAATTTAACATAGAAATAATTTAAATGCCAATATTATAATGGTTAAAATATGGTTTTACAAATGAATTTGGACCAAAACATTTCATGAGTCCAACTCAAACTTTTAAGATTTACCATAATGTAAATTAGCAGCTTAGGAAAGACCAAATTAACTAACAATTTTAAGTAACACAAAACCTATTGATTATATCTTACTAACAAATGGTAGGACTTACTAACATAATTATAAACCTTGATACATTTTAAAACAAAGGATTTGTAAATTTTTGAATATCTACATTTTTCAGTAAAAATGATAAGTGATAGTTTGTATAACATATATGTAGAAAAAACTTGATTTAACATATAAATGCTAGGATTATAATTTTATGAAGAATGATAAGTAGAAGTACAAACTAGGGGGAACATTACTACAGAGAAATGGGACCGTGTAAGGTTTCATACACGAGTCTTACTTACAAATACAAATATAACAATACGTATGGCTTCTTTTATCTTTAATCATGTTTCTCCTGTACGTTCCAATAAATAGGAATGCCTATTATAGAGAGAGCTTTTCACATATATCAGTCAACCTCGATAGCACAACACATAAATTTAGGATTTTATATCTCCATAAAATAAGTTATGTAAATAAGGGTAAGTGGTAAAAATCATAACCTCGTTGTCCGCGGGCAGCTAGCCATATATAAATGACATGGTAGGCTCCGGGCACAAAGCAAATCATACCAGCGACAAAGAAAACTGCTCCCTGGAGACCATTTTGCGGGTCAGTAATAGCAAAGGCACACATACCCAGGAGACCTATTCCCACTAGGAGTAAAATGACTGCAGCGAACACTGTCTTCCAATTTTCTCTCACTTTTGGGTGATTCCAACAGTACTGTGATTGGGATGCTACGACATATTCATGAATAAGAGAATCAGAATCATGGGACGTCGTATCCTCGGTGCACTTGTAGGTTCTACTGAAAAAATAAATACAATTTTCTAAATAGTCAAATTTAGAATTATGAAGCAGAAATTGTGCAATCCATATCAAATTTCAATTAGGTTTAGCCTTCAAATTGAAAGCCTTACGTTTATTTACACTGATAAGACGAAAGAATGCAAGACAAAGTACTGTTACATTTATGATTCTCCACAATTAAGAATTCTACGTAACGTAGTGTAGTAGCAATCTGCTAATTGCGACAATAGATTGCTAATAAGACGTTTTACTCTCAATTCGTTAGCCTTTGCTCCATATATGAAAAACTGCTCACAAAAGGTCATCAACACCATAATAGGTATCAAATAAAGGAATAGGTAGTTTATATAAATTGTAAACTGAGATAAATAAGTAGAAACGTTCTTACCTGGATATATAATCGCCACCATTCTTAAATTTATTTTGATGAGGCGATCTTTCAATAGTTGCACCGTACACTTTGATGGCTTCGTCAGTTTCTTCCTCGAAAGCGTCGTCGATTGAGAATCTCTTTTCACTATTACCGAATGGTCTCGTCATGTTTACTTAATCCTAATTTGTTGGAGATGTAGAGTTGAAAAATAACATTGGAATTTTATATATTTTTTTATATGTTATAAGAATCGAACGTAACTTTTACTTGTCGTACCTATTCAGGTATAATAGACATTTTTGATTGTATTTTGAGAGATAGGTCATTGGTTTCGGTATAGAAATACGCTGTGGAATGCAGACACGAAAAGCTAATTCTCCTACTAGATCTGTGGCAGATACAGTAGGAACTCAAAAATCGAGTAATGATCGTAAGTAGAAAGAAATGGAATGAAGTTATAACAATATAAGAAATAATCTTGATGGAAAAAAAGAACATAATTAACCATGTTAAATGTTATTAAAATTATAAAACAATAAACGGAATTATAGTACCGTTTTTATAAGTATTGAGGTTTAACTACACTTAAGTTTACACAATATATACTTTTGTTTATAAAATCTAGACAAAATGAAATATGTAATTTGAAATACATCTGTGGTAAGGCATTTAACTGCTATTTAATGATTTTTTCGTATAATCTATCCACGATTCCAATGTCAATTGTCAAAACAAAAGAGCATGATATAAACACGGCTAAAAGGTTATGTTTGATAATTGATCCTATCATAAAGTAAATATCGTAGAAGCCAATACAATATATTGACCATGGTTAACAAAGACTGGGATATTTTAAAACCAACTCTGTCGGTACCTGTTTTAAATAGCATTAAAAAACAAGGCTTTAAGGCTATGACTCCAATTCAAGCTGCGGTTATTCCTTTACTCTTGTCGTGTAAGGATGTTGTCGCGGAAGCTGTTACCGGTTCAGGAAAAACCTTAGCATTCGTAGTGCCTATGCTAGAAATGCTGAGAAAAAAAGAAAAAGATTCTACACTGAGAAAAGATTTTGTATATGCCGTTATTATTTCTCCAACAAGGGAGTTAGCTACGCAAATTTACGAGGTAAAATACTCTAAAACTTAAATAATTTTATTCGTAAATAAACAGTATACGGATGGCATGCGAGAATTCATATTTGCATAATTGCTTATTTTACAGGTCATTAAACAATTTCTACTTGAACCTGAGGTAGCGCACATTTCACTTTGTTGTCTTGTGGGTGGACGACCGGTTGAAGCGGACGTGGAAAACGTTAAAAAAGGAGCACATATTGTGGTTTGCACCCCTGGTAGATTGCAGGACTTGTTAGCGGAGCAGAAAAATCTTAATTTGCCTGGACGCATTAGAGATTTAGTATGTTCATTTTTATAGTTTATTTAGTTAAATCAAGTACATTGTGTTATTTATATTAATGAAAAAAATAATATTTTTTTCTAATAATAAGAATAAAATACAAAAATAATAAGTATGGACATATTATGTTATGTAATGAAATTTAGGTAAAGACTTAATTTACTTTTTTAGGAACTCCTCATATTAGATGAAGCAGATCGTCTATTAGATCTTGGCTTTAACAATACACTAACAACTATCCTCCAATACCTGCCTCGTCAAAGGAGAACAGGTCTCTTTTCCGCTACTCAGACTAAAGAACTGCAGGACCTTGTAAGAGCTGGTTTAAGAAACCCAGTGCTGGTTAGTGTGAAGGAGAAGTCCAGTATAAGCACACCTGTAGCTTTACAAAATTATTATATAGTTGTAGAACCACAAGACAAGTTCCTATTTCTACTGAACTTTATAAGAAATCGGCAAACAATGAAAGGCCTATTTTTTTTACCCACATGCGCCTGTGTGGACTACTGGGCAGACGTGTTACCAGTTGTTCTGACAGATTTAAAAATCTTTGCAATCCACGGGAAAATGAAACTGAAGAGGGCGAAGATATTGGAGAAATTTCGTGGGGCTGAGAGTGCAATATTGTTATGTACAGATCTGATGGCTAGGTGAGAACAGCTGAATATTATTTCTGAGCATTACTGTTTTAATTTGAAAAGGAAGATATTTGATTTATAATTAATTTATCTTATACCTCAATGATTTGTAGCATCGGATAGATAGATGATAACAATAAAGTTATACTATGTCACATCCAAATAAAACAGGTTCAACTTGAAGTAGCTTACAGTATCTATACTATGCTGCAGAGTTTGTTTGTTTGAACGCGCTAATCTCAGGAACTGCGGGTTCGAATTGAAAAAGTCTTTTTGTGTTAGAACATTTATCAAGGAAGGCTATAAAACATTGCGCTGTGACTAATAGAAGCAAAGACACAACGTGAAAAGTGAGCAAAACGGCGGAAATTTTTCATCTCTGTGGGTTTCAGTTGCGTACGCTGCGAAAACGGCTCAAGATAACTAAACAATGTGTATGAAAGAATTATTCCTCTTTAAATGATCTAAAAAAATCCGCGACGCTATCTATATGTCTATATTTTAAGATTAGCTTACAAGAACGACGGGAAGGGACGCGATCGACGTCGTGGTTAACAGCTTAAGTTTATTAAGATGACGGGGTTTGCAAAACCTATGTTGGATGTCCAAAATAACGATTCTCACGGACCAAGTCGCTGGCACAGCTAGTTATTAATATAGAACCATTTCATAAAATTAACCTTTAAACCCAAATAATTCACAGTGGTTTTAATCACAATACAAATATTTTGGTCAAGGGAGTTACACTTTTTATATATGCAAAAAATATATTGATACAGTCAAAAGTAATAATCTTTTTATTTTTAGAGGCCTTGATATTCCTGAAGTGGAATGGGTCATACAATGGGAACCTCCCACCAATCCAGCTGCTCTGGTACATAGAGTGGGTCGAACAGCCCGAGGTGGAGCAGCAGGATGTTCTTTGATACCATTGCTGCCCACCGAGGATGCTTATGTACCCTTTATTAAAGTCAACCAGAAGGTGGAACTTCAAGATTGGAGCCAGTCAAGTGATCAGATCAAGATTACTGATAAGCTAAGAGATAAGGTTAAATATTTATCAATCGATATTGTAAGAGTTACATTGAACTTGATTGTAATATTCACTTAATTATTTTCACCACTTGTTTTATTCTAGGTACTGAAAATCTTGCACAATCAACAAATGTCAGACAGAGGCATTCTTGATAAAGGAATGCGAGCTTTTGTTTCGCACATAAGGGCCTACTCTAAGCATGAGTGTAACATACTGTTACAACTCAAGGAGTTGCCGTTAGGTCACATAGCAACCAGTTATGGCCTCTTAAAGCTGCCACTGATGCCTGAAATAAAGGAAGAGCATAAAACACAATTTATAGGCCCGAATGAGAAGATAGACTTCAACAGCATACCATATAAAGATAAGCAGAAGGAAGCGAGCAGATTGCAAAAATTACAAGAGTATAAAAAGACTGGTATATGGCCTTCTAAGAAAAAGAAGAAAATTGTAAGTATTGGTAGCATTAATGTACATAATATAATGGTTTATTACTATTTGTTGTGTGACTATTTCTTAAAAAAAAATAAAACTAAGTATAATTTGTGTAACTTATAAATATTACCAAGTAGAGTGGCGGTTTTTAGAATACTTATTTTCGTTTGGACATTTTTTTTAATAGTAGATGAAATTAACCTAATTATTATTTGCAGGCCAAAACGCAAGCATGGGAACAAACGAAACTACTTAAACAAGTAAAGAAAGAAAAACGAAAGAAACGAAAAGAGACGAAAACCAAAATGGTTAAGGAGGGCAAGAATAACAAAAAACGGAAAACGGTCACACAAGAAGAGTTAGAGGAACTAGCGGCCGACGTTGCGTTAATAAAAAAACTAAAGAAACGAAAGATTAATGATGATCAGTTTGACAATGCTTTCGAGATTGGCAAATGAATTCCCACTCATAGGAGACTCCACCATTCAATTATTATTAATAATCGCCGGTGACGATGTCCTCTGAATAAATGTTTCGCCCAAACCCCAAGAAATAAAAAATAAGATACAAAATGATACGACTAGTGAAAATAGTAAAATAGACATTTATTTCAGCTCAACTTTCATATTCTCTAACATTTTGAGTATTTCTCTAACACAAGGAAAATACAATCAATTTTACAAATTCATTAGTATGTCTCTATGTGGTACAGTCTGATAGTAGGCACACAATTATTAGTCACAGTTGAAATGGCAACGCTGCCAATCCTACATTACAAAACAGTGTCAATTTTAAGGCATTAGCACCAGTGTTACCAATTAACTAATATCAGATTGAATAAGCACTATAATATAACATGATTTGAAGCAACCTGTGCGAGGCACAGAAGAAGGCACTTGGGAATAAGTATCAAAATAGGAAATAGGGTAACACTCGCTACGATAGAAATGCAATGACCAATAGAAGAATATCGTGTACATAACAAAGAGAATATAACAATATTTTAGCTGGATACATTTTAGATAACAACTTTTATATGGAATAACTATTCATTGATAAGCTAGGTCATACCTGTATGATTATTCAATTACCTACTTACATTAGAGTATATAATAGTAAATAAACATTATTGCATCTTAATCGTTATCAACAGCAATGAGCACAGGATTTTATTTACATCGTCAATTGTGAACTGAAACTGTGTAGTCAACACGGAAGGGAAGACTCACACAAAACTGGCCCAACTGGCTCTGTCCTTTTCAATAAATTGATTTGACTTAAGTATTTACACTTGCATTCAGATTAATGAGAGCCAGTCGTCAAATTGGGGTCAACAATTTCATACTTAAATAGCAACCATATTGTTCTCAGTAGATAGATTTATTCACATTGTGCGTTGTATTTTACTATTTTCGAGTTCGTTTTCTAGTTCAGCATACACGTAGACAATCTAGCTTAGGAAAGCAGCAAGCCCCTTTAAATCGAAAATAAGCGCCAAAACTTGGCTCAGGTCGAAATGCACCTGCAGGAGTTTAAAACGGCTATCGCCAATACAGCACCCATTCGATACCAAAAACTATACACCGAGTCAAAAATAAGGAAATAAACTTCACAGTAAGTACAAATAGCTCGATATTTCCTGCGTTTACTCGATTAAATGTTAGCTAAAAACAAACAAAATAATACAAAATATAAGCTTTACATACGAGATACGACGAATAATTTATACAAAATACAATCTTAAAACGACGAGCATTTCATACGATCTACTCTGAACGTTTCTTGTCATGATCTTAAAAATAGAACATCTAAATTACGCCATCTTAACGCTAAAGAAAATAATCAGAATAATAATACTATTTAATTTAGATTATAATACTACGCTCGGGTCAAATAAGGTCTAAATAAAATACAAGCTGCACAATATGCAGAGTCGTACGGAACCGCCGAGTGTTTAGTTATTTAATAGTTACCCTAAACTGTCAATTGTCAAAACGTGACTAGCTGTCAAATCTAACTATTTCATTTTACGAGGCCCAAAAGCTAAAGAAGAAAAGCAGAAGTAGTTAAAGTAATATTGCTTTGCTAAAAGACAGCTCCGAATTTTTAAATAATTATATTAAATGCATTTATGAATATTACCAATTTCATATTTGTGACTAATGAGTAATGAATTAAGGCACAATATCATTTTATGTTATTACATTACACTTAACACCTATCATATGCAAAATTGTTTAGTTGAATACGTCCAAAATACAGGTTTTGAGAGTATTTCATAACAAATGAAAACATACAACCATCAACGTATATAGTAGCTGAAATATTGCCTTATCGAAGTCTTCTAATTTCAATTGAGAATACTGTATGTAAGAAATATGATAAAAAAGGAATCTAAAATTGTATTTTCAATAATTGGCACATTTTAAGGATATTTTTAGTCTTGTTAATATTTTAAATCCATGCGTTCACTAAAATTAGTGCCTGAAAATTTATTTATTGAATTATTAAATCATTTTGTCACGTATAATCATAAAACAACAGTAAAACTTGTAATGTTGGATAATACACTTTTCTCGCGTTTACACAACACGTGTTGACACCTAGCGGTGACACTATTTTTGGCACTTTTTTCATTAGCAAAGTTCAAAAGGAAATTAACATATTTGGTAATGTTAGAATGCAAAAATAATGTTATTTTCAAACATTTATATCATGTATATTGTTGTAATACTTTTTGATTTCAATTCTGTTAAGGCATTTATTAGTACTAGACTCTAAGTTAGGGTGCGTGTCCATCAAAATATATTATTCAAGTGTTTTGTCAAAAATGTCAATTACTTCGTTGTTTCTTAAAAAAAAACATCGTTAGTGCGCAATTTCTTTGTCAATTATCAAGAAATAAGATTGTCGTTAGAAACTCTACTCTTTCTAATAGTGACTAAAGAAGTACTCAGTGAGTGCGTCGAGATACTCCTATCGAGAAAATAGATAGGGGAAAATGATAAATAACTGGATTTAACTGTCATGTGAATGAAAATTATCACTAGAAAAGGTTTGTCGTGAACGCAATCGTCCATCCGCTGGATAAATTTCGAAACAGCCTTAACATAGTACGACGACGTCACTCACGCGTTCACACTTCGTCGGGCGCCATGTTCTCCTCGTGGTTGTGGTCCGGCTGGTCCGCGGGGGGCGCGGGCGTCGGCGGAATGAGGGACTTGACCGTGGCCTCCAGCGCGCGAATGCGGTTCTCCTGCTTCACGATCACCGACTTCAGTTTTCGGATCTCGTCGACCAGATCGGACAGTTGCTTCTCCTGAAGAGGTGTGGTGTTTTTATCATTACGTTTATTATCTACGATAATACGCGTGGGTAATACTCACAACCAGAGCGTTCAATGCCGGCGGAGGGGTAGCCGAGGCGGGCGTTCCGCCGTGACTGTCCACCCTGGCGGCCGGTGTCGGCGACCTGTTATCCTTGTCCTCTTCGTCGCGTCTCCGCTCTCGTTCCCTTTCCTTTTCCCTGTCCTTGCCGGTGGCGAGAGCGTTGGTCCGCTTGGTGACCGTCAGCTGCTGAGCTCGGCCGCTCACGTACCCCCCCTGGACGACAAGCGCGCGTTCCTGCATTCGGTTCAAACCCCCCCGAGAGAATTTAGTCATTACTGTTGGCTTTGAGGATCCCCTTTTAATAGTTGAATTACATTTGCTATAAACTGATCTTGTCTTGTATTTAATAGAATATTATATAGCTAGTTGATTGATACATCTGTTTACATTACTTCGAAATGCCAAATATCTCTTCGGTCCCACAATTTGAGTACAAATTGAGATGTATTTGTTAAGCCCAGAAGTTAGTAACACAACATCGAATTAGTTCACACAACACGCTAGTTAGAAGCCAACAGAATTGTCACATTCTCTGAAGGTGTTAACCAAATGCACATTAGGTTGGGATTTATGAAAGGCTGAATAGAGGTTGATGTATTTTTCACACCTTTGCATCGTTAATAAAACAATAATTTAAAATTGCTTAAGCATCCTTCAAAGGCAGCCTTCCACAAATCGTACATATAACAGAAAATCCTTCTAACAATCTAACAATGATCATAATCAATAGATATCTATAGTATTAAAGTTACTTTAATTCATTTTCATTAGCCATAAAAAAATATAAAACAAAAATTATATACATAGTTATGCAAAAATAATAACGGTAACGACTCAGTGGTTATTTCACAAATAATCGTTTTTGAATTTCTTTGAAGGCTTCAATGTCTATGAGAGAGCGAAATCAACTTTAAATAATTAATAATAAATACACAATATTACTAAATAGCTCGACAACCCTTTTGAAATCCCAAGTGGGATTGCAATATGCCTGTGAAAGCTTTATGCAACAAAAGTTGGGGTTGTTTAGCGTTAAGATATTGGCTAGACGTAGACGGTCACGGACCACGATCCACCAGATCAACGATAAATCTTTTCAAAAGTCTAGAATTGTATCGGATATTACATATAAGTTATATGTTACACAAACGGCCAAGTGCCACCAACCTTCAGTGACATAGTGCAGGGCTCTGCATCTTCTCCGGCGAGCCATTCGTCTGCTGTTAAGCTCGCTTCATCAGAAAGGGTGTCAGGGTACAAGTCTTCTTGGAACAGTTCCGATTTACGAGGCACAGTCATCGATACTACCTATAATATGTCACATATCGAATTCTTAATAACATGATATTGCTTTCAAACTTTTAAGGTTTTAATATTAAGAACCGAAATTTTTCAATAAATATTAGAGGTATTTGTATCCCTTATTTAGCGATCTATTAATTTATTAGTATAATCATACTCCATAATCTTGGAACTTACTTGGCAGAGTCCAGAATTATTCAGCCTATAAAACTTGGCGATTTCACACGTCGCGACGTCGCAACCGCGTTTCGGCATCATGCCGATACCTGTTTACATGTTTCTGACTATAGTAGTACACATATACTTTAAAAAATGTAGTAGCTATGATATGAAAAATTGCTCTTTATACAAATATTACCTCTTTGAGGGTCCGGTGTCTGGAAGGTGTTGATGTAGTGGACGAAGGGTGGCTCAGGTGTGACCTGTAATAATATATAATAAATTGTATTAGATTAAATGAATGTACTTGCGCCAGAGGCGCATGTGTCTATGTGTTCATCATATTCCACCATGACATGTAGGACACGGTAGTTCAATAGGTAAGAACAGCAGTAGGTACGGAAAGCTATAGATTCCGTTTCAAGTCCCACTTGTGTCGTATTTTGTAATCTATGTAGATTTTTAATTTATTGTTCGTCTATTGGCAAGTTTTTACGGTTTTTGAAATAATGTTTAGGTGAAGTTCTGATCTCGTACGATCACGTTGTTCTTTTTGTTTAATGATACAGAAGAACAAACAAACTTAGGGTTAATTATGGAAGCTGAAACACTCCAGCCATCTAAACGGTATGTTGAACTATTTCTGCTTTCGGAATTCGGTAAACAACTGGAACCGAAACGCTATTAAACTTCACTGCTGTTTCCCATCCATTCAATAAGCAGATTTTCCAGATGAAGTCTAATATGTTATAGAAAAACGATTTATTAAGAACCTTTTGGACCCAATGGATATGGAAAAATGGCCCGATCATTACTAGCCATTATGCACTCGCCGCCCTCATCGCGTACCTCGAAGTATCTGATGACGGAGTCGCCCTTGCCGCAGAGGTAGATGAGGTTGGTGTCGGGGTCGTAGAGTGGGAACATGACGCCGTTGCTCGTGTCGATCTCCACGGACACGATGGGCTCGCTGAGGGCGTCGGGCGTGCGCAGCGTGTACTGGCGCTCGGACATGCGGCTGAAACTGTACAGTTCGAGTTTTAGATAATAAGTCTTCGGATAAGTCATGTTTTAGAACAACGACTGCTGTACTCACCCAGTAGTAAAAACGAGGCCGTGTTTGAGGAATATCGCTCGGGACGCTTTGCTTCCTTCGTGGGCTATCGCCTCCGACTCGACTTCTCCTTTGCGCGGATCTATGATTCTGAAATAATAATTTTGTTCTTGCCATTGTGTTTTTTATATCCCGACCTTCCACACACCCTCTGAACAAATAAGCTTTGAACTTCTAGTTAACAACTCGTTTTCCCATCAATTAGTTTTTAGCGCCATGCACACATTTCGAAGATACTTTCAGCCTTCGCTTTCCTCTCACCTGATTTTCTTATCCCGACAAGTGGTGACCAGCTTACTGCCAGTCCAGTTCCAGCAAGCCGAGTAAATGAGGTCCGGGTGACAGTCCAAACTGATGAGAACCTCTCCGGTGCCCACGTTCCATATCGCAATCTGGTTGTCGGAGCCCGCCGTCAGGAGGACGTTTTGTGCGGTGGGATGCCACAGCACGAGGCCCACACGGCGCTGGTGGTACACTAGATCGACCACTGGCTCGGTCAACGTTCGGGATATACCACCATCTGGGATCTGCCACACCTGAGAAGACCAAAGTGCCCAGTTATCGGAAAAAATCTTAGTGACTTAGAAAATGTATGGATAGAAAGTAGTAGCAAGTCTTTTAAATAAAACACTTTAACGGTTTAAAACGCGATATATTAGTTAAACTTATTTGAAAATGATTTTTAACTTCGGCCCGACGTTTCGGATTCTTTGCAGCAGCCGTGGTCACGGGGAGACCACGGCTGTTGCTAATATATCGCGTTTTAAACCGTTAAAGTGTTTTATTTAAATGTGTACTACTCGCGTAAACTATAGACAGTATTTAGTAGCAAGTCTTGTTAATTTTGAGAGGTGCCCTGAAATAGCTTAAACTTAAAATTGACATATAAGTGTAGTCATTTTCAGACTCAACAGTTATATCATGTTACCTTGACGACACAATCTTCGGAGCCGCTGGCGATGACATTGTCGTTGTGCGGACACCACGCGATATCCAGCACCGGACCTTTGTGTCCGCCCACTAGTGGATGGTCGGCAGGGATGCGGCCCACCTGTCGTCAACATTCGTTCATTCAATAAGAGAAACTTTTCACCTTCTGGCTAAAATTATCCGCCAACTCATCGCGCGCTAATTATAACCATGGTAGTTCCCACGACTGTTCCGTTGAATATTGATTTTCTATCTTACATTTATTTAATTGGTTCTCATATTAAGTACAGTCCCTATGTATACTCGCTTTTTAACAATATATTTAGTGTAGCTGCGGATGCCAAAAGTGTTCAAATAAGTGAAGAGTACAATTAAGATTCACATTTTATAATCCAATTTAAACTGGAATGAAACTTCATTACACAATGTTCAACTATAGATTTTATTTGTGTTTCAACAGGTAGAAGACTCCGCGAAGACTCATAGAAAATAGAAATGAGGCCAGAATAAATATATTATGTTGTTCTGAGCTCATTAACACAAAATACTTGCTCCAGTTTGAGCTGTGATTCACAAAGGTGGCGACTCTTGTTTCTGGGCTAAATACTTGTCTACAAAATAAATAATCACGGAACGAGTTCGTAAGCCAATTTATCCTTTGATGTGTAATGTAGGGCTCCGACTTGGCTGTGCAAAAAGGATCGTGCGAAAAGGCGAATTCTCGTATTCCAAGATAAATGATCGAATATGTTGTCAAGAATAATATCAATTGAAACGGGGTGACATGCGATACGAGGTATCGGGTGGACGCGATCGCTTCGTCACGCAATCCGCTGTTTATTTACATCGCTCAAACCGTGGCGAGTGTGATGGTGTCTTATGTCCAATGTTTACGAAGACTTGCAGTGGCGCGTTGCCAGACATGCGATACTTTCACTAGAATCTGACAACCCCTAGACACCCAGGGTATTAAGAGCATCCCAAATTGCCTCATTTTATTGAAAATGGAAGTTCTGGAACTGAAATTAACCATTATCCGTGCCTCGTAATGCAGAGATCTCGAGTTTCACGTTGTTTCTTCCGTTAACTTTGAAGAAATGAGTTCGTATTCCTTGTTACTATGATTTTAACCCGATCCAGTACCAAAAACAAAATTGTGGGGTCTTTATCACTCAAGAAGGCATGGTAAAACATTATTGGAAGGAACGTGAATTGGCCTATTCCCCTGCAAGGATCTATTAAAAAGAGTTGTGCCCGCTGTTATCTAACTTTGACAATTTTGGTATCCGTATCCTGGCTAGATAAGTGTAGGAGGTCGAAGTGGGTCCATGACAATATCAAATTATACTATATGTTAGCCATTATTCGGCCAATTACGACGGATTTCGTTTTATAAATTGAAGGTTTACATGTTTCTCGTTTACTTCCTGTTCGTTGTAAAAGCCCAGATCTACCCTCCATCGTGCAGAGGGTAGCCTCTATACGGTCGAGGGTAGATCTGGATCACCGTCTGTACTACTGTCTTACTACCTACCCATTCGCTACAAAACAACTTATGATACAATAAGTTACATTTCCAAAGTCACGTACGACCATAAGCTCAGTTCCACTGAAGAGTTTATGATGCTATTTTAATTAGTTGAGATAAATAGCAGAGAATTTCAATAGTTCCACTTGTCTGATGACCCGTCTCCCCAGTTCGCCACGTGTGCGGTGTGCCAAATGGCCAAATTCATAATTTACCGTTTGATGCACACGCTACGTGCGCGTGGGCAGACGACCCGACCCCCGCCGCCCGTCGCCCGATCCTTTATAAATAAGATTATCTGCCCGATTTAAACAATATCTGCTCGAGTTTCAAACGCACTTATTAATAACGATATTAATGAACCGACATAACAATTTACGCGTCTTTAATTAAGTGTGCCGCACTTTTACAATTTTGTATTCTATTTTTAGAGTTTTCAGCTTATTTCATTTTATTGCTCATATACGACGCACAAGACGGCGCATACCTCTTACTACAATTTTACTTAATTACTTCGCGAATAATTTAAAATAACAGTTACGTCTAAGTTAATCTCAAACTATTATTCATAATTTCATGTGCATATGAGCTTTTTCAGATTCATTATTTTAGGAAAAGATTACACTAGGTACTAGGCATATCAGCTATAATACTATATATATATATATTTCAAGCTTTAGTCAAAACCCCCGACAATAACTCGCGTCTGTCCAGGTTCTGTTGAGTTTTTTCCGATGTGAGTTGAATAAGGAAAAAGGAAGGAACGTTTTCCCTAATTAATAAAACAAAATTAACTCTCATTTATTACGCGGTAACAGTCGAAGTTAGTTCTCAAAGGAACTGGTCGAGGTAAGAAAAAGTAACCTGTGCTCTTCACCAAGTTTCGCAAGTGCCCAAAAATAGCGTGGACAGGTTCTACTTTCGTCCGAGGCATCTTATATTCAACGCTGATCCTGATTTTCAACCGAAACGGAAAAGATAATTACGTTCGACGACAAATAATATAACTACGAGTGTACGCCGTTCATTATTAATAAGCGCAAAATAATCACTGAAACTGTAGTTCTGCTGCTGGGCATATCTTTTCTCAGTTTGAGACCGGCATTTAGCTTATTTTAAATTCGAATGAGCCAAATGTTTCACGTGTCCTTTTTACGTATTTTCCACAATGAATATTGACAGACTATGTAAAGGAAACTAATGTAGCATTTTTTTTCATTTACTCATGACAATAACTCTGGTTGGCTCGCAGCCAAATAATACATGCTCCTTCAATGAATACATTATTTGTCATACTTATACATAGACATACCTAAACATACTATATAACAGCTCATTGCAGGCAAGTTGTCAAATTTTTATTTAATAATGTGTAAATCTTTGAATTAAATGTTACTACTGAAATAAAGAATTATTAAAAAAACATTGTTAATATAATTCTTACACAAGTAATAGTACAAATTAATTATCCTCTCACATCTTATTGAAAATCTTGTCCTTTGTTATTAGGCCGCTCTGTCTTTAGCATCCTCATATATAACCTCCCTACCCAAATGGCCTGTTTGTATTCTACATGTGTAGAATGTAACATTAAATTGTTATAGTATAGTATATAGTTATGTGGTATAAATTTGAATTAATACCTTGACATTGGCAATTTGATATCAATTGTTTGATAAACAATTATTACAGCCAATCAATGTCATATTAATCTAATTTATACTTAGTATAAATATAAATTTGATGAATTTCTTAAAAGCGATATGCTTAAATATTGCTCTCCTATTTCTCGAACAGTGAAAGATTTCAGGTCAGGTATGGTGGCTCTTTCTTGTTGTTGGTTTAAGTACATCTATCTTTATATAGGTCGCTTTAAGCCATTACACATTTATTGCTGTGCAGCATTAATTTTGGAAATAAGTTTTCTTGTCTGTTTTAAGCTAGTTCCCGCACAAAATTACCCACCCCACAATAAAAGTAGCTAAAGTCTGGTATTTAAATGTTTTTACATAGGGTAATGGTTAGCAATAGGTATAGAATCATCAGTCTTCCATCCATGTTTCCAATAGTAAATAATAATAAATGTTTGTACATGTTAGAATTATTTTACTACATTCAAGCCAATTATATTTGTATTTAAATGAGAGCAATTAATTACTTATTGATAAAAGGATTTCCTAGTAACATCAATATTAAGGAAATTTACAAGTTGCTTATCTCCACAAAATAAACAAATTGATACAGATTGGAAAATTTTAAACATTGTATATACAATTATTCTCGGCTTAATAAATGGAGATACAACTATACTTATTTTGATTATATATTTTTCAAGAAGTGATTTCTATTTATGCATGCAATACAAATTTAGAGGTACTACGTTGTTAAGTTAATTTTAATTTAAACTAGAAGAGAATATAACCATTCTAACACTCCTTATTGAGGATAGAAATTTAAACAATTCTAATGGTTTGCTTGTGATTGTGTGTCCCAAATAGTCCTGAACATTATGTGGATGTACTCACCTTATTATGAGGTAGGACTATGAAAGCACCGCCACCGGCTGACTCGACAATGATCGCCAAGAATTTTGGGTTCACTGCACAAAATGTTGAATCCCAAGAACTTTTAGACACTCTTATGTTATCATAACACTGTTCTCTTTTTAAGGCTTGGCCATAAACATGGCGGAATTTTGAACTACGAACCACCCTAAACGACATCTGCAAACCAAAATAGGCGGCTTTATTGCCAAATTCACACAAAAATACTTTCTTCTATAATTTCACTTAAAACATAACCTTTAAAGACACTGATATGACCTATATTGACATTTAATTTTAACGTTGAACAACACTCACGTTTGAAACGAAGAAGAGAAATTATTATAAACGCGAAATATGACTATGAATTCATTTGAATTATTCTAATTAATTTAAAGAAAATTAAAATCGAGAGCTGCTAAGGTTCGAAGGGAGGACGGTTGGGAAAACGAGCGAACTCCATATTTGGTAATGCTTACAGCGAATATTAAATAAGGTTTTGGAAGTTCGAACAGAAGCTATTCTAGCGGCTCGATATGATTAAGAATAGAAAATAATTAATTTTAAGGCAACTTATACACATTTATATAAATTAAAAGTTGGAATCAATGATATTCGTATAACACCAAAACTAGTTTCTGAACGTATCTTCCTAACGTCAACTTCAAGATGACATATAACAGCTTCTTTAAGTAATGCATCAGTATTTATTCTGTAGTATATTTTTATTTAATTTCACTGCGTAGGTAATTTTATTTGATTATTTTAATTCTGGTGTACACAAAATTTATCAAAGTTTTTAAAACATAAAAAAGCAATAGTAAAATAATAAAGGAAAACTTTCAAATAGGCAAATTATTTACTTTTGGTTTTTCCAGGTGTAAATTCGCCCATTTTTCTGTTGTTTTGGGAGCATGAAAACTTATGCTTCGCTCTCTATTATGTCGATTTGAAAGATGTATTCGTTTCTCCGTTCGATTTGAAAAACTATTATGTCTCTTTAAATCCTGAAATACAAATAAATTATTGAATTAAGTAAATAACAATAACTAGTAAACGATAAATAATTAACAAGTTACATATGAACCTAAATAAAATATAGCATGATATGATTGATTATGACGTTTATGATAATAGAAATGACTCCGGTAAAAAAATATATTTTATTGTTCCTGAAGAATTTTCAGGAAGAATTGTAGTGTTTTTTTTACAAAAATATGGGTATTACTTACGGCAGTATCCATTTTGATTTTAGCGGTGTATAATATTTCATTCAATCTATTAATGTCACACGGTTTCGAACAAATTTGAGTCCTTGTACTTCAAACTTTCTTACTATTCGCAATATCAAAACGTTAATAACCACAATATAAAACGATACGAGTAAAGAACGAGTACTAATCACATTAACCTTGCTTATTAGATACCTACCCTCAAAATTAAAAAAAATAATTACAATACTAAATTACTACCCATCGCTTTTGATTGAAATATCGAAGTAAGAACAAAAGGCATGGGTGAAAAACTTTTTATGATAAAAAATATATTATATGCTTGAATTGTTATAAAAATGAAATAAATGTGTAGGTAGGGTAGGTATCTTCGCCGTGCTTGAATAGCTGTTAGGTCAAACCATTATCTATGCATATTTTTAGTTTGTCAATTCACAAAACCTTCAAAACCTCCAGGAAATAAATATGTTCTTATTATAAGAGCCATTGTAAAACGATGTTGTTAATCTTTAAATGAACAAAAGCGGCTTCATTATATATTTGTTTATTTTTTATAATTGGGCTGACAACGAGCATGTTTGTCAATTGTCATCATCAAATGACAATTAAAGTTGTATTATTTGGTGTATTATTTCTAGAATCTTGAGTGTGCTAGAGTGCGGGTTTTCAACAGCTGAAAAATAGCAAAAAAAGCGAATTGAATTTTTTATATTTTAGCGAATGTTGACAAATACAAAATGCTTTCTAAATATTAATTCGATTATATCAAAAAATACTATGGATACCAAAACCACCAAGGTAAGTTATTATCAATTATATTCATTAATAATTATGTGATGTATTTGTTAAGCAAAAAGTGAAACTAAATAATTAGTAGGTAATTTTTCTCACTTAAAATATGACTTGGGAGTTTGGTATTAATTTGCAAAATTTACCAATAAATATAACTATTGATTGCTATCTTATATTTAGTTCTAAACATTACTTTTTTGTAGTTGATTAAAAAATATTTTGCATTAAAATTAATTTAATTTTACCAATGTAAAATTCTGTATTTATTTATAGAAAATTACCTCTTTTAATACTATGTTAGAAAATCATTATTAAGAAACAATTATTGTCTTCTAGGCACAACACCATAGGTTGGTGCTGTGTGTTTTAGGACTTTTCAATGTTGCTTCACTGCTAGCCGCTATACATCTTGTCAGCCATCTGAACCCAGAAGATAGGTGAGTTACACAATTAAAATACCATTTCCCCATTAGACGAGACAGAGTAATACTTTTATGAAGAGTAACTTGTAAACAGACAATTTCTTTATTTAGTATGAGTATTTTAATTATGGCATGGAAAATACACCAGAAATTTGTAAGAAACCTACTGCCACCATTTTTATCATACAAGTATATTTATTGGTGTATTGAGTTTAACTTTGTTTAATTATAGTGTTCAAAGGTAAATTAATTATGCATAAAATAATTATCACACTTTTGCTCAGTGGCCTTGCATTACACAAGAGCTATATTAAGACAATTATGCTTGATGAGTAGGTAAATACTATATGTCGTCCTTGAGTGATTCATTTTGTATCACCATTTTTATTAATCTAAAATTTTGTAAAATGTATGTCATGTTACTTGTCCCTCACTTGCCCAAATTTTATTACATAACAACACTGTGTTATCAAATTATAAAGTTGTTGGTTTGATAGCCAAGTGGGTGATCGGATTTCTATGCCCAGTCTAAACGAAAAGACCAATAATAAACCCTTTTTTTTAAATTAGGAATGTTTTGCTTTTTATTCTTAGGTTTGGCCAGACTCAAATACGTATTAATATATCGGTATAGCTTATTAAATAGCCATCAAGTGCTGATAGCATGGAACCACTCCAAAAACTGTCATGATAAGCATATCAATAATGGTTTTTTGTATACATTTTGTATTGTAAGACTATAGTATAATAGTCACAATTTAAATTGTTGTTTATAGGTATCAATAGTCTTCTCACATGTTATTGTAATAATGTGATCTTTAAGCACATTATGACCAAGAATAACGGAAATAGTGTTTTTGATAAAATATTTTTTTTTTCACTATTAATTACATTTATTGCAAACATTACTTGCAATTAATTGCTACCATTAGACTATTCCGTCACAAAATGAGGTAAGGCACATCTTTATTTATATAATAATTTTTTTTATGTATTTTCTAAATCATCTGTTTTTACTATGAGTCTATTCAATATATACTTCGAAACACCTCATTAACGAATGTTTACGTCAGAACACCATCCGATAAAAACTATAATAATTTATTAATATAAAGTATCATATTAATGATGAAAACAAAAACTCCAAGTGACCTTAACGTAAGTGACAAAGTTACTTATATTTACAAGGTGAGGTACATTTATTTAGCAATCGGGATTGTGCATAACGCAAAGGCGAAGAACTTCAAAGTTCATTAGGCTGAGGGTACTTGAGCACATTTTTTAAGAAGAAATTCTTTGTCAACACAAGTCGAGAAGAGCTATTGCGAGCCACTCTGGCAACACGTGTGTTGGTTGCTTGCATATATCACTATACGTATTGCACATTCGTGGCTGTTAGCATAACACTCGCGTACCTATGATGTTGCGTTCGGGGGTTTCAACTAGTGTTAAGAAATTAGTAATGAAACATTTTGATTGATTTTTCCTTTTGTAGTATTTACGAAAAGGGGGAAAATTTTTTTTCTTATTACTTAAATTGTTTTTTTCTTTTATGAGGTGTTAAACGGTGATAACACCAAACTCGTGCACCATTCACCTTGATCCCGAGATCTGACATAATCTGCGAAATTAATACATTGTTTACATTCTTTCGGTTTTGCGGAGACCGACGAGATAAGATTGCGACAAAATCTTTATTGCTCATATACGTCGCGTTGTATTGATGGTCTTATCTTATGCAGAAACGATAATGGCTGCAAAAACAACGTAGGTTTTCACCGGTTATAAAAAAAAAAGCTTACGAGCAAAAGAGAAAGATATAAAGAAATAACGGGAATATATTTATTTCAATCTAGATTTGTCTCAGTGGAGTTAAAGTTAAACTAATAGTAACGTAACTTATATTCTTTTCAATAACTGATTGCCCAATATCGATCGGATCAGATGCTAAGATGGGCGTAAAAGAAAACAAACAAACATCCTCTATAGTTTTAATAGAGGAAGTGTGGGAAACGTATACGGTATTGAATAATGTAAGTGGGGCTTTAAACGGTATTCCAGGATATCGGTGAAGCGCGGCGGCGTTTTAACCTTTCTGGGCTTCGTGTACTTCATGACGCTGTTCGAGCTGTTCAACGTAGCAGCGCTCTTCACCGGCGTCGGAGCGCGATTTCGGCACAAATTCCGCCTCAGCTCCGGCGACGTCCTGGACATCACCAACAAGTGAGTGCTCTTCTATCTCTTATCCAATCTCAATATACTACGCTCTGTTGTATCAAATCACCAGATTCTAAATTGTAACTGTAATGTATCATTTTAACTAGCCGTCTCAGCGAATACGTCCTTGGAGAAAAGTGATTTTTTAGACCAGTTAAAGAAGAATAACTCTTTCATACATATTTTTTGGGTATCTTTTGCAGCGTATGCAAGCTGCAAACCTTCAGAGATGAACGTTTTTCCTGTTTTCTTCCACATTTCCCATTATTTCTTCTCTCCTATTGGCTACAACATAATGTTTTATAGCCTAATAAGAGCCTAAGTTAAGAGCCTTCCTCGATAAATGCTCTAATCAACACAAAAAGAACTCGAACCAGTAGTTCCTATGATTACCGCGTTCAAACAAACTCTTCAACTTTATATATTAGTGTAGATTATTTGATTTTTCTAATTCTAAGAAAGTGTGTTGCGCTTGCGGCTAACACGTTTTATTCTCCTTTCAGATTAGTATCAGCCGTGCAGGCAGCGTTCTCGTGTGCCACCGGCGCGATAGTCTGCCTGTGGTCGTGCACCAGGGACCTGATGCGGTCTTCCCATTTTATCTCCGAAGCCTACGCCTGGTTCGGAGCGGCTTACTTCTTCTACGACATATGGTCTATGTACATGGTAAATGGCGATGTTGATTGATTTCGTTACGTTGTTGTAAACGTTATAAATTTATATACGGCATATACGCTAATTAAATAATCCTACCCGAGCTTTAGAAAGCTTACTTATTTCCCATAGACGGATTGAATATACAAAGATAGAAATAAGTATAATTAGCAAATAGGTAATTCTAAAAATTGTTACATTTTTAAATAGTAGAAAAAATTAATTTGACTTGATACACTACTCGATGGACCTTCTGGACCTTCGCTCGTGGTCCAGGTGGCAAAAGGGGCCCCGCTATCAGTAAAGTATTTTCAGGTGGGCCTGGTGACCTTCGGCGCCATTAATATAGTATATAATATATATGGATGCATATTATGTAATTGAATATGTATAAAAGAAAACATTCCCCAGCCATATACTTTTAGGAAGCGCGTTGGACCTGCTAGGAATCGACCCGAGAGGCTGACGCGAAAAATGCCTTTAGATTTTTCCTTGGCAGTCCATATTCGATACAGCAAAGCGAAAACTATAAATATACCGATATATTTTCAGGTGCATGTGCATATGACCACGAATGTAGGCTACCGCACCGAGCCGGTGAAGCCGGTGGCTCGTGACTCCCTCTCCTCGGGAGACGCAGTGCAGCCTTCGAAAAAACCTTCCTTCTTCGCGTACTGCAAACACGAACCGGTTATTCTTATGCACCACCTGTTTATCGGTGGTTTCGGGTTCCTCGTTATAGTGGTGAGTAGTCATAATGGTCCTGAGGTTAACGTATACAAATAAACAAACAAACTCTTCAGCTCTAAAATGTCAGTATAGATATAATATACTCACAGTTTAAAGAGAGGAATACATACACAATGTATTATATAGACCAGCAACTTGCTAAATGCGACTAATTGCAGCTACGTACGTGATTCCTCACATTGAGGAATGCAGGAGATAACGATGTCCTGCTTTTGAAGCTGGCAAAAGTAGGCTGCACTTCTAAACTATTATCATTTTTCGCCAGTCACCTAAGGGATAGGAAATACTACGTGGAATAATGTGGGTGTCAACTTGAGACATATTTTACTCGTTCCGGCGTTAGTCGAGGCAGCAACATTTTGACCATAAACGACACGCCTGACGTAGTAAGATATTCCAAGTGTCTGTTGTTTGCCGACGAAGGCCGCGAGTGACTGCACTAATCTTTAGGAAGATATAGATAAAGTAAAGACGTGGAGCGAAAATAACAAGCTGCTCCTTAATTTATTTAAGGCAGGCGTCATTATATTTACTAAAACAAAAGCTCCAATTCGGTACGAAGACAACGAAATCTCGGAGCTACCGCAGACGCAAGGTACACGTTTAGAGACCACATAGTCGGCGTCTGACAGAAAGCTTCTAAGCGACTAGGTTTTGTCCTTCGGAGAGCCATCACAGTGCTGTATAACTCATTAGCAAGAAGCCAGCTGGAACCCAACGCCATTGTGCGGGCGCCACACGAAGCTAAGTATAGCGGTATGTTAGAGCGTATTCAAAATAAGTTTACGAGACACTTATACAAAAGGCATTACGGGGTGCATCCTTACTACCCCATGATGTATCCAACATTCGTTTTAGGCATGCTTGGATACGCCGAGCTCGAAGCACGGAGGCACCTAGCGTTGGCCACGTGTGCTGAGAGGCACCACATGTGCCTACGTACGACGTAGGCACATGTGGTGTCGTAATAGATCCCAGTTCGCCATCAGTCCGGCGCGAACAGTGCTAATCTATTATTCCCCAATTGTGCGAGCACTTCACATTCTCAACAGTGTAAAGTTGTAAAATAGACCTTTTTAATTGCAGGGTGAGCGATGTCATAAGGACGATAACGGATATGATCTAAAAGATATATTTAAATTTTAATTGTTACTCACTATCATGTTAGAGTTCATATTCTGTAAAGATGTGTGATTGGTTTTTAATAAATAAAATAAAATATTGCGATTAATTTTTATAATACCATGGTATAGACATAGGCACCCGCCCCGCAGCACTATCATTTTAATCAAGACCCCGAAAAACATATCCTAGAATGTAATAACGACGTGGAGGACGAAAAAAAGTTAACGCCAGTGCTCCCCCCCTTGCAGTACCTCCGCGGCGGGTTGGGCGATTGCGTGTTCGGCTTCGTGTACCTGATGGAGCTGTCGACGCCGTTCGTTTCGCTGCGCGGCATCCTGTCGCGGCTCCAGCTCAAGAAGTCGCCGCTCTACGTGTACAACGGGCTCGCCATGCTGCTCACCTTCCTCGTGTGCCGAGTGCTGAGTCTGCCCTACGTCTGTCTCATGTACAGCCGAGCCGTCAGCATGACTTACTTTGAGGTACTGGTGGTGTTAGGAACCATTATTTAATCATATAAGACCACTTTTGCTTGCGTTTTTCTTTGCGACAACAAAATATCATTGTCTTTCTGGAATTTCCATTACCTAAGAATTAGTCAGGCAGTGTTCCTATTATTCTAAACAGGCCATCAGGTCCCTCCCCGCCGGGTGCAAGGTCTCGATCTGCATACTGCTCTTGCCCCAGCTCTACTGGTTCTACCTGATGTCTGCCGGAGCGCTGAAGCTCTTCATCAAACGGACGCCCGTCAAACAGAGCTGATTGCGTCTCTTTCGCTTCTAAGTATTCGCTTTAATTTTATATACGGCTGTCTCATTTCTATCATGGACTAGTCTGATATTTATTATTAGTTTGTCAGTCCGAAAAAGGAGTAAACGTTTTTTTTTGGAAAAGCAATTTGTGACGTCAGGATATTAAGTAGCAAACAAAATTTTATGTCGATTTGACAGCCATAGGCTGACGCAGTCAACGGGGGTCTAACCCCTTTTCAGTTATATCGAAAACGGGTATTTTTGCATTGTCATGCAACTACTTTAAAAGCGTGAGCGTAGTATCGTAGAACTTGCATCTTCCGGTATCTTCCGAGACCTGCCTCGTTATCTTACGCGTCCTCACTTTATTTTAAAGTAGTTTCATTTCGATATTATACGTTCCATTTTACTGTAGACGATTAGCACAAAGCGAATTAATTTAATGTCTATCGGACACTGAAATAATTCCATGACACGGCCGGGACCGATTTAGCTAACGAGGCGATGTTCAAGTCGCGTTCGTGTTATCGAATTAATTAAAACAGGTTTTATTTAAATGAAGCTAACACGTGCAATAACCTAATAATGTTTTAAACAATAATTACGGATCACTTCTATTAGAGGTAATAGAGAGCTTCAAACTCCCAAGAATGTGTAAAAATATAATGATCAAATGTATTTGCATACAAAAATAGGAATACTGTAGGAACGGAGCTTAAAAATGTAATTAGGTAGCTGAGCTTATTTGTGACAACACTTAAAATGGCTCTATTCATAGACTATATTGACCGAGCATAGAGGTACAACCACCTCTAGTCCATCAATAGACACTTCGGTCGAAAGACGTCTAAACTGACTTGTCGAAATGTCTTCAGAACAAAAAAAGAATGAAGCAAAATTGCTTGTCTTCGGCAAGTAGGACACGAACACCAATAGAATTATTTTAGTGTTTCTAAAGGTAGAGGCCAAAGATATCATGCTTTGTTACGAGTCCAAGTTATTTCTCTGTTTTCTTTTTAATATTGACTAATAATTTATATTTAACCAAGTTGATGACAGAATTATCGGTCAATTAGAGCTTAGTTGTTGAGAAAGGAAACTATTCAATGTTTAGCCTAAATAGAGGTGTTTATAGAAGAATATTATTTATGACTGTAGCTCGAAGCTCATTTGCGTTATGCTACTCTATAACAAATAATATATTCAAATTAACTTTCATATGTTGATACGGCCTGAAGCATTATCGAATATGTAATTTTAATTATATTTAATTACCGTGGCCATAATATTATTGTGATGTTAACGACGCTCGTATTGTGAGCGAAACCAAGGTATTTGCATAGGGGTCAACGCAGCGTTGCATTTGACTGATACAGTGTTTAGACTTTCAATTGTTTTTAACATTATCTGCTTCACTGAACAAGATAATCAGTATATATAGTGTATTTTTGATTTTCGAACGTTTTATAGATTCATATTTTTATTAATTTAAGCATGAAATTGTGGTTTTTACTGAATCGATTTGAGATAGTTCATTAGCTTAATATATATTCGAGTGTCTTAACGTGTTTTTAGTGTAAATCAACGTAACCATTGTGAGAAAAATCACGAATTCATGTAAATTGCGTCTTTGTTTACCAAAAATGCCAAGTACGAAAAATACTGTACAGTAACTATGCTTTATCATACGAAATGCGATCGAAAATGAAAGCGATAATGCAGCGTTGCGGAGCGCCCTTAGCTCATATCGATATTCTAGCGTAATCGATTCATTCAGTACATTGTTACAGGAATTATATAATGCCGGTAATAATTATTTCGAAACTTAAAGTATCTTTATTACTGAATACTATAGTTGTTTATACGAAATAACGAAATCTCTATAATTTACCATAATATTGTGATATTATTTGTAAGTGGGAACGTCCACGCACAAGACATCGTTTTAAACAGAGCAGTATTGTATGGAGATATGACCGTTTACCGCGAATAGCATCTAGTATAACTGTATGACCTAACACCGGCTTCTCCTAATTTTCACGACGCCTTTTAGAGATGGTGAAGGGCTAGCATTACTGACATTTAGATTAAGTTGCATATCTACTATTATAAATTATGTATGTATGTATGTATCAGACAAGTACGAAACGTTGTAGGCTATGGTTTAGTGTTTACACAGCAAAATGGAAATGTCAGTTTGACATCTTAACTGTCACGATGACACGGGTCAACGAACACTACATTTTCGGATTAAATTATGTCCAAGCATAACTCTAGGATTTTGTGAAACGATATGTAATGTAGACAGGCATTTGACGGGTAAAGGCGTCGATAGTAGACACGGATCTTGATATAATAGATAAGGGTGATCGCACATTTGTCAGCAAGATATGCGTCACCACTTTTGGTAGCACGGTGTATACGGTCACGATAGATGAGCTCGGAGCTTTTATCGAATTTGAATAAGGCATAAATTACTGTAACAGCATTGCTCAGCTTATTTGATACACAATAGTTTGAAGTAGATCATAACTTATTACTAAAAGAATCGCACCGTATTCCAAGATCCGTGACGCCTCGATTGTTGAGTCTTAGAAGTCAATGTTTAGGATGGTGCTTATCTCTTATGGTTTTGTAGTAGTAGTCGATGATTGAATTGTGAAATGCCCAAATATTGACCACTTTTTCACACGTGTTCCACTAAGAAGTCAAAGTAATTTGGGCATTCAGCACCATGCTGGATTTGGAATTAGATCTGAGCGGGTGTAATTTATTCGGTTTCATTTATGACGTTACTTCCCATGTTTCGCTTCCGCTGCATTTTCTATTTATTTCTATTTATTGAAGCTGTGAATGCATTTAAATTTGACTTTTGCAATATTGTAATGGTCAAAGTAATAGTGTATGATGAGCGTGCGACTAATTTTTCTAGTTTTACAAATTGTATGTATTCTCACGAACACTGACGTAGTTTGTGTCATGTACACAAACTGTACAAATTAAAATGAATAACACGGTTGTCTTTTTGTTTGGTCTTCCGAATGGGCCTCGCGCGGTAGAGACATAATATGAAGAAGACCTTGTAATGAAGACAGAAATGCCACATCTTAACCCTTGATCGAAGCTAAACTCGGTTACATAATTTGGAATACATAAGGATACTCGAATATTAACCAATTCCCAGATAACAATTATTTGTATGACGTGCGAATACCTTTACCTGTTTTTTAAATATTTCGTTTATGTTATTCTCTAGTTCTAAAAATCTATTTTAATCTCATTTTATTATTAAATGCTCCACAGCCTTGGGATAGGTCTCGCCCTAGTAAAACGACTCCAAACGCCCCTGCCTCGGTCGTTCTTCCTCCAATTGAGGATCTTGTTCGACGCCGTCCTGCTATTCTAGACCGTTATTTTCCATGTCTTCTTCCCAGGAGACCATTGCAGTCTTTTAGCTTGATTATGTCTCATCGTATAAATGACACATTGCGGTTGTCTTACTATTCTTTTCGTGGTCTTCCGCGCGAACACCAGCAACGCACTCTCATCTTTGTGACTGCGTTCTAGCATTAGTGAGTGCCGGTTTTAACAGGGTATTAAGTAGTTATATTTTGAGCCGCTGTGGAAGCATTTTATTTTTTGACTTGATATCGATGCTATCGCATAGGAACGCAACACATTAATAACTAGTTACCGAAAGGTTTAATACGAAACGAACATCTTTGCGCTTGTACTTTGAAGGGGAGAATCGCTGAAAAAGTATTGTGTTTTTCGTTCCTATCCTTGTTGTAATATCTATTATTATTTTGTATTACGAAGAGGTGTTGTTGTTTATTTGAAAACTTGTGAATAATTATGTGCCCATTTTTCGAAATATTAAAAAGAAGCCTTTATAACTATTTATTTATGGATGTTTTAATATATATAATTGTACCTATTACTTCTTTTTTTCAAACATGTTTTATTGCATTAAACAGGTTTTTGCGTTCTTTGGGCATATAACCTCCAAATAACCTAAAAACAAATATATTGTCCTAGTTTAAAAAACATAACATAACGTTCAAATTACTTATCCGGAAAATTAAAATCCGTCATTCTACTGTACGGATGGGAAACATGGACGCTGACGCTTAAGGAAGAGGAAAAGTTATCGGTGGCCGAAATGAAGATAATGCAGAAGATACTTGAAGATATGCAAAGGAAAGTTGCAGGAAATGCGAAGATCGTAAAGGAAACAACTTAATCGGGGAGAAAAACCCCAAAAACACCGCTGGAGGAGAATGTGAGAGGGTTAGAGTGTCAAGAAAGTGACATTGGATCGCTGCACCAGCAGGAGAAATAAGAACGTCAGTAAGTTTATTGAACACAAAATGTAAGTGAAATTAATATTCTAATATTTTTAAAAACAATATAACTTTTGTTCTCTCATTTATTTTATAAACATGACATTTACTCTATCGGTAGGTATTTAATCTCTTCGACTTCCTTCACTTTGCCATCCACCTTTTTGTATTTCTTCATGTTCACTTCGACGCGCACCTTCACTTGGAGCTTTTTGAGCAGTTGTGACATTTCGTCATCGTCGTCGTCATCTTCGGGTTCAGGCTCCGGTTTTGGGGTGGGCTCTGTGGTAGGTGGTGAGGTGGGTTCGGTTGTGGGTGCTACGGTGGGTTCGGTTGTTGGGGCTGCAGTGGGTTCAGTTGTGGGTTGCGGTGTCGGTGGTGGGGTGGAAGGCGCGGTCGGTTCAGGGGTCGGTTCCGGGGTGGGCTCAGGGGTAGAATCATTTCCGCGCTGGAAGTCGATACCGGTAGTTTCTTGGAACCACGAGTGGAATGGTCCGGGACGTACAAAACCTGAAATTCATATTAAAATTTCAGATTTTTTGTAAATATCGTGATATTCTTTCATTTGATTTATCTAGAAATATTTTACAAATTTTTGAAGCCTGCATTTATACAAGATACATATTTAACAGATACAGTTTAAATTAATTGGTAGCTAATGTTAAAAGATCAACTGCTTGCAAGGCTCTTTGCATAGTCTTGTTTCGCCCTCGGAGGTCAGAATTTCTTGTTCAAATTAATTAGGACATCCAGCGTGTTACCTTCAACCGCACCACGGTATTATCTGGTTACTATAACGTTTCATTGTAAAACCAAAACCGTTACAGCTGAGTGAGGACTATAATTATACGTGGCTGCAATTAAACCATTTTCCTGATGCATTGGCCACTTACCACCAGGGTGTCCGGAGTGACATCCGCCTGACTTAGATCCGGCGACAAAGGATGTGACTCCCACTAGGGTAGGGACGCCTTCACTGTCGTATTCGACGAGAGGTCCACCGCTGTCACCCTTAAATCAATCATTATTAATTTATCAACTAAACACGTGAATGAAGATTCCCCCCTTTTCGTCTGGGCTTCAGGTGGCGGACCAGGAGGATTGATTCAGGACCTCGTGCTAGTCGTTAGCACGTTTAGTCATGATGTTTTTCAATATAAATCAAAGATTACTTATATGAATTACCAGTTTATAAATATTTCTAACTGTTCGCGACTCCATACGTGTAGAATTATTGTTTTGGGTATTAAAATATATTTTTGCAAACTATTTCCAGCCTAATAGCAATATACGATAATACACGTGTGGGCCATACCTGGCAAACCGATTGCGTGGTGATGTTGTACCAGCGCGCACAAATTGTGTTAGAGTTGACTATTCTGGCGCCGAAGAGCCGAGCGCACTCGCTGTCTTCTACGCCTCGCAAGTATGTCCACTGGAGGATGACAGGTGTCGTAGGGGCTGCAGTTATAGATTTACAAATACTGTCTGTAGTTTACGCGAGTAGTTAAATAAAACACTTAAACGGTTTGAAACGCGATATATATTAGTTAAACTTATTTTAACTTCGGCCCGACGTTTTGAATGCTTTGCACCACGGCTGCTAATATATATCGCGTTTTAAACCGTTAAAATGTTTTATTCAAATAGATTAACAAATGTTAATGAAATATTTTTAACCGTTTAGAAGTACGATATATGCGTTATCGCATAATAACTCGAAAAGTAGGCTCTTAGTTATTATATGTTCACTAATCTGTAAAATGTATTTACTACAGTAAAAAAGATAAATTATAATTATTCTATGATACACAGACTTTAAATAGAACAGGTATATTACAGGCTTTTTATTTGTGTCTATTTTTGTTTTAAGTAACTGACTTAAGTGTGAGTCCTCGGGCATGATTTACGCCGATCTATTAAAAGCTTATTTACATTTCGGAAGTCATAGAATTAAGGTTACAAACCGTCAGTCCAGGTTCTTCCCCAGCCGCTGGCTACCAGTTTCTGCTCGCCGTAATTCCTGAACGCATCGACGGAAGATTGGATTTTCACTGGTTGCAAGTTTGCTGCACAGAAACAAAACCACGTGACAGGGCACTGATCATTATATTGAAACAGGACAAAAATATCAATCGTGTTTGAATCAAAACTTACGTGTAAAAGTAACGGGTGTAGTCAGTTTAATAAGGGCGACATCATTGGATTGAACTGCACCAGGATTTTCCGAATTATAGGTGGGGTAGTTGTGCCATTCCCAGGTGGCTTCGGCGTATTCGACTGCGTCAGTTCGGATGAGACCGGCGCGGACAGTTATTTCACGGTAGCTGAAGACAATGAAATCACGAGTAAAAACTTTGGTTATTTTTATGATGAGATCCGCGAAACAGTAAAATAAGAATAAATCGGGTTTAAAAGACTTTTCTGGTTGGGTGGGTATTTATCTTTTGTGCAACAAGGCGATGACAAGAATACAATCAGTTAATATCGTCTGTCAAATGACATCTGTAGTCCAGATGTAAAACAACACTCAGGTACAAATTACAATATTTTGTATAATATGTACCATGCATTTGCATGAAATACAAATGCACGATTCCAAATTCAAATCTATAAATGTTTACTTTATCTACGCAAAACAATTGAAGGTGCGCGATATCTGTAGAAAATTCAGGGCATAGAGTTGCCTTAATATTTCAAACACTATTCAACGTCGCCGTAGACTTGTTGAAACATGTGCTTAGACCAAAATTTTTTGAACGTAGGCTAAGATCAGTGGGTGCGTCTGGTCTCCGCGATCCTGTGACATAGTAGTTGAGTGATTATAATTAAACAAAAAGTAAAAATGGCGTCACAAGATTAAATTGTCATCAGGTTGTCGCCGCTCTTACACAGGTAAGTAAACTAACCAACTTAAATTGTTAAATTTTGTATTCGTTTTTTTCTCTTATTTAGTTAGTTTCTTAAAAAGACAGTTATTTAATTTCGAAGCGTTGTTTAATTCAGTGAAGTGAAACTTTCGCTATGTTATTGTTAAAGTTTTAGCCGTAATCGGCGCTACGACCGCATGCGTCGCGCGGTCACCGATTGTTATTACTGTAACATTGAAACAATGAAAAGATAAACGCTTGCATGCGTGCCAAAGTTAGGTCCACTTACTTAGCCGTGCAATGCGCGGCAGTTAAGACCCACTGCTCGTGGATAACTGATGCACCGCAACCCAAGGTTCTAAAGCTACGGTCGATGATCCTCAGCGAGGCTTGGTGCGGGAACTGACCGAGCCTGGCGTCCCATCCTGATACTATACGGCCTTGGTGTGGCTCTGCGAAGTGAAAAGTAGGCTTTCATTCACAATGACGGGACTGTATGGCGTTTTTGACAGTCAATGCTGTTTATAGTTTATTAGGTTCAAAGACAATTACTTAGCGAAATAGGACTCATTGCCAGCAACATAAAACGCTTTATGTACCTACTTTGTTGTCTTCTATAATATGGCGCGGGCGTCATCAATAGATACCTACAAGGTAAATTATTTTTCAAATCGGCAATGATTTGAAAAAAATAAATCACACAAATTACCACTAATCCTAATAGTTTTGATTAGATAAAACGATAATGGATATCTCATTGTTACGCCGAAACCTGTCGGTAGATGTTATCAAAGTATTATTATCGTGGTAATTGATTGCAAAAGTAGATTATTCGTTACATTTGTAGGAACACTTGACTTTGGAATAATTTAACAATGAATTCAAAGTCAAGCTCAGAAGTCGTCGTATAAGATATAGTGGATGGTAGACATTTATCGTATACAAAAGTTATCCACGTAACCCAATATTTGACCTAGTTTTATGAAAATATATAATGAAGAAAATAGCGGAATTAAAACCAACAATAGGGTGTTATGTGCTAAGTCTCGTTTTTCCAATATAATGAATTAGGGTATGTATGTGAAGAGTTATCTGATAATAAAAATAGCGTTTAAGATAGAGGGCGATATTAAGATAAAACAGAAATTATACATTTAAATAAATGAGAAAACTACGTACTAAACTTTAATCAAAGCCGAAGAAATGTTTTTTTTTTAGCCTAGTATGTTCTCAGAATGTACAGTTAAATTTTCACAGTGATGTTATTGAGTGTAAGAAAGAAGGCTCACCTGCAAGTGCTCTCACATTTTCAACGTGATCCACGTCGTGGAATCTCGCTGATGCCTGCAATCCGAAAAAAATATTAGTTTAGTAGATTAGACTAGATTTGCTCCATCGATGCGACATCGGCTATGCCTAACTACGTCAACACGTACCAATTCCGGTGGAAGAAAATTTTTTGGTGTGTGCAAATATCATGACGAGAACATAACGTGAGTCAAGCTGTAACTGTAGGTTTTAATTTTTTTTTTAATAAAAAATTACGAGAGCAAAAATTTTAAAATAACGTTTTGCTGTAACAGACGTGTTATCATAGATATAGAATGAATGACTGAGTAGATAATAATCTTATATGTCTTTGTAGCTTGTCACTCTTGTTCTAATAGAAAGAAGTCGATAGTGGAAACACATTCAAATAATATTTACAAACTTAATAAGACTTAATCATTTGTCGCCTATTGGTTAATCGGAGTAAGGGTAAATCTCATTATTGCTTAACTTACCGCTAGACTTGCAAAGGCTATAAAAAGTAGTGTTATGCTCCACATCTCGTTCCTCACTAAAATGTTTAAGAATTTCCTTTAAAAGAAAAACTTAAATAGAGCCGATAGTACACAATAATTATCACGATTGCATTAATCAGATAGATAATATTTCGTTAATTGGTTGATAACTGCGTCATAGTCCTAGAAACATTAGTAATGGCTTTATGTACCTAGCTTTCTTCCAATCAAAGATTTTTGGGTTCAATACGCCGTTAGTACATCGATCTAAACGTGTTTGCTCTGCTAGAATATTGCTTAACACAAGCAATAATTAAATTTTTACATTCACGACAGGCTTTTTTTTAATTATTTTTTTAAATATATTTTTAAAATCTTGTAATCCATCCATCTAATAAGATTTAATAAAGAATATATAATAATGCAGATAAGAACTCTTCTGCGTGGTTGTACCAAGCGTACATTTTCGTGTTTTAGGATTCAGCGTACCAGTACCGGGTACTAACTTTCCTGTTTGTGGTCCTACCATCACCAGGATTTATCTCTAGAACTGCGATAGCCAGGGAGATCTAACAACTAACCAAATAACTATTGAAGGGGACTAATTTTACGTAAATGGCAACAGGGTTCAACGGTAATATTTCCTGTTATTTACCAAGTCAATGATACAGAACCCTAGAAGCGCGAGTCCGATTTGCCACCATTTCTAACTGACAGTGATTGACGTAATGGAATTTACCCTATGCGCTGTTTTCATTTATTTTTATCTAAACAACTAATTTTTATCCACCCGAGATCTGTCGAAACGCAGATCATATTTGATTCCAAACGGGCCAGCGCGGACTCGAGCACGAAGATGTTATGAAAATTATAAGCCGTCAACATACAAACTCTTGAAAGCTGTTCTTAAAGTTAATTTATCGTTGACCACCATAATGGTGTTTCAGTTGGTACCTACTCTGTACGATTTTTTCAGTATCGACACAATTTCTTTTTACAAGCGATCGAGGTTTTTGTAGAAAACCATTTACCATTGATATTTACTTTGCTCAGTTCAGTTTTTAATCAGTCTGTATGATTCAGGGCCAAAACAAACAGACGGAATGGGCGGAATTTCAGAGTTTTTCGACTTTTCTCAGAATTTGAAAAACTCGCGATAATTCATGATTTTCGATAAACCTCAGGTTACATATGAAATATCTCTGTAGTTAAAAGCTAAACGAACTAAAAATAATGTTCTTTCGATATTAATTGCGAATCCGAAGCGACGAAGCGGCGACGGGCGACGCCGTTGCCACCCGTCAAGTCAGTATGATAAGCAAGTTACGAGTAACCTAGACCGCATTGTATAGAACAATAATAATACGTTTTTGGCAGAAAAATCTTATACTTATAATATATCAGGACCATCCATCTCAGGATTTTCTTTAGAAAATAGAAGCTTTGTCCGCTCTCTTTCCATCTGGTATTACGATGACATTTTTAAGTTAAGCATGGTTTATTGGGATCTTACGCTATTAAAACAAACACATTTCAGACTAACTGTACTTTTAATGGGACGTAGTAACAAAGGCTTATACTTTGTAATGTAACTTTGATTTTAGCTTCTTATTTGCCGAGTGTTGTCTTAAGTTTAAAACCTTTGTTTTACAGCAAAAATATTATATGTTGACTTAGCGATATTTATAGATATATTTGATAATTCAAAGAGTAAAATTAATGCGCCTGTTCAAGATTAATTTAGACCAACTTGAAAGCCACACATATAAACACCACAATGTTTATTGTATGTATCTATTTTGCAATTTATAAAAACATATTCGCTCAGTCACGAATTAAATTATTTATTTTCATATTTTGTTAAACAAACGAATATATGGCGTGTTAGATAATTAAAAATTAAAATTTATTAGTACTAATTAATGGCGAACATACTTTTAAATCATTTTTAACAAAATAGTATCAACTTTGAAGAGTGAATTATAAATTTACTTTGCACTTTATCTAATAAATGTCGTATAAAAGCCGGTTGTTTCAACACCTCCTTTTCAACAAAAAAGGATCATTAAAGTTATTCATACGAACAAACATAAAAAAGGCGGGTATAATACTAATCGAATTGAAAAGCTATTTTTTTCAAGTTCAGTTAGCAAATGAAAATATATTTGTTGCGGCGTGATTATAGGATTAGTGGGTAAATCAAATCTTATCGCATTGCATTGCTAGTGCACCTAAATCAGGCGCGATTTTTTTATATTCTTATTGCCATTGACAACTATGTGCTAAAAAAATATCAAAGAGATGAATTTATGACGATGAAGCTAATAATATCCGTGTTTTTTTCTTCTTATGTCTTTTTTATAATAAATACTAGGTAGGTCTGCGGAGACATAAATATGCTCACATTTTATATTAAGTTTATTCATAACCTAAGCCCTTATATCCGAAAACGTGGTCATAGTGGTAATAGTAGAAAAGAGATTTTGACAGTTTTCTTATAATAAAGGTTCTTTTAATAATTAAACATCGAATGGACACTTTCAAAGTTGAGTTTATCATGCATTGGGGGAATTCCATGAGAAGTCCAAGTTCAGTCCGGTGATTTGTTGGTACCAATGGTGGAACGCTCCCGGGCGGATGAAACCTTGAACAATGATGAATATTATGAATCTAATATGAACCATTAACAGTTTCTGTGTTATCGGTGATAGAATTTATTTACTTGCTAAAGATTAACATGCTATCATTAACCAAGTTCCCTTTTGAAATATCAAACTGAAGATTTTTAGCCATGACTACTATTTAGGAATACAACAAAAGGTGCATAATTTGCTATAGTAAGGCTCGTCCCTACCTCCGTGATTATTATCGTCAAGTAAATATCTATGTACTTACTTACTTCTTCATAATAAGCTACTCACCACCAGGATGTCCCGAGTGACATCCGCCGGAACGTGAACCGGCTACGAACGAAGTGACTCCCACCAGAATGGGGACTCTCCGGCTATTTATGTGCACCAGAGGACCTCCGCTGTCACCCTGGAAAGATTTTGTAATTATACACTGACTGATATACATTTTGAATCTTGGGTGAATATATAAATATTAATTCTAGTCGTGTCGGCTTTGTTCGCGTAGAATAGATATTTTGGGCATCAGAATATTTTTTTTGAAAATATCATCGTCTTTATGAATTATAGTTGTTTCCAACGACGTTGTACGCGTCCCGTTTATTCTTCCCAGTTACTCTTAAAATATAGACAAATACTAGCGCGGACTTTTATTTTTACATCAGTTAAAGAAGAACTTTCCTTCATACATATTTCTGGGTATCTTGAACCGTTTTTACAGCACGCTTTGTTCCTCGTTTCTTTTCGCGTCGGTCGCAGCGTATTTTATCGAATTCAATTCGAATCAGTAGTTCTTGAGATTTATCGCGTTCAAACAAACAAACTCTACAGCTTTATATATTAGTATAATGTACATACTTGGCAAACAGATTGACTAGTGATGTTCCAGAACCGGGCGCATATTGTCGCAGAGTTGACGAGAGACGTGCCGAAAAGTGTCCTGCACGAGCTGTCTGACACTCCACGAAGGTACGTCCACTGAAGATTAACGGCTGTCGGGCCTAACGACAGTTATTTTTCGTTAAAAGATATTTTCAAATTTGTCTTTTTAATACTGTTTCTTTCTTTACTTCTGTGTGTTCGTTTACTGTAGATGGAACAACTTACAAACCAGTGAGTTAAGCAATTATTATTGAAGTTTTTATATTATCTTTCAGTTACACAATGCAAGATTACCGTCCGTCCACGTTCTCCCCCAACCGCTGGCCATCATCTGTTCCTCGGTGTAGCTTCTGTACGCGTCGATGGACGGCTGTAGTTGAATACTCATAAGGTTCACTGCAAATATTTGTCAAGATTTACTATGGCGTCTGACAATCATCTAAAACAATTATTTGTCTTTAAAATGAGTAGGTATATATACCTGTAAAGGTCATCGAGTAGGGCACTTTGACGAGTGCGACGTCGTTCGGCTGTACTCTGCCGGGGTCATTGGAGTTGTAGGTGTAGTAGTTGTGCCACTCCCAAGAGTCGGCGATGTACTCCGCGGAGTACACCTGGGTCAGTCCAGCTCGAACGGTGACTTGGCGGTAGCTGAAAAGCGATTAGGTATAATGTCTTAACACATATCCGTAAGGCGTGACGTGCCAACGACGCAAATATAAAAAAAAACAAAACTTACTTTGCCGTGCAGTGAGCTGCAGTGATTACCCAATCTTGATGAATCACGGATCCTCCGCAGCCCAAAAGTTGGCCAATATTATTGGTAATCCTTAACGAGGCTTGGTGAGGGAACTGTCCGGGATTCGCGTCCCACCCCGAGACGATACGACCCGGGCGGCCCTCTGCTAGGTTTAAAAATAAACATTAAAATCGAACAATAACGATACCCTTGCCTAACTGATCGCCCGATGACACAAGCCCGGTATTAGCGTTATAATCTAAACGGTCAGCTTTAGAACACATATTTGTTTGTTGTAAATAAAAGCTTTCGTCTGGTTTTCTGGATTACGTTGCGTATGCGCATAGTTACCACGGGGATCGAATTCTGAGTTAGACAAACCGGGAAAAGTGATATGTTTATTAGTCTTATACAAAATATGCTCAAGGCCCACAAGAATGTATTGTAAAATCTACTGTTTTAAACATATTGTATTAATTCATATAATAATTTATTTGTAAATACACAAACTATCTTTTACAGTGACGCAATTTTTAAATTTATATTTTGTATGCAAATAATCAGATAAAATCACATTATATTTTGATTGTGAAAATAATCCGCGATACTAATGGGGTTATTTATCAATATTAATTCCAAATACAACGTTTGGTGTACACGTAATAAGTTTTCAAGGTACACGGTGAGATCGTTGCTAGATAGAAGGTTATTTTAATGCAATAAGGTACTAGCTGTGTCAGCGAGTTCGTTCGCGTAGAATAGTTATTTTGGGCATCCAATTTTGTTTTTGCAACCTCCTGGTAAACGCTAAAAATTTGAGTTGTCACCCACGCCGCCTGCGTCCGGTCGTTCTCGCAAGTTACTCTTAAAAATAGACATCCACAGTGTCGCCGAAATTTTTTTAGATCATTGAAAAAAACTTTCATATATATTTTTCGGGTATCTTAAACCGATTTCGCAGTGGACGCAACGGAAACCCACACGGATAAATAATGTTCCCCGTTATTTTTACATTTTCCGCTGCTTCTTCGCTCCTATTAGACACAGCATGACAGCACGATCAGTAGTTCCTGAGAGCAGTGCGTTAAAACAAACAAACAAACTCTTTAGCTTTATATATTGGTATAGATAGATAAGGGTTTGTAATGTAATATTACCAGCTTACTTTAAGAGAATTTTTCCGCTTAGATACACTAGATTGTTGAAAATCTCAATCTTTACATTATATATTACAGATATGGCTGTAGTATATAATGTAAAGACCTTCGTTTTTATGAATACCTACTTTTTATTATAATACATAAGACATATAATGATTAGGTACCTATGTCCCCATTTTTTCTGACGGTTTCTACGAAATGCGCGCTTTCGAGGCGAATCGAACCGACCTGAAACAAACAGTGTAAAAGGAATTATATTTTAGGAACAGAAAAAGATTCTCTTCACTACATTAGCTAAACCTATCTAATAAATAGTGTAGCGTATAGAATATGTAGGGTACACTGTGTACGGTTGAAATATTTTATCGTGCCTCTCTGTTTACTAATGCGCGATGTAATTTAAAATAACTCTATTTCCTGTGTAAAGTCATATTAAAAAACAGTAGTTTGTGTCAATCGTGTTTTTTAATAATTCCATAATATTTTTGAAATCGTAATGGCATAGTTGCATGTAACAAGTCTTTAGCCAAATTTCTAATCTAACTTTATTTTAATTAACCTTCAACTAGACTAACCTTAAACGAAAACGAAAATTTATATATATAGTATATATATAAAAGTTTGCTTAATATATAATAATCCATTAAGCAGCTATTGTGTTTACGTAAAACACTTTAGAGGGTTCAAAACGCGATATGGATTTGTAATATTATTTACTGATTTCGACGTTTCGGACGTTGTGCAGCAGCCGAGGGTGTCCCTAATGTCAAAGACAAAATTTGCTACGCTAATGCCGTCTATTTCCTCAAAGTTGGTATTAAGAGAAACTAGGTGGGCCCGACAGGCACTAATTGACAAGGCTTCCTCTCGTTTCTCGGTATGCCGTTTTTTTGAATCTAGGATCCCAGGTGTTGTATATCTTGCGGCTATCCTCTCTTTTGAAATTTGGCTGTATATTTGTTTAAATTCAATCCTTTTCCAAGGATGGTTCGCGAGAGTATTGCTCCCAGAGAAAATGAAAGTGGGGTGGTCGTAGTCGTCACATTTTCCATCTGATTTGTGAGGACAAGGTAGGATGGGAGGATAAAAGGATAGGATCTCCAGTGAAAGTGTAACAATACTGAAACACTACTACTAATCCTCTAAATCTTTATAGACTAGCTTGCACATACGTTGATAAGTCGGCTCGACATTTCGAAGTCTTTCTTTCGCGTACCCGAAGCATCTGAAAACACAATGGGACCTCCCAAAAACGAGCACAACGCCCCAAGAGGTGGGCCCCAATGGGTTTCAAACATTCACCGTTTTAACCGTACCCTACTACAGAGTACAGAGAGATAGATAAATCATTTTGAAGGTTTCAAGCTTTTCTGCGTTGGGCATCTTAAAAGGAAAAAGGTTTCGACTTATGTACACTTAAGGTTAAAGTACTTACCACTTGATTAACAAGGGCTATAACAAGCAGCGATATCCTCAACATTTTGACCATAACTAAAATTCAAGTTCCCCTAATGCAGCTCCATTTAAATAAGGAAGATAAAAACAAGATAATCATGCTTAATAAGCCGATAATTAATTTGATAAACCTCCTGTCAACACGTGTTTGGGCGATAAAAAAATATCGTCGGTTGTTCTTGGTTTTGAAGACGGTTTGACTGCTTTGAAAAACTTCGGTTGACCACTAACTACATTTCACCCCAGGCAGATTAAAGGTTGAAATTCTATTCACAAAAGAACAATGGTCAAATCGTACCTTACGACGAACAGATTGCATATCAAATTTATCGTTAGATAATGTTAATAACAGTGATTATTTGTATTTATTCACTGCCTTTTATGTAAGACTGCCAGAGGCAGAGTAACCTAACAACAAATAACATGCTTTTCAATATGGAGGAAAAGAAAAATGCACAGTTAATTAGGGGCCGTTCAAGTATTACGTAAGCAGATTTATTACAATTATTTACCCCCCCATCCCCCTTGTCAGCAAAAGTAAGCAAAGCTTTTACCCTCTCCCCCGTGCTTACGTAAACATTTTTCAATTATAATTTTAAAAATAAGAAAGTTGATTCAGAAAGTAAATAAATATCGATGACGCAATCATCATCTGGACTCCCCTACCCCCCATGTCATCAAAAATAAGCAAAACAAAGACCCCCCCACCTACCTATAGTGCTTACGTAATACTTGAACGGTCCCTTAAGCGAAAATGAATTTTTCTATTATTCGTGTAAAAATCATGTTATAAATTTTCGGTCACTGTGCTCTTGTAGATTAACATTTTAACACGAAGAAAATATAAATATCTCAAGGCATAAAATTGCAGTTTGGCTAACCTGTCTTTAGCGGCCTCATATGTAAAGAGTAAAAATATTCTAATCGCGTGTAACAGAACGATCGTCATTTGGAATTTATCATCACTGACACGTGTCAATATTAAATACTGTCTATGCTGTTTATTGGGATCCATTTTTAATATGGGATCCCAGGTGTTTGAAATTTCAATAGGGAGGAGGACGGCCTCAAAGTATCAAACACCTGGGATTCCATATTAAAAGCTCTGGATCCCAATAAACAACATACCGGCAAACGCGAAGACACCGCTAATAAATTCTGCAAGGATCCGGCCAGTTCCGCCAAATACCAACTTCGACGAAACAGATGTCGCTAGCGTAGCAATTTTTTACTTTGACGTCAGAGACATCCTCCATCTTTAGTCTCCCCGTGACCTCGGCTGCTGCAAAGCATCCGAAACGTCGGGCCGAAGTTAAAAATCATTTTCAAATAAGTTTAACTAATATATCGCGTTTTAAACCGTTAAAGTGTTTTATTTAAACGTGTCAATATTGCCTTTGTTTAGTTATAACCGCCCATAAACTCATTCTGCTCTTTAAAATAATTCTATTGATATACTTAACGAAAAAGCTAGTTAAGATTATATTAATTAAATTTATTTATTGATGGCAATCTCAAAAGTATTTTTTTAAGCTATTCAATTATGTTGACTATTTAAATAATGTTTTTGTACATTGCGTATTTAATATATAAAAATATATCAACCAGCTTACGATTGTGGTCACGACAAATTTTATTCAGACACAGTACTGTATATATAAATTTGAAAATTGTTCTGTACTTCATTATATCATTCTGTCTTAGGATTTTTCGCTTAGGCGTGTCTAATTTTGAGTTAACTGGACCAAGAAATCTCAAGGTCCAACACAATCTTAGCTCCTCTGTCTCCTCTTCATAGAATTAGAGTTTCAGAACATCCTGTTTATCCAATCATTTTCTTTTCAATAATTCAATCTTTTTGTACGAGTGAGCAAACTTGAACAATTTTTTATTCATTTATAAGCTATTTGTGGTCGAATTTTGTTAATATATTTTATAATTTACATTATGAATTTATTTTTTTATTTCTTAGCTTTATTATTTATACCACTTAACATAAAACAAAAAATATAAGAAAAGACGTGCCATTTTAAGCAGCGTTCTCTTCCAGGCAACTTAAAGTACAGGAAAAAAGAAGTGAATTAAATATTTGTTTAAAAAAATTAACGACACGAGTGAGACTTGAACCGGCGCCTGCGGCGTTCCGTACTGATCTAATCAATTGAGCTGCCTTGTTGCCCGAAATGACACGTTAAGATTTGGTTCTATATCTATATCGCCAAAATCTGCAAAATATTAAAGTTTTCAAATACTTAATCGTATGGGAACCTTTGACTTGAAGAGGTTACGTCAATATATTAGTTTGGACTTATCAGTCGCAGCGGCCAAATCGTAATGATACAAAATTCAGTATGAAGATTTTCTTTACCAAAAGGCAAAGTAATTTAGGAGTTTATTCAAAACAAACGTACACTCTTTATAATTTTAGTGTAGACTACCACAAAAATAGATCTCGGACTAAATAGATTTACTTACAAAATCTCTGATTATTAGTAATAAAAACTTTACATTATAAACTTTAATATGTTTTCGCGAAGCTTTGATATTGAAAATTTGTTTAAATGCAAGCCTTTAAGATATTTAGACTTTTTTTGTGTTCATTAAAAGCCTGTTCGACAAAGTCAGTCAGTCACAATGTTTTCGAATATTTCCATCCCACTTTATATAATAGTGTCTAGTCAGCATCAACAATATTCGTAATTGTTTGAATAAAATAGAAATCTTAGGCATTCCACTTTTATTAATGTCTTAAATAATAGGCAAGTTTTTGTTCGATTTCAGCGGAGTTCTTATAATAGATTATGAGCGGTTTTCAAACGTTCGATCAAGTTCGGGGTAGGCGCGTTCCTGGAGAAGTCCAGATTGAGTCCCGTCACTTGTTGGTACCAAGCGTGGAATGATCCCGGCCGGATGAAACCTAGAAAAAGTAACGCTTTGAGTTTGCTCTAATACACATACAATTTAATAAGTGTATAAACAGTCGGGGGACCTTTATTGATCAAAAGGTATCCTGGCCTCAGTTAAAGAGCTAAGTACGAAAATGCATACAGCCACGCATTCTTTATTCCAAATTATCCTCCCCATACCCACTAAAGTCCTTCCTTCTCTGGTTGGAGATTGCTGTTAAGCCGTAAGGCCGCCTCTTATTTGTAAGGTATTTCTTAATCGTTTTCTTTAGAATTCATAATAAAATAGTAAGCACGAAATGCTGATCTTTTTATCGATATTGAAGCAAGTAAGCATAGAGGATCAATTGTCTTCACTTAACGTTTTAAGTCATTGGAGCGTGGCCAGCTTCACCGTTTGTGTACAAAGCTACTAACCAGCAGGTAGTCCTGAGTGACATCCACCGTGCCGGGCGGAAGCTACGAACGAAGTGATTCCTATCAAAGTAGGGACTCCCCATCTATTCTTATGCACTAGAGGGCCTCCGCTATCACCCTGAAAAAGAAATATTGTGAGGGCAATCTCCAACAGAGCTAAACACTGTTAAATATAACGACAGCCTTAATGGCCCTTCAATAACAGCATCAAGGCAAATTTAGTTAGCAGTATGTTTTATAATCGGTGGTGATCAATCAAAACTTCTCTACTAGGTTACGAAGAAGTGCCGACCTGACAAACGGATTGACTTGTGATGTTCCAAAAGCGGGCGCAGATTGTAGCGGAGTTGGCTACAGTAAGAAACCGTCTGCGGCATTCGCTGTCGGGCAGACCGCGAAGGTAAGTCCACTGGAGACGATCGGACGTCGGACCTAATAAAACACAACACAAAATTTAAGCTTGAGAAATTGTTTTGCTGTGGAAGACGATTATAACTGTGTTAGAACTGCGACCCAGATGGAAAGTGTGAGACAAATGCGTGTACATGCAGGGTTGTGCAACCAACGCCGGGAGCTAGAAAACTAAAAGACGGAGGTTTACGGTCGCGCCTGTTACAAAGAAGCGATTCAAACTCACCGTTAGTCCAGGTCCTTCCCCATCCGCTCGCCATCAGCTGCTCGTTGCTGTAGTCTCTGTAGGCGTCATTGGACGTTTGCAGTTGGATGCTCATTAGGTTTACTGTAAGTTGTTTTACGCTTAGTGGCGTTTATTTCCCCGTATGTCTATTAAATGATGATAGTTTTCGACCAGATAAAGAACCAATAATTTTTGTCTTTTCATATTATTTATTTATTTATTTATTTATTTATTTATACAAGGCTCACCAACTACATACATAATTAAACTTACAAAATCTATTTCTAAGAATAGTTAATACTACTTATGTATCTAACTTAAAGGTGTGCACAACTTTAACTAAATATATTAAACAAAGATTAAAAAAAGAGAGTTTTTTACATAACAATTAAAACTACAGATTAGGTAGACATTAAATAAGAATAAAACAACTAATTAAAATTTATGGATGGTAAGATTTCTAAAACTTTTTTCTTGAACATATTTGAGTTGACGAATAAATCTAATTGATCTAATTTAAAAACACAGTTGTACAATTTACACATTGCCTGAATGGGTGAATTATTATTATAGTCAATACAATATGCAGGAAACTCCGCTTGTATGAGCTCTATACCTGTAAACGTCATCGGATACGGCACTCGCACGAGCGAAACGTCGTTGGGCTGAACGAGGGTCGGTGTAGTGGAGTCGAAGCTGAAGTGGTTGTACCACACCCAGGTGTCTGCGACGTATTCGGCCGCGTGCACCTGCGTGAGGCCGGCGCGGACGGTGACCTGGACGAAGCTGGAAATATATTTTAATTGTATTACAATATCTGTTTCTTTTAATGATAGACGAGGACAGACATGGCACGGGGATCACTTGATAGTAGGTGATATATTATATGCCTATAGCATCTAAACAAGATGCGCCATCGACCTATGTTGGCTTTGGAAATTCGCAAATCCACACACTGAAACCGAAACCCGATTAAGCTTCATTTTGATTGAAAAATTTGGAACATGTCGGACCAGGTGGGGATCGAACCCAAGAGCCATTGATCATTAGCCATACATAGCCAACCTACATTAGACCAACCATCCCGTCAAATCTATTTTTATAAAAGTGTTAAACTCCCATGTGAACTTTTGGTGTATTATATTCTGTTATAGAATGTTCTAGAAAGCTTCTTAAACCTACTTAGCGGTGCAGTGAGCGGCCGTAATGACCCAGTCTTGGTGTATGACGGACCCGCCGCAGCCGAAGAGTAGGCCCGCGCTGTTCCTAATTCTTAAGGAGGCTTGGTACGGGAACTGTCCGGGCGAGGCGTCCCATCCGGACACGATGCGACCAGGGTGCGTCTCTGTAATGGGAGTCTTTTGTATTCTTATGCTTTGTGCATATCTAATTCCTGCGGAGGCCCAATGGCTATGATGACTCAATCCTGGTTCTCGGGAGGTCTGAGTGGTGACCGGCCTAGGTATAAGGATCTGTTGTGCACGCAGATTAGAACGTAAAATGTTCCGCCTGACTGTGCACTTTCAGATCCGAATGTTGTTGTTCTTCCTTGACTTCGCTTATCGTCGCGTATACCTATAACCTGTTAAAGCTTCGACGTCACCCTAATTAACAACTGCTAAACGATAAATATTGAATAATTACGAAGATTACGATGAACGGAATCAAAACGTTTAACGATAACAGTGTAAATACGATTTTATCTTTTATAACGAATTGGTTATCAAATTCTAGGTCTACGCAGTATAAATTACAAACAAACGTAGGAAAATGAGAAAAGATTGCTGACCTAGTATGTCCCTAACATTTTCACGTAATCCACGCCAGTGACGTCCAGTGAAAGCTGAAACAATCGAAAGTTCATTACTTCAATTATAAGCTCAAACACAACATAGCACGAGACAACTCATAAAGTAGTCATTATATTTAATAATACCTAATTTGCAGAACGTTTTAAATTATTATTTGAGATATACATAACCGGTGTAAACTTTTTCTAACAATATTTTAATTCAATTTAAAAACGGTTTACACGTACACGTTATTAAAAGATAGGTATACACTTAAGTTTAGTACGTATAAAGTCTGTAATATTTTCAAAATAACATGCGTACGCCCACAACATCTGCGCGAAATTGAGAACATATTTTGTAAGAGTGTAAGGTAAAAAAAATGGAAACGCGAACTTAATCCTTTCTTTCACTAACTGTGAGCCAAAACTTTAAGTAGTAAGTATTGTCTGGCCGTGATCACGAGCGGAACACTCATAGCCATTTTTACCAATTCTTTTTAGTTAACGAAAGATAAGGTTTAGAACATTTCTGTTCATTTTGATCACACAACATCAATATAATTTCACGTGTGAATGGTTAATATGCTACGCTGTTGGTCTGTCCTATACATTGTTTATAAATTTAATACAAATTAAATTCCCTATAACTCATTTTGCCGATACAGTTGTGTACAGTACATTGAAAGATTTAAATTTACTGTCTCGATCTCGTGACTTATTCTCACCCTTTTGCGGTTCTACTAGTAGAGCTACCGTGCCCGCGAGTGTATCTGGCGTTTGTATATGGGCATTTTGTAAATAATACCTCTCGAGCAATGTAAATTCTCCTTTTTATCCTTAACAGAAATTTGTTTACATACCGATATTTTATAGGCTATAGCCTCCCTCCTTAAATTAATCGTGCCCTAACTAACACAAATATAGTTTCTCAATTCGAACCCGTAGTTCCTAAGATTAGCGCGTTCGAACATACAAACAAACAAACTCTTCAGCTTTATATAATAGTATAGATAGATTATATTTGAATAAATAAGAACCTGTTACCCTACACTCTATTAATAAAAACAGCGTAGAACTAGAATTGCATGCAGTTCAGAGATATGTACATGTACACAGACACAGAAAAATATTCCTATAAATAATTATGAATTCATTGGTATTTTTGATGTCTATAATATGTTTATATTATTTGAATGAAGAACTGGGAAATATTCTGCCAAAGAGTTAAAAATAATATAAAAAGAAAAGACACCCTAAACACCCCACAGACTGAGTACCCGAAATGAATGTTCTTCTAATTTGTCAATGTTATTTCTAATTTTCTAATTTACAAGTTTCTTAAAAACATACGAGTATAGGTATGTAGGTTAAGGGCTCGATATTATCCAACTCTGCCCTAAATTTAGAATTTAGAGGGATGAAGTATTACTACAATAAACGTTCACACCGTATTCGATTTACACGACGAATAGCATGTACAACGTCTCGTCATGACTTATAATGCAGAAATATTGTCGCATTACCGCATAAAGTATAACAAGTCTAATGCGGTTGGCTCATGATAACTTGAAACACAAGCCAATTTGGCTGGAGTTATTGGCTAACCTCTGCCAATGGAAAATTCTCTTCTCAACAATAGCCGTTTAAAGAAATTGTGACTGTTAGGTAGACAAACAAACAACATTTTATAGAAATCATGGCAGCCCTTCCGACTTGTTGTATTGTTAGAACTTACCACTTGTTTAGCAAGGGCTAAAAAAAGTAGTGAAATCTTCCACATTTTGACGAAAACTAAAACTCTTGGGGTTCCCCAATAAAACGCTATTTATATAGGGTATAGAATAGATAATGGATTCACTAAGCCGATAATTATTCCATTTTACCATCGACGTGCGTTTTTGATTGATAAAGCGCAAATCCTCAACATTCGCGGTATACAATATTTATTGTATAGCTTTTTCTTCGGCTTTGCGTAAAGCACGATAAAAGTTCTATTAAAATAAGCTTAGCTTTTTATCGATTTTTAATCATTCAAGCATTTATTCTGGCGCGGACACTTTTATAGTGAGAAATGTTCTTTCGCATAAGTAACGGAAAAGCCGGAATTGGTTTCCGGTTCCGGGACATCAATAAATTGATCTTATCTCTTAGCGGATAGGTAGATTTATTATCTATACAGATGATATTTAACAATGGACATAATGGAGTATATACATGATAGAACTTGGATTCACCAATCGAATAAGAAATCACAAATAACAAACAAACGTTCTTGATTGCCTTGAGATAATATTATATGCGAATAATTCAGTCATCGATCAATATCACGGGTTTTTAAATAAATTACATTTACTTTGATTTAATACTAAGCAAACCAAAAGATACTTCTATAAGTATATCTGTGGTAAAAAATCCTATCGCCATCCGTTTATGAATCTTCGCCACGATTTTGGAAAAGAGCGAAAGCAAAAGATTGAAGAATTCCTTGTAAAAAAGAGAGGTTCCGGTAAAGGGTGACTTTCATGAAATGTCAGTTTCAACTGACAGTTCACAAATAGTTCTACTACATCTGTATTCGACGTCTGTATTTATAATCTGCGCTAAAACGAACTTAATGTCACAGACAGTATGTGTTAAGTATATTTTGTGATTTTGTTTTTAAAATTATTTTAAAAATTATTCCAGCAATGATATGGAGTGTTCTGCTAGTAAAGGTAAGCCTTAATTATCCTATTATTAAGATATCGAAATTTTAACCTGAGTGGTTTTATACGCGACATTGAATTCGTGTGGGCGGCACTTGTTTAGTCTTTAAGATCTTTGTTGTAACTTAGCAATACAATAACGTGATTTGCCGTGATTGACACAAACTATTCTAATACGTACATATTCTAAAACATTATTTTCCTGTTTACGCAATCTACAATTGACCATACGATTTTAAAATTGTTTTCATCGATTTGTTGCTCTGTATTTATTTCCTTGGTCAGTAATTGTAATACAAAAAAAAATTTAAAAATCTGTTCTTTTGTTACATATTTCACTCACAAACTTTTCATAACGCATTCAGTTAAACTAAGAATATAAATGGCCTAAGTAGTAAGTGTGCATGTTCATGAACTTTTTTTTGATATAAAGACATTAGAAGAAATATTTCAATAAAACAAAAGGTTCACTACTAAAAAGTAAGCATTGGCAAAATTATTTATAGTTCTATATGGGTTGTGTTAAAATAAAAAATATAATTAAAGAACTAGCACAAGCCGGAGTAAAACATTCCATTTCATATTCAATGTTTGTAAGACTTTTTGATGTTTATGCTTTTATTAAATTTCTTTGTGTTAAATAATTTTAAAATATGCACAGTATACCTCAATTGAAGAGATTTAATATCTGCCTATGTCAGTTGGACATACTCTAAACAATTATTATTAGCTTGATGTGTCATTATGTGTTTATGATATCTAGTCATTTCCTGCAGTCACTTTCCTTTTATGAGCAGACTTCTATTTGTGCTGACTTAGTTCAAAGACTACAATTAATAACATATCAGGAATTTAAGAATCCACCATGCAAGAAATCAATTTTTTTTAAATACATGGTATGAGCTAGTGTGTGTGTAAATAATGAGTTAGGTGATGAGCAGAGACAAGCTTTCTATATGGTATTTACTCTGAGCTATATGTCATGACCGCTTGCTGGAGGAACAGCCTCTCTAAATCTGAATACTGTGACATACCTTCACTACATCATAATGTACATTCATCAGATCCCACATTTTATGATGTATGGAATTTGTTTTGAGGACTTGATTAATTACACTAATATATACATATCATGTAAATTTACTTTGCACAAGATTTTCAAAAATATAGAACAAATTGAGCTGGAAAGGAACACTTTTTAAAATGTAACTTAAAAACTATCGATAAGCCTTATTTACCTTTTTTTTCTAAATATTACTTTTTTTGTTTGTACAATAAAATAGAAGTTTGTTTGCGTTGTTGAGTCAGATTTTCCGACTGTGATTTGAATAACGCGATTAGGCACGTACGCTTTAAAGGAAAATTGCTCGGCCTTTCGCAATAGTTACGTTAACGGCCTTCATTCATTCCTAATGCATTAAATGAAGTTGAATATGACTATGCCGTTCAACTTTTCAGAGGGCCACAGTTGTGCAGGTTGCCTGAATAAACTCGGCGACGACGACTACGTCTCCGCTTTAGGGCAAGATTGGCACAAGGACTGCTTCAGGTGAGAAACTTGAATTATGTCGTTTTTTTATGATAGAGGAGGACCGCCAAGCACTGGGTTTGCTTGCTGTTAGGTAAAGTACCTCAGCTGTATCACATCTACACAAGTGCTGTCAACCTATTTTTGGTTTTGGATGTTAAAATGTCCAAAACCAAAAATAGGTTGACAGTCAATTAGAAAGATGTTAGACATAGTGAGGATCAAACCCACGACCTTATTACCTTTGCATTGCTACCATTACCCAAGGAGCCCGTCGTAAGAGTCGCGAGAGAGAGAGAGAGGGAGAGATTGGTAATTTGAACTGGTTGTTGGAATTCTAAATTCCTCATGGGCAAAAGCAGTAGGACAGACCGACAGTGCACACTTAAATACTTCACCTTTCATTCAATACAATTATTTTATTTACATTCAGGTGTTCAGTTTGCGATGCCGCCCTCGCGAGCTGGTACTTTGAAAAGGGCGGACTCCTCTTCTGCCAGACTGACTATTGGACGCGCTTCGGGGACATTTGCCAACAATGCTCACAGGTTAGGATAGCATTCACCACAATAAATAAAAACTTCTCATTAGTAATGAATATAAATATATACAATACGTCGACTCATCCACAGATAATAACGGGGCCCGTGATGGCAGCGGGGGATCACCGCTTCCATCCGGAGTGCTTCACTTGCGACTACTGCGGAGCGCACATCGACGACGCGGAGCCCTATGCCCTTTTGGATCGCTCGCACCTCTATTGGTAATTCCATTTATATTAATAAACCCGTTTATTACTTATGACCATATTCTGTTATCAATTTATAAAGTTATCGGGTGCGAGACCTTTCTGGGTTACAATTTCATTCATCATCTAAAATAAAGTTACACAATATTTACACAGATAACGCAATACGTTATCTGGGAGTATTACTAGAACCACCTCGATATCCTAGTTCTGAGTATTATAAAATAACGCCATTTCTAATTATTCCAGATAAGATAAATACCGATTTGTTAAAGTCATTGCTATCAGACTTTTTGAATACCAACATAGATTCTTTACTTTAGAGTTACTTTACTTTATATTTAAGATATGTATAGAAGCGGGAGTCATAAAATCTTTTGTTAGAAGATACTCACAGAGAGTATGTTTTCTCATCTACAGTGGTGCATGCTACATCTCCGGTGCCCGAGACCAAATAGGCCGCAGCCACGCTATTCGGGTTGTAAGGTTGCCGGCGCACGCCATAAGGCTCGCTACATCTCACGGCGGAGCCCTAACTATCGCACAGTGAGTAAACATTTCCAAAATTACATGCATACCTTGTTTAGTAATAGTATAACTTAAAATCAGTTTAACCACTAAAGTTGACAATAACTCTATTAATTAGTAAATTTTAACAAAATAATAGTACTAATGTGAACAGTGGTCGCTGTGCCAGCAAACTGAGCGCCCTGATGCGAGCGTTGCTTCGCGCAGCCCTCCAGGCCTGCGTCCATCTCACCTGCCATAGGTATTTGGCGGCCTATATGTGGACGTGTAGTCTTGTAGTTCTTCACATTGCGACCGGCTCACATTATCGATATTCACCGTCTCATAACTTTTTATTTTGTTTATGCACGCTTTCATTAGCTTAGTGGAAGTGGCTTATTGGCATCTCAGTAAGATATATTGCAAGTTCTTCCCTTAGGCAGTCGTCTCGCCGTCGATAGGCGAGTCTGACTACGGGCGCCGTGTAACATCGTAACTCGCGTAAACTACAGACGGTATTGAATATCAAAACAGATAACATCAATATGCGCATTTTCTAGAGAAGGACCATCCGTCACTCTTTCATAGCTTTTTGCAAATGTCCTCTGCGCGCTGTCTTGTTTAGATGGAATACCACTATTTCACGTTTGCCTCATCAAAAATAGGAGATCCCTTTCGAGGGACGACTGCCTGAATACGACTAGATGGCCTGCTTTTTTGTTTTTCTTAAATAGAAAGTGCTATTAGAACGACTCACCGGCGACATCCTTAATAACAAAAGCCCGATCTGTCCTACGATTAATAACCTTTCTTGTGTGTGTGTCTTCATTAGCTTGTAAAAACCCGATACAATATTCAATAACGATTTAAACAAAACAGGATAGATTCGAGTTGCGGAATGCTGACGCTACACATCGGGGACCGAGTTTTGGAGGTGAACGGTTCTCCCGTGTGCAACCGGCCTTTGTCCGATATCGAACGCACTTTATCTCGACCGGAAGTTATTCAGGTATTTACTATTTTATCGTAACTGAATAATAACAGTGTGCAACTTCCGCCATCTAACTTTTATTAAGTGTCGGTCTGTTTTCAAGTTGCAATCTGTGTTAAACTAATGTTGTGCGTCGTGGGTTTACATCGATTAATGCAGGCGTTTACAGACTGGATTGTGATTGTGGCCTATCCTACATCGGTCAAACAAAGCGTAGCTTCTCAAACAGAATCAAAGAACACGTCGCGGATATAAAACATAAACGTCTCTTCAAATTTGCGGTATGGTATCATCGGAAGGCCCCAATCATTACATTCGCTTTGACCGACCAAAAATCCTCGCAAAGGAGAGTCGATTTTTTCCAAAATTGGTACGCGAAGCAATTGAAATCAAAAAACACCGAAATTCCTATAGGGAGGACGGCCTCAAATTATCAAACACCTGGGACCTCATTTTAAAAACTCTGGATCCCAATAAACAGCATACCGGCAAACGCGAAGACACCGCTAGTAAATTCTTAAGGACCCGGCCAGTTTCGCCAAATACCAACTTCGACGGAACAGATGGCGCTAGCGTAGCAATTTTTTACTTTGACGTCAGAGACATCCTCCATCTTTAGTCTCCCCGTGACCACGGCTGCTGCAAAGCATCCGAAACGTCGGGCCGAAGTTAAAAATAATTTTCAAATAAGTTTAACTAATATATGGCCTTTTAAACCGTTAAAGTGTTTTATTTAAATCGATTAAATTTGTGAGTATATTTAGCGCCGTTAGAGTCACTGCAAAATAGTATTTAAATAACAATTGTAAACTTTCAGCTTACAATAGAGCACAACCCGGATACCATAAACGCTAAACGTGGCGTCAGTCAGTCCGAGAGCAAATCGCCAGTGGAGCGAAAAGTTAAGGACGACGCTCCCAAGGGGCATCCCGAAGAAGTGAGGAAGGAGAAAAGGCTGTTCAAGAAAAGGGGGGAGGAAGGCAGAGCGCGAGTGATAAAAAGGAGACAGGCCACAGTATCGCCTGCGTTGGGAGAAAAAGAGAAGAGTAGCAGCATGTCCAAGTTGCTCGATGTGTAAGTATTATTTATTGAAGTACTGCTATACTCATTGAATATTAAGGTCCGGTTCGCTTCGCATAAACAAGGCGCTTCGTAAAAATTTGTCTCTCTCGATCAGCGTGGACGGTGAGGAGTGCGGTGGTGTGTTGTGTGACCTGAGCCGAGCGCGTTCCTTCCGCGCCGAGCCCCCTCCCGGGCAGAAGGTTTTTCGCTCCTCGGATCTACTGCAAGTGAGTATTAGCCATCCAAGTATAATTTTGATGTTGCAACCGATTCACGTCCAATCGTATGCTTTCAGGGTGAGTTGCTTGGAACGGGTTTCTTCGGCCAAGTGTACAAGGTGATCCATCGTGCGACCGACGAAGTGATGGTGCTCAAACAGCTGTATCGCGTGGACGAAGAAGCCCAGAGGAATTTCCTCAAGGAGGTCGCGGTGTTGCGCTCGCTGCGGCATAAGAACGTGCTGAGGTTTATCGGGGTGCTTTATCGAGACCGGAGGTTGCACCTAGTCACCGAGTACGTGGCCGGGGGGACACTCCACGACCTGTTGCAGGTCGGTTCTTCTTCACATCTCATCTGTCTATAGTATAATGCTCATTGTCACAAGCGTCGCCATTGAAATGTTGCGTCCGTAGAACACCAGTCGCCCGCTGAGCTGGTGCGAGCGAGCTCGCCTGGCCCGCGACGTGGCCGCCGGAGTGGGCTACTTACATCGCATGAACGTCATTCACCGAGACCTCAATTCGCACAACTGCCTCGTCAGGGCCGATCGGGTAAGTGTAGATTTCGAATCTGTACGTGAGGAATTCTACGAAAGCGTAACTTTTTGTTTGCCGTCTGATTTCAGGATATGACAGTGATAGTGGCGGACTTTGGCCTGGCGCGGATCGTGCAGCGTACGGCCAGCAGCGCGCCTCCTCATTCGTCGCTCAGGAGGAAACGGTATACTGTGAGTGCGGATTGCGTAGTATTACTTTTCGTGTATCGAATGTGTATTATAAAATATAACAGTGCGTTCAAATGAATTTTCAGGTGGTAGGCAACCCGTACTGGATGGCTCCAGAGATGATGAACGGAAACGTGTACGATGAGAAGGTGGATGTCTTCTCATTTGGAATTATTTTGTGTGAAGTAAGTGACAATAATTTTTTAATAAAAGTTTCTAGTGTTCAGTGACTCTCTATACGGTACAAGCAGACACTAGTGAGCGAGAAAGTTGGCGATCGCTCGATTGTAATCACCGACAACGCCAGCGGCGGGTTGCTGTTTCACTAGTCCAATTAGTCTCGTACCTACCTGGTCCTGTGAGACAACAGCCAGCTGTGAAGGCATTTCTGCAGAAGATGGAAGGGAGCTGAACTTTTTTTGTGCGTCATGATGATATATCAAAATTCTGTATATCAAACTAGAATAACTTCACGACAAACGTGAGTGATGTGTTTTATTCTCTTTCGTTAACATTGACTGACGAGCACGGTTGCATCAGATTATAGGCAGAGTATCAGCCGATCCGGACTTCCTGCCGCGTCGCACCGACTTCGGCCTGAACGAGGCTCTCTTCTACGAGAAATTTTGCATCACTTGCCCCGAACCTTTCTATCGCATCGCGTTCTTGGCTTGTCATCTAGAACCGGACGCGAGGTAATGGTTTCAATTAATACATTTTAATTTTTAGATTCGTCTACAAATGCCTGCTCTCGAAGTTCGTACAGCCGTTTCGAAAGAGTACAATACAGGTAATAAACATGAACAAAATGTCCAGGCCGCCATTCGAAGTGATGGAGATTTGGTTGGAGTCGTTGGTGATGCACCTCGGGAACCCTGGCCCCCTCCCGCCGACCCTCCTGGCCGACATCCTGCAGTACACGCACCGAGCCCCCGAGCACGACCACGGCACGCCCGAATGCTGTCCGCATCAAGGGGACAACGGGATATTTTGTGCGAACGGCACCCGACGCTGCCGCTGCAGCTGCGAAGACTTGGAGGGCAGAGGCGCAAGAGAAGGAGTCGTTAAGGTGACGTTTGCTGCATGTATAGGATGGGTATTGTATATGTATAGTATGGTGCAAGTGACGATAAAGGTAATGTTCTCTTGAAACTAGCCGCGATCAATAAATATAGAGACTTAGTATTTTAGTACCACTTTCGTGACATATTAAATAATTACCAACTTTAGTAACTTATATTTAACCCAGCCAGTTCTAGTCTACAAACAAAATCAAGTATAACGTAACGATGATATGATTTCTCAATACGTAAGTAGTTTATGGCCCAAGGGTCTCTTACAAATGGTAAAAAAAAATATTTTACAAGAAACTAAAACGTAAATGTTTGTTGTACATACATTGTTATGCTGCGATAAATATTCGTTCCTTAAACGTCTCAACCATGTCATGTGCATTTCACAATTGTCACCCGCGCCACGCCACAGCGCCTATTAGAGCTTGTAATCATTTTAATTTTTTGACTCTATTAAAGAATGGAGTACAGTTTATTGAGACAGGCCAAAATAATATAAAATAGAGACTCCATAAAATGAAATCAAAACGAGATAGGTTCAATAAAAGTCTATAAGGATTTTTTTTATTTATTAATACGACGAAAAGTGTAAATCAAACTCTGCTCTGTGTATTCCTTTACACTCTTTGTTTCGGCGATTCTTTCTGGCTGGACGGTTTTCGTCATTGTTTCCCTTTTTGGCCAGCCACGAAAAACGAATCTAAAATTCTTATAACTGTGTAACATTTGGAGTTTGTTACAGTCCCACTCAAACGTGGCGTTAGACTACGGTCGCGGCGGACGCGCGTTAGGCAAATGTGTGTCTGCTAGCCATATCGCGCCTCGCTTCGTCACTCTGACGGATTCGTCTCGTCTCGCCGCTCGACTGTCGCGTTCGCATCACACCCTCGCGCCCGGGTACATCCTGCGCACAGACGGACACGGCATTAACATCACCAAGGTCGGGTGATTGGAAATACTAATTCAGTGTACAACTGTTTTTCTGTCGGTCTTTATAAGAATCGTCGTTATTTTCAGGTGGACGACATATCCGAATGGCTCGACCCTCCGCCACTCAAGCGCACCAGCCCCGACTCGCATCTCAACGACTTACTGAAGACCGATAATAAAACTAGAAGAGTGGAGGAAACCCATCTCCCGGCGTTCCTCAGAAATCAATCGGTCGAAGGCCTCGAAACGGAGGAGAAGCATAACTGTGTCGCCTTCTGTAGGCATCACAGCGTCCCGGACCACTGCGATCTGCAAAACGACACGGACGACAACTCGTCGGACGACGAGCTAGATATACGGATCGATTGCAATCCGAAGATCTTTACAGATATAGTTAAAAAGAGCAACATACTGTCTCAAAAGGCGAGTTACGATTTGTCGTGCGCCAACGAGGTCCCTCGGGCCCGGGACAGAGTCGATGACGTCCCGAAGGCCGAAGTGAAGGGCGAAAAGAACTCGTTGGCTAAAAAGTTGCTGTCGCCCAAATTGAGTCGCCTGTTCAAACCCAGCGCGACGGACGCGTTGCGGCAGAAGGAAGACGATAGATCGAGGAGCAAGTTCTTCGTCCAGCGACCCGCGTCTCCGCGATCCACCTACCGCGTGAGGCCGATAGAAGGCGATACGCAGAACATTAACGAGAACGTCATAAAGAGCGACCTGAAACTGGCCAGTCTGGGCAAACCGATGACGCCGATATTCCGACGGAATTACGGGGAACAGCGCGATTCACGAGGCAGGTACAGCTACCGAGATAAAACGCAAGACAAAGCCGACAGACGGATAATCGACCAACCGGTTAATTTGACTCCGCTCCTGGAGAAGAAGGACGACAAACCCAAGAGGCGAGAGGGCATCACCAGAAGCAATTACGTGCGCCTGGCCAACTTGAAGATCTCTAAGGACTTGGAGCCGGCGCAGAGGAAAGTGCAGGGAACTCCGGCCGAAAGAGTGATTTAGGGCGACGAGTAAGATCACGGTTTTGTTTTTCCAAAGAATACTTGGAAGTTCAAGGGTCTACCTTAGCCCGTTTACACTTGCCAACTTATAGATATATACAATTGTTGAGTTGTTATGTACTTAGCGTAGTATAGCTTTGAGTGGAGGTAGGGATCTCGAGTACTAGCCTACGAGTACCGGGAAGGCAAGTGTGGCACTCGCTGCCGTGCCGTCTGGATTCAAATGTACGACAAGAGCTTATGGTACTCTTTCGGCGAGATACAAAGAGCAAAATAAGGAGGGCTTCGCAATATTCCATTTTTGATAGTGTTTATTGAACATTTCGAGTTTTATTATATGATATATATAGTGTATAAATATACAATGTTCCATAGATTTTTTACGGATTAGTGCTTATGTAGACTCGCCGGTGCCTTTTAAGGCGTTCATCACATTTTAGGGTTCGTAATTCATAATCGCTTGGCGTCTTGCATTTCATAGATTAATTGAAAAACTAAATCGTATGATAGCAACAGGTACATAAATTCAATTGTTATGCCTCGCAAAGACACGTCACAATGTATAAAGACGGCGGTCTGGCTTCCTTATCGTTTCCAACTCTATCTTGAACGGTAGAATGTAGTTTCCACGTTTTCTCTTGTTTATAGCAAAGTGTGTACAAAGATAATACTAAAACAAGAGACTATGGCATTTATAATACAACATTCCGTCTTATTGTATCAATATGCTATCTAGTGCCGAGACGGCGCAATAGACGCGTCTCGAGATTAACAATATTAATTTGAGGACATTTTATTTACAAATAGATTTAAGCGCCATTTTATTCGTGTGCCATTTTAAGGTAAGATCACTCGACTAAGCTTATTTTTCTTTTGTTCGACGACGAAAGTTCTCGAATTACATATTATAATGGAGCTAAGAATCTCGAATAGATTTCTTATGAGCTTCGTATTCTTTACATCACTGTGCTCATAGTTTTACATTGTCTGTGATACATTTTGTTGATAAAATGTTGCAATATCGAGTATTAATTAAATTGTTATGTATAGCGCTAATACTACTAACCCAACGGTTGCATTCCGAATCTTTACATCGTTTGTATTTGAAGTACAAAGAAAGATATATTCGATACGACACTGTCTTTTACTCAAATATCTAAACTTAGTTACGTGAGGGGTAGTCGAAGAAGAACTCCGTCGATTGTAAAATAAAATTTATTAAAAACATCTAGTCGAGCTAGTTATAATATTAGGATATCGCGTCTTTGAGACAATAGTTATAATTACGTTTACGTTTTTTAGTTTTGATAAATGTTTAAATTAACTACTTTAAATAGGTATAACAAACATATTGTCAGAACTGGACATAGAAATTATTGCGGTGAAAATATTTCTGAATTCGTTTTAAATATACTCTTATCTACGTAAAGGGGGCCTCCAAAATGGGTTTCCCACTGGATGTCTGCCATATATTAAAAGAATTGACTTAAACGTAATACAAATTAAAAGGGAAGACCAAAATTTAGACATAAGACTTATACATAGTTACAGACATGTGTTGTACTTACGACTATTAAGATTTCTCGCCACCGATTTCGAATGTAACAGATACAACAAGTGGACAGCATGCGAGATATTCGATTCGTGACTAATATACCTAGAGTCACATTTCATGACGAGAGCGATCGTGCGATTCATCTAATTGTAAAATACGAAAAAATAAATGCAACATTTCATACCTACGACGTTTCACTAATGTAAATTTGTTCTAAAACTTACCGTTGCGATCACCTAGGGCGCGATAGACTACTTACTCCTTCGCGGCGGAGTTGAGAATTACAAAGCCTTAATCGCGTTGCGATAGGTACTAAAGTATCCAACATTACTTTAAATTCGATCCGAAGCTTTCTCATACTGAACATTCGATGTCCGTTTTAGGCTAATATCGTGATAACGAAGCTCGGCCCGACGCACGGCGGCCTCTAATTGACCCACCACCACACAAATGAAAACAAAAAAGCCTCTGAAAGTCAGTGTTATTATATAAGTACATAATATTATAATATCCCTCGCGCGTGACCTTTCTCGACTCCCCTCGTGTCAGTCATTGACGTAGCACCGGCCTTACACAGCTCTCGTAGCGTAATTCGTCTTCTAATTACAATTCAAGTATACTTTTAAAACAAACGTTTCAAGCATTTTTTGCAAAAGTAAATCACGACGCAAACGAATCTACGTTTTACGAATATTAAAATATATTTTACCAGAACGAGCTCGTCCTTTCCGTTTTTCTTTCACGCCTAATCATTTCTATAAGTGTATACATATAGAGTACATTTGTTCTTTTCTTCCTATAATTCTACTAAACGTTATTTTGATACTTTGGCACTAAGTACAAGGTTTATACGGTTCCAAGAGAGTAAGTCTAGTTATAAAAGGATTCACTTACACATTATCTTTGTGGTTCACGGAACTACGACGAAGACAACCTATAATACGATCACATTTCGAAAAGAATGTCACCGCCCATTCGACCAAACAAAAATTGACTAGTTGGAGCAGCGCGGTCGGCGAGCGCGACTAACGCGGGGGCGACGCGGCCGCGATTCTTTGCCGCAGTCGTGCGAATTTGCCGTGAACCAGCCGCAGTTGGGTGCGGAGGCGGGTCGAAAGCTCCCTCTGCAGCGCTTGCACTTCGATTAATTCGCGCCGCAGCTGTTGATAGTCCGAACGAACCTAAACAATACAACCTCTTATATACGGTTTTTACACATTTCACAGATTTATTTATTTTTGTCTTGACACGTTGTATTTTGTTTATATTGTTGTATTTATGTTTGTTTGTTGCTATAATACCTGTACTGTGACCCCATAGTTAGGGAATTCTTTAATTTATAAATTAGTTATCAGACAGAAAAATGAATAATGCCAAAAGTCAGTCCTGTCTCAGCGGCAATTCTAGGTTTAAAGTGAATTATTTTATTTACTCATATTTGTTTGTTTAGAAAACACATTGAAATTGAATAAAATTTAGAGACAATAAAACTTGAGCATGGGCCAAAATGGGAAAGACACTTCGAAGTTTAATTTTTTTTTACTGTCTCCAGTGAAATGTCGATCAAAATGATTGTTAATACACGTCATACATCTCTAAGCTAATGTGTAGCACAAGACATTGCATATTATTTCTCGTATCTTGTGTTGTGGTACACATTATTAAAATGATCCTTGTTTTCTTGTCACAAGCGCTAGAGCTAAGACTTTCATGTACTCAGTAACGCTGGTATCTGGTGGTAGAATGATATGAATATGGTTGCCCATATCGAGAAGTAACATATGATTATGGTATTATGAAGTAAAATTTTTTAGCAAAGTAGGTGGATAACAAACTCATGGCAAATTTTAAATAGATGTATGCCAAATATAGTTTTAGATCATAAATATCTGATGAGACATTTCATATTTTCATGAATGTTTTGAAATATGAGTTAAATTGACCCAGCTACTTTACAAGATTTGACAAATGGTTGTTTCAATATTACAACTCCTGCGACAAAACTAGAAGCCCTTAATGAAGCGACAAAATTGGTTCCTGTTAAGTAGGCCTTAGTAACTGGAGCTTAAACTTTGTACCACATTTAAGCTCATTTGTCAACTAATACCAAGATCTATAATTAAATAAAACACATTTCAAAATAGCAAGCTGTAAACATTGACAACTGAACATTTATATTCTCTGACCTGTCATCAACAGAATAGGGCTAGGGGCTGAAAACACAAATATTTCTATGTTTAAATACATCTTCACGCAATTATCAATTGAAAGATGTTGATTTATTTTAAATTGAAACATTTTAACTTTACACTTTTTTGCACATTTTAAGTAATTTTAAATATTGAACAATCAATATCTTATTAATCATTTTTCTTACCTCCGAAACTGACTTGAGCAAATTGACAATACAGACATCCTGGTGTGCAAGAGGGGCCACTATCTCTTTCCCAACTCCATCCAGCTTCCACTCCATTAAATCTAACTGTTCATTGGCTTGTTTCACCTGCAATCCAATATTTACTACTAAACACGCATTGGACCAAAGTGGAACATAGAATGTGTTCTGATAGCAGAGCCAAATTTTCATCTTCTGAACATTCTTCTGAATAAACAAAGACACTTCAGTGCAAGTTTATATAATTCACCATTGAATTATAAATTAAACACTAAATGTAAACCCACCTCGCTAATTTAATAAGCTCATTATGCACTATTTACATATAGCGGCTGATTGACCCAGATATTCTGCGACCTATAATTGAAATAAAAACAATTAAAGAATGGCTCGATATATTACCGTATCGTCCAGCTCTTCAATTGTAACTTCTTTGTCAGTCATTTCCACAGAAAATTTTGTGATTTTATGTAAAAAGTGTTATTTATTTATACATAGATTTTACTATAAATTATACCAGTGCAAAAAGACAACACCGTCAACTGACACCACCGAGCACTCAACTCAACAACTACACTCACTCGACTTCACTGGAGAAAAGAATATACTACAGAATAAAGTATTATACAGAGTGCACGACACCCTAACAGTTGACATATGACAACTGACATCACGTACACTGCATTGACAGCACTCGTTACAGACTATGGTATTATCATTCATCAATAAAGGAAATTATTATACATCACACTCTTAGCAATTTTAACTTCAACTATTCCCCAAAAAATATTTTTTGCAAAATACAGATGCAACCCTTCAAAGCACTGAGATATAATCCTAAGTTTATTTTTATTTAACTTTTAAACTGGTAAAGAAATCGTCTATCGGTTTATGCAAACCGGCATCGGTACCTTACGACATAAGTCTATAAAAGCTCTTTAAAATGCCCCTGCATCTATCCGGCCTATCCAACAGCATGTCGTGCGTGCGAGTCTACAAGCGCCTGCATCTTGCAGAACCACCACGGTTGCTGCCAAGCACCCGTGCAGCAGAAACGTATGGGGCGTAGTTATAATAAATTCAACCAATACATTTCGCGTTTTAAACCAGTAAAAGTATTTTATTTAAATTTGTACTACTCGCGGAAACATAAATGAAAAACATCGATGACATGGGAGGATTCGAACCCAACCTCTCGTCTTTATCGTATTTGTTACCTCCATTGTACTTATGCATTAAGGTTAAAACTAAAAGTTGGGTCCGTTACGCCAAATGGGGGAATGCGATGCATCAACCATCAATTTTTATACACATTTATTTGTCTTTATAAACACGTAGACAATGATAATATTACAGTAATCAAAAAAGTCAGCTCTATTCTCGAGTGATTTACAATAAAACCAGAGATCGCCTAGTGTTGACCGCTCGTTAAAATGCCTACGAAAAAATATCCATTAATACAATTCGTAAGTCTCGAAGTACTCTCTGAAAGTAGTCGAAGGAAATCATCTTAACAGCGATATAATTGCACGTTCCTAATTCTAAAACGCCAAACAATTAAATAGTGGTTTTCCTACATTTAAAAAGTATCTTTGTACAATTAAATTAACGCAACGTAAGAACCTTACGCGTACATATTCTTTATGTAGTTTTCCTTGAACCTATCCGCTATGCAATTGCTAATTTATATCTTTTTTATTAACTTAAACCTATAAAGGTGAGGAGACGTAGGCATTATACGATACATTAGTAACTGCAGTGCAGATACAGTTCAAGATGGAACTGGCCTAATAGATTATTCTCACTAACTTCAATGTATACCGATGGTACGTGAAAATTCGTGTCGTACTGTGAAGACTGTCGCTGCAGCCACATACATAACAGTTTTCCTCAATGATGAAAACAATTCAATTCAATTCGAGATATTATTATTTCCTTATATACACTTTGTACAGTCGGCTAAGAAAACTCGCTACCCCGAACGACGCCATATTCCCTGTACATCCTTTGATCCACGTTTTTCTCTTCGCCAACTATACACAAATTTCTACGCTGCACAGATTAAACCTTAAGACACCAGTAAGGCTAAGTGAGGACCACGCCTATACTTACAAAAAAATATACATAATTGAGTGGCTGTGAATCAAAGTTTTCAGAGGAAATAAATAAACCACTATAAATACTTTTTAAAACGAAAATGGCAAGAAACCAGTTAAGTGCGTGAATCCTAAGACGAAAAATTTGTATATTGTATTTGTATTGCAGTCTCGATTTCTACAAGGCGCGAACGAAAGCGGCGTCCGTCGGGCGTAGACCGAAGTTTTCGCTCAATCTTATGCTTAATCCTCCGCCGGAGCAGTCTTTGTAGTCACCGCGTGGTCCCGAACCGCGAGGAGCGCGCGCTCACTTCATGTCGGCCGTGTCGAACTTGTGCTCTGTCACGGACACCGCGTCCGAGGCGAGCGTCTCCTTCAGGGGCTCCACGCAGTTCTTTGGTATGAGGGTACCTGAAACACGCAGCGGACGCGTATTAAGGGACCTGCGGGGGTTTCCGATTCCGATACCACAGTGGAGAGCGATAGGCGGCAACTCACCGACGATCTTGAGGCCGTCGTCGGTCTTGAGTCGAACGACTTGCATCTTGTTGTAGTGAGATCTCGCTGCGAGCGCCGCCTCCACGCGCGCCCACACCGCCAGCACCGACCCCGCCAGCACGTTATACGTGCGCACGCGCAGACCCACCTGCGATTTCACAGCGTCCACCGTTAAAATAAGCCACTCTACGCTAGTTTTAAATACATATGTCGTCGCGTAATCGCTACTAAATCACCTCGCACTCGGCGGAGTTCCTGCACACCGCCTTCCAGTAGGCGTGCGAGCAAACTCTCAATGAGGCGCCGTGTTGGGCCTTCCACGCGCCCTCGGCTTCTTCGGGACTCACTTTTTTGTACTTCTTCAAGATCTCGCTCAAAGTCTCCACTCGCAATTGGAGACCCGTGTTTGGTCTAAAAAGAGTAACAAAGTAAGTCTACGAGGCATTTTTACAAACCCAGCCGTTGGGAATCAAGCCGTCCCGTGACGCTATAGGCCTATTTTGAGTAATAAATAAAATTAGTAAGAACCGTCCCAAACTTGCACTAAAACTGTACCTATAAAGCTGATAAGTCTTGTCCTTCTCTGGCAGGTTTCTGTCTCTGGTGCTGTTGGCGGCCAAACACAAGATGGCAGTGTACTTCCCGTTCCTAGCTTGCTGCGACAGGTAGAAGCCCTCGGCGCCCATACTGTCCTCGTTTTTCTCCATGGCGTCGAACCAGTCCATGCCTCGCTGTAATTGTACACCGCAATTTGGACTTCGTAGAGTCAAACGGATATGAATTATGAAGGTAGTTCAGGGACAGTGATAACAATTGCTCTTCACCTCGCAGAGCACGGTGTGCAGCTCGACGGGCGCCGTGCCCGTGGCGTGCCGTCTCAGGAAGGTGACGCACCTCACGCGGCGCACGCACTCACCCGCGCTGCCCAGGTCCAATATGCCCATGTCGAAGCGGCCGCTGCGTTTTGCTGCAAATCGTTGATACACATTAAAGCACTATTTTTCATCTCCATACTCTCACTCTATCTGATAAAATAAATCAACAACCTTGTTCCATCACCGCCGCTAATGTGTCCGTGAAGTATTTGAAGAGCCTGTTCTGCAGATCCACTGGCATTCCTAGTATTCTGTTGAGGAACTTTGACATGTTGTTGTAGTCCTAGAAACAAACGAAAACAAAAACATCAGGTGAACTTGAGTCGATCCGTCGTAAGAATTTCCGGTTGCGCGGACCTTGTCTAAAGCTAGTACGCCGGGCTGATGCTCGCTGTTGACGATGAGGCCGACGCCCACGAGCGCGGAAGCCAGGTCTTGGAAGAAGTCGCCGCGGTAGTCGCTCGGAGGTGCCACCAGCGGATTCTCGTACTTCATTATCGCCTTCATCACTGCCTCTAGGGCCGTCCGTCCTGAAATCCAGTTTGACTATACATCGTTTCGTCCGATATAATTCCAGAAGCTCTCACACTGTTGTGGTGCGTAGTTTTTAACGGGTGAATTTGTATAGGTTTCCCCCAAACTCACCATATTTGTTGTCGATGTTGAACTGGCTGAGATCTCTGGTTTCAGTAGCACGCCGGTCTCCGTGCGTGAGCGCACCTAAAGACTCGAGGCGCTTCGCCACCGTCGAGGCGAAGCGCCTCTCGCCCGCGAGGTCCGAAATCAGGAAAATGTACTCCGGGGCGTTGACCTGGTTGGACCGATGCGTGCGCCCGAATTGTTGTATCGCCCTGTCGGCTGACCAAGGCAATTCTAAAGTTATGTGAACCCTTCTCCTTTGATTCCTCGCTCTGCGAAAAGTGGACCACCGTCATTAATTATATATACTCATAAGCGCTACAGTTAAATGGAGAGTTAACGAGGTCAACCTTCTATCGCTCTGCAGCGAAATTCCACTGGAAGCGGCTTCCGAAATAATGGCGACATCCTTCTCCCCGTCCATGAATCGCTTCTTTTCGGCCAGATTGAGCGTCTCCAAGGGGATGTCGGCCTCCGCTCGACTCTCGTAGACGATCTGCCCGTCTTCGGTCTGCACGACGCGCCCTTTGCGACCGGTCATCTAAGAAAGGTATTTCTGTACATGTCGCGTCTTATAAATGTAGATACTCACACAGGTCACGAGGACGTAGTAATCGTAGTAGTAGCCTACCTCGGCGACGTTATCCGTCCCGCCCAACTCGTCGACGAGCTGGTCGAGAGTGTTGGGGGGCAGCCTTCGTCCGAGCCTCTCGATGTTCGCCAGTAGCTCTTCCTTCATGCTGCAGGCGCGCTCGATGGCCGACCGAGGAGGCGCTACTTTGCGGGATGGGCCTGCCATAATCTTGCATATTTAGAAATTCAAAAAGTAAAAAGTGATTCTAAGAAAGAAACATATCGTAAGGAAAAATATGATTGTCATAAAATAAACGTAGGTCTACAGAATGCACTGTCATAAGATAAAATGTGAAACATATTTTTTACTAATTTAAAAATCGAAAATAGATTGAAAAAATTGTTCGACTCGGGCAGGACTTGAACCGGCATCGTCAGCGTTCCATGCTGTTGCTCTGACGCTGACGATGCTCAGCAACGACGCTGATGTTCAAGTCCTGCCCGAGTCGAAATTTTTTTCAATTTATTTTCGATTTTTAAATTATATAATGCCTTCATGTGTGTGTGTAATAAATAATAAAGTTTTCAAATATTTTTTACTATATAAGAAATATGTAATAATGAACGTGCTTGATTAAGATGTTTTTTTTTTATTAAAGGATTGGTAATTTCCGAAAGTCGACCACAAAGGGAGTTCGGATCGTATGCATGTACCGACAGGTGGGCGATTCGGGGAACTCCCGGACACGATCGATGCAGCTCGCCTGCACCCCACGCCCGGGACTTGCGTATTTCGAAATGGCTTCGCAAAACAAACAAAATCAAAGTCAAATTAATTAATAGAACTAGGTACTAGGTACACTTATGAACGTCGCATTATTTAAAAACTAAAGACTTTTAAATTTACATTTTCTAGCAAATCAAGGTCGTAGAACGAACGAGAAGAACTGGCAACAGACTCGCCGACACTCCTTTTAAACAAAACCACAAGCCGTTTCAACGGTGAGTGTCGACTCGCATCCAGCGCTTAGCCTTTTTTTTTCGTTAGGAAGCAGATACGAGAGGAGAGTGGAGACGAAGAAATTATTGAACTGAATAATTGAATAACGTCGTGTATAGAGCAAGCAACATATTATCTAAACTCTAAAACGCTGACTATATTATGCATTTCAATTATTTAATCACGTTTCATTTGGAAATAACACACATCAATTGACATTCAGGAACATGTAATGTGCAGAATGACGTCGTAGCTAATTAGCGAGGTTCGGCAGCCCTAAGTGTGTCGGCAGGGGTGATCGATATGTCGGCGCCGAACACGACACAAATTAATACGTATCCAAGAGGGCCTCGGGCTGCTTTGGGTATTAGTATTTCGACTCACATAGAAACGGTTGTTGTGAGTTAAGCGTAAGATACATATATGCTGTCGCGTACTTTTTTAAGATTAAGAGGATACTTCTTTTATATATATTTTTCGTTCCCCTAAAAGATGATATATAGAAGAAACTTTCGCATTTGTTTCTCTGCTCCTATTGGTGCAGCGTGTCGTTTTATAGCGTAAAGCCTTCCTAGATAAATAGACCAACCGACACAAACATTTTTTTTATCAAACAAACAAACAAACTCTTCAGCATTATTATATTAGTAAAGTGCTTCCAAACTTTTTTAACCGGCGAAATTTTCATTCATTGCCGAAATAAAAGCGTCTACGATAGTTCACGCCGTAGGAATCAATATTTATTTTATAGGATTTCCCTTACTTCGCAAGTTGTAACCACATAATAAACTTAGTGTAGGAATTATTTAATCAAAGCGTAGCAGTTGCAAAGTCGTATCTACAACCGCTTAAGTTGCCCACGCCATGATGAGATTATTTTTTGGCACCTTATCGGTCCACTCACCCAGATAGAGGCCGTTGGTTCCGACGGGGGTCCCCGTGAGGCTCTGCCCGCTGTGGGTGGTGACGGTGACAGTGGGCGCTGTCGTACTGTTCTTTTTCTCGAACATCGTCTCGATCTTATCCTGGGTGGTATTCTTCTTCTTGGCCGTCGTCTTCTTCTTCTTCCTTTGTTTCTTCTTCCGGTTCACCCACGGTTCTAGGCGTGGATCGTGTTAGAAGTAATTATTATCATTCTTCATTCAGATATGCTGAACATTCAAATTGTGTAAGGCTTTCACGGCCATCGTTCAGCATATCATCGTTTTCCGGGCTGTTCGGCCGACGTAAGCGAGAAGAGGTCTCGACGTTTCGCCATCACGATGGAAGGCTTTAGGAGATGTTAGCTTTTCTTCAAATTAATTAATTGATTCTCGCTCACGTCGGTCGAACAGCCCGATATACAATGATGTGATGCTAAACATTTATTAATTTCAATTCGGATGCGGTTCTATTTCTATTCGATAATTAAATAAATACTGATTAAATTTGTGTTTCAATAATCAATCTTAAGTAATGCTTAAACTACTTATTGTTGAGTATACTTTCGTAGAATAGTATAAAGCTTCAAAGGGATTTTATTCTACGAACTTCGTTGAAGTCTGAAAATAGAGCGAGCCCCGAGCATTTCCCGACTAGTTACAGGTAATATTTGCATCGCAGTGATGAGTTTACAGCGAAATATCGATCGTCATTTCCTGGACACGGCTAAAACGTACCTATTTTGACACGGTCTAAATATTTGTGAGAATCATTTAAATTTGACACAATTATATTTTTTGTTTAAGCTATGCAATAATTACCGTCGTCGATGTCGCTGCCGCTGAACTGGAAAGGGTTGGAGTCGCTGAGGTCGGAGTCGGAGACGCGCCTCTCCTCGTCGGAGTCCCCCTCTAGCTCCAACTCGTCTTCGGAACCGCGGAAGAACTCGTCGCTGGAGGAGCCGCCGCGGGCGCGTTTCGCAGCCATGTTGGCTTGTTGCCGCGACGTCACTGCATCGATATATACCGTTGGAACATTTACATGACGACGGTTGGAGCAGAAATATTCGATATCAACTCACGTTTTCTCTTGGACGAGTTAGCGTCGTCGTCGTGGCCGTTCTTGCCGTTGGCGACGGGCGGGAGGGGGGCGAGGGCAGGCTTTTTCGGCTCGAGACCGAGGAGGCGGTTGATTCGCTCTCGATCCGGAGCCGGGAAGTGCTTCTCTACCAGGGTTTGGAACACGCCTCTGTTAAATTAAGGATTATTGCTAACACGACACGATCGGTATTTGAACCCGTCACCTTGACATTTCCGACCATACGATGACATCGATCGTATCTGGTGTTATTATGTATCGTACATTTAAGTGGGCACCGCCGAGCGGTAGTCGTATTCCACGAATAAAATAAAAAATTGCTAAAACGGCTCATCAATTTTGTTCGTGTCTCTTCAATTGGAGTTCTGTAATCTCGATGACGCGACACGGTAGACTAGTTAGATTTAGTTTTCAGTAACATATGGTGGCTGTGTGTGGTAAGCTCTACTTAACATTTAGTGTTTGATTCGAGTCAATTCGGTTCAAATATAAAAAATGTATGCCGCTCGTTCTCAAGAAGCACGGGATTAACCCTAACCACCTACCACCTATTTCTGTCCTTTGACCACCTACGTGCGGTCACAGAGACCGCCAATATATTATTGCGATTATTTTCGAATCTATAATAAGAAATTAAAGTTTGTTTAAATTAAATGCATGTCTATACTAATTTGCTTCATTTAGGCGCCACAAATTAGTAAAAGTAATATAAAAGTGTTATACAAACGAAATAACATCAATGAAATAGGGAATATGGCACCAAAAATAACTATACTAGGAAAATGAGATCTTTATTCTAAAATACTTAATTTTTTAACTTATTTTTCCTATTTCTAATAATTTTAATAAACTAATAATGAAATCAATTCAAAAAACTAATCAAAAAATTAATAATTAAACAAAATTGCAAGTCAACAAGTTTTACATTTTTTCACGGCAGTAACAACACATTTTTTGCTTACACTCTAAACAAATAGGTAATTTACAGACGAAATATAGGTAAGCCGTTTTGCTTTTCTTGTTCACCCGTAATGGGTTTTTTACTAACTTCAAGTTTTTCGGCAATAGAAGAGCTAGGTAAATCTTTCTTTATTTGCAAAATAAGGCGAATATAAAACTTTGATGTATCTCGGATAGCATTTCTTTCACCACATTCCATGTGTGGTTTTGTAAGCTGTTTATCCAACTTTTTCAAGAATTAAAATTGACTGCCAGTCTTCTGAGCTTGATTACTACAGCCTATAAGTAGTTGAAGAAGATATGTCAAAAATTATGTAAAATATAGTTAAAGGCCATCTTCGCTACCGATGAACTTACGATTCGGTTCTTGATGAGAATTAGAATAGTTTGAGCACGTTTGATCCGATAAATCGACTCCTATTTTTTATTTGTTTGTAGTACAATATCATCTCAGGTTTTTTGTAGGTTCACAGCAATGAGTTCACACACATCAATAGCAGTATGATGTATTCATGAAATCAGAACTACTAATTTGTTTTTCTTTGGTACGTAAGATGATAAGGTCATATCTTTGGTAAGTCCAGCGGAAGAGTCTATTGGCCGCAGTCTAGATGGTTCGCACTCAGGCGGTAGTTTTCGTTTGTTTTTTTCAGAGCACCAACAAAACTTAGACGCCTCTGTTTTAAACAATTGACCAATCATAAAGTCACAGAACCACCTACGTGCGGTCACGGAGACCGCTGGCAAACTTATTTTACTTACCCTGGCCAAACGCGCGTACGTACACACTCGCGGAGCCCTAGCACGACTTTGATTGGTGTGTAGAAAAGGTACATGAAAGCGCTTTGACGCACGTCACTCACACGCGGAAATATTTGAATTTGAAAAAGCGTTGCGGTCTCTGAGACCGCAGGTAGGTGGTTAAGGGTTAGATAAACTGAATTTTATCTATACTAATATTATAAAGAGGAAAGATTTGAATTTTTGTATGTAACGGATAAACTCAAAAAGTACTGGACTGATTTTAATAATTCTCTTTTTCAAGCTACATTATCACTGAGTAACTATAGGCTATATTTAGTACTTGATTACTATAGACATCTATAGAAATTCTTACTAAAACCAACGAAAGGCGTAAAAAAATTAGCCGTAAAATGTCTTTCTTCGCATACGCTGCGAAAAGTATTAACCCAGATAAGCCTACTGTCCTATATTTAGGACAGTAGAAATAAAAAAAAATATCAGAATACCCTCTTTATCTAAGATTATTTAGTCTTATGATTTGCAATAAGAAACGTGTCAGCTTTATTAGAAAAAATAAAAAGACAGTTTTTTTAACCGTTTTTACCTTAAATTTTACCTTATAAGTGTGTAATAAAACTGCGTTGCAGACATGGCAAATGACAGGTATGTATAAAAAGTTATATTTTACTCGTGAGTTGTTTTTTTCTGTGTTAATATGTAGTTGATAAGCTTAACTTTTGTACTAAATAAATATTCTAGCAAAATAATATAAATAAATTACGTATAACTTGTAACAAATACTAGCGTACTATATATAGGACAGTAGGATAATATACATGATTTTAGTACAATAATACAACTTTTTCTTTACAGAGCGTTAGCTGCGCATGAAATTTTAGATGCTTTAGAAATTGTTTCTGATAATGAAGAAGATTATAGAGAACGACTGATATGTATTCTACCTCCTCCTGTTGATCCTGACTGTCTCACTGACGAAGATTCGAATGAAGAAGATAATGTAACTTTGAATAATTTGCCACGAAACATTCTGCTTCAACCGGCTGAAGTAATGATTCAAGGGCAGATTATGGTGAGTGATACAAAAGAAGAACCTTCTGATTCTACAGGTCGAACTAAACGTAGGCGTACCTACGCATGGAGAAGAGAAACATTGTCATAGAAGAACCACATATGGTGTCCATAAATAACAAATATATGGGAGGAGTGGATCGGTCTGATGAAAATATTTCACATTACCGAATTGGTATACGAGGTAAGAAATGGTACATGCCGTTGCTCACACACATGATTGATCTTGCCGAACATAATGCATGGCAGTTATATAAAATAAATCATGGAAAACTGGATCATCTTGGCTTGCAAGGGTAGCAATTGCTTTGATTGAATCAAACAGAAAAAATGCCAAAAGAGGGCCTAGCCGACCCTCCCATCATGAACATGCTGATAGTCGTAAAGACCAAATGAATCATCTGGTTATTCCTCAATCGAAGCAAACACACTGTCGTCAATGTCACAAAAAATGTTTGACACGTTGCAAGAAATGTGATGTTGGAGTGTGTGTCAAGTGTTTTGAAACATATCATTCATAAATAGTGTTAATTTAGTAAATTTGGTAATATAATCAATAGTTATCTAATAAACTACACTTTTTGATTACATTCTGTTGTGTCATAAATGGTCTTTTATTACCTCTTATTATCCTACTGTCCTACATATAGGACGGCTGTTTACCTGAAAGCCTTACACTTAATTTTTTTTTCATAATTTTTTTTATGTTGCATAAGATCTAATAAACTAATTAATAATGTAACTTTTTTCAAATATTTCAGAAAATTTTAGTTTCAGGCTTATCTGGGTTAATCATAGGACGAAAAAATGTTCGACAATATTTTAGAATATATCAATATCTACAAATAACATCGCGAGATCATATGTCTAACTATGGTAGTTACGTTGCTATAACTACTTTTTTACATTTAACAAATCAATAGAAATGCCGATCAAAATCAGACCGCGTTATGCATACCATTTATAAATTTTTATCCAAATAAATAATTTAATATTCAAGACTGTCTCAATACCTGATGATTATTTTTTTAATTATTGACATCGGACATGCCATTCAAAAGATATCATGAAAATAAAAATACATGATGCGGCGGCCGCCACGTCGCGCATCGAGTAACTAATTGTCTAATTCGACGATAGAGGAGCAGTGGGCTCCTCACGCGGTGGGTGCGAACGATATTTAATATTTCGATATTTTTTTTTAACATTTTTATTCACTTAAAAAGTTATTTTCAGAGCTACTTAGTTTTAGTATTAGCAATCACACTTTGCATAATGTTTGTCAAAGTTCTTTTCAGAACTATCTCTTTGAACTTGAATATTTTCTTTTGTATTATTATTAGTTTTAATTCTTAATTTCTCTGATTTAAAATAAATATCCTTCATAGCAATATGCCTCAGGAAGAAGGTCGCAGCTATCTAAGAATAGTTTCCAAGCGAGATTAGCAAAAGTTCGTCGTATTGGAGTCTTCTTCTTAAAATGATCGTCTGGAAAGTATTAGAGTGTACGCGTCCCAATCGCGAGCCAGAGATTCTATCGACGAACGTTCAGGTTCGTCTTGCAGAACCAAAATGCAAGATCGTCGCAACGACTTGAAGGATATAGAGCTAGGAATTCGCGAACGCGTGCACGGGACTCTAACACTGAACGCTCGCAGCGGCTCCCGAACCAGCGAGATAGACCACGTTCGTTAATACAGAGGACGCGCAATACAATTTTTTTCTAATTTAGTGATTCATGGTCGTTTTAATTAGCATGCTTATAATTTAAATATTTGTACTCATTTATGTCTACGTGCGAAGCCGGGACAGGGCCGCTAGTTTATTTATATTTCAGAATTTGTAAAATTTGATTTTCTTTAACTTTTGTTTGGATCTGAAAGTACATACTTACAATTTTGTTAAGTACTTATAGGGTTTGTAAATATTATAAAGTATAGGATAAGTTTAGGTTAAATTGAGTACATATAAAATAATTTGTTTATAATGCAACTTGAGCGACGTCCAACTTAGTTTATACACAAAAGGTTTCATTGATTTGACATTGGCTGTATAATCGACAACAATAATGGGAACTCTCTTCGACGTATTCAAGGATGGTGCATAAAGTCTCTCTAAATGGTCTAATCGACGCGGACGATGTCGTAAGAGCACCTAGTCGTATTATATTTGCTTATCTCGGATGCGAGCTTAGTATTTCACATTTCCGTGTTCGCGTGTAACTTGTACCGTACCGTAAATGTTAACAAATGAGGAAATTCGATCTGTTAAAGGGAGGCAGGATTGCGTAATGGACGCGTGCGAGCGGAGATCCTCCGCGGAACTCATCCTCCCGGGCGGAGGGAGAACAAGCATGCGCCATGCACGTCGGATATTGCCATCGATTGCACCTCCCGCCTGCACGGACGCCGCGACTGCACTTCGCGAAGCGCGACCCGCCGACATGTTCACCGAGGAGCAACTCAGAGCCTACCTCGAGCACCTCTCGCCCAACCGCGAGTTCCTCAAGTTTCACTTCGCCGACGCGGAGAGGTTCGTTGTTCATGTACGGTGCGACATAGACAAAAACAAACCGCCCGCCTTCTACGACGCGTACATAGACAAGTGGATCAAAAGTTTTTCAAAGTTCACCGCCACGACGTGGAACGCGCGAGTTTCCTACGCGAAGAGGAAGACGCTGCTGCTTCAAAAGAATTTCTTCTGTCGACCGGTCGACTGCACCAAACGCAAAGGGGACGACGGCACGGCGGAGTGCGGGGCTCAGATCGAATTCAAGGTTAAGCTGATCAACGGTAACGACGACCTGAACGTTTTCATACTCGTGCACTTCGAACACTCCCACGCCGTGTACACACCCGCGGCGCTGCTCGCGGACAGCTTGTCAGATACGGACAAACGCTTCTTTGAGTACTTCGACAACGGCTTCAATGCGACGACGTCTAAAACTTATCACGAACTCTCGATAATCGAAAAGTTCGGCGGGACGTGCGCTCGGAACCTCGGCGATCGAGAGACCAACCCTCCCATCGAGCGCATTAAATATTTAATCGACAAAATGCAGAGCAAAGAGATAAAGCGCAGTTTCAACGACATCTTGCAGGCGAAAAAGGCGTTCATTAAGGATTCGGGGGGAACGCTCGCGTACAGCGAGGACCCGGAGATCGTCGTGATCGTCACGCCGATGATGAAGAGGGTCCTCCTTAAGAGCGACACCGAGTGCGTGTTGGTCGACAGCAGCCGCGTGAAGATCGGTCTGGTCGTGACATTTTTCTACATATCTAACAAAATAGGAGCGCTGCCGGTCGCCTGCGTGCTGCACGCGGCGGCCACCGAATCCAACTTCCGAGAGGCCTTCCATCTGTTGAAGCTCACAGTTCACTCAGTTAACGAAAGCTTCTCTCCGAAGACGTTCATCGTCAATGATTTAGTGGAGCAGAAGAAAGCTCTCGCCGCGTATTTCCCAGAGTCGAGGATGCTCCTATCTCGCTGGTCTATCTGCGCCGAGATTTGGAAGTGGCTCTGCAACGACGACCTGAAGATCGATCACAGGAGACGGCACTCGCTGATGTTCCTGTTCAGGTCCCTGATATACGCAGACGCGGACGATGCACACGCGCACTACACCAAACTCATCGTGAGCGATTATTTCGATTCTAAACTGAAATTGCGCGAATACATCGACTATCTCTGGCGCAGGTCGAAAGAGTGGATGGTGCACGACGAATACAAACTTCACCATCTCACCGAAGTGTCCGTCCGCCTCTTGAAGGAATTTATGCTGCGCAAATGTAGATTTTTCAATATCATAATGATGATCGACGTGGTGTCCAAGCTCTTGGAGAACCACCTCAAAAGTTTGATAAATACGTACATCGACGGGATGCCGAAGACATCGAACTACACGAAATTCTTCCACAGGTCGTATTCGAGTCGGTCCAGCGAGGACTTTGTCCAGATTCGGTTGAACGAATACATGGTGCAGTACCGCTCGTCGCCGAATCTGTACTACCACGTCAAGACGGACACGATGTGCTGCGATTGCGCGATCGGCGAGCAAGGGCGACTCTGCGACCACCTCGGAATCATTTTCAACAAGGGATCCGCCAGAGTGCTCAAGATTCCGCTCTTGACCAACACCGAAGTCGACTTACTGATCAAATTTACAGGCCTAAGCGACGACAATACGGATGACAAATGTGAGATGCTGGACGACGAAGACAACGCAGATCCGGTCGGAGGCGCTGCGAGCGCAGACGACACAGTTTACCTAAACAAATACCAGAGGGACTGCGTAAAGGAAGTCGACGAACACATTCAGAAACACGCCACGTACGCCGACGTCAAGCCGCCGAACTTTTACGTCTTAAAGAAAATAAACAGGATGTCGAATATTAAGAAGTGCATTAAGAAGGCCCCGGATATAGTACAAAAGTTCAGTAAAGACGATTTATTTGTTAACAGAGGGAACGGTGAAATCTTACCGACTCCTAATGAAAAGCCCCGAAGCGTTGAAAAACGCAAAGTCAGTCCCATCGAATTTTACATGAAATCTTTGACGCAGTTGAACGAGCAGTTTCAGAAACTGATTAATTATTTCCAGAAGAATCCGAACACGTACAACATAGACGCAATGGACCGCTTGTCCAAACACTTGGACAAAATTAAGCCCCACCAAAACCCGGAAGCCGCGAAGGTAAAGAAGAGGAAACCCAACGATTGAAGCGTTAGATAGGTAGAAAAGATATCGGTGTTTAAGATTAAGAAAATTTGTCGACTAAGTGTTGAATGTTGACCGTCTCTCTTTTACATGTATTTTTTTACTCGTGGTAGCTTACTCTTCCTACTGTGAAACCGATCGAATACTCTAAGAGACCTCTTCATATTTTATTACTTAGTGTAGTCGTATGTAATACGCTCAAATCTCGAGCCCCGTATCCGTGTGCGACATAAGGACCGAGAAGATCGTGTCTGCGAACACTACTTTAAACGTTAAGCCGTCCGGGCTCATTGACTGTACTCGATGGATGTTATTTTGGTGGAAATAAAGGAAATATTTCAAATATGAGTATGTCTCTCAATTTACGAAACCGCATTTAAGTAACCAAAATCAAAAGATGGGGATAACCGCAGCCGAAGAATAGAGCGCTAAATAAACTATACTCCGTTTCAAATTCTTTTGTAGGAAAGGACAACGATGCTTGCGGGGATTTACACCATCTAAAACATCTATTTTTATTCACAAATTCGAAAAATAACAGAAATAAATAGATAATTAAACACAACTTTTTTATATAGTTGAACAGTGGCAGCAAATACATAATGTTAAATGAGTCGACATCGTGAAATCGTGCGTTTTTTTGTAGTAATTTAGACGATTCGTGTTTTGTCCCTATTCTACAAATTCATTATTTACAGAGTATACACATCATTGTGAAGTAAATTTAGGATATTTCGTAAACGAAATTGTGTGTTCGTTTGCTAAAAACCTCAAGTTAGAAAAAATCCACTGTACATAAAAAAACTAGGAAATTCTAAATCCGAGGTGAATGTGTGAACACCCTTATAACATTCGCCGAAGACATATTGAATTTCTTGTACTACAGCACGCAAGAATAAAAGTGTTGTGACTTATAATATTCATATACCTAGAGATTAATTGTAACAAAACAATACCCAACAATCGAATTATTCCCTTTAATACAGTTTTTGCATTGAGTATAGTCAGTACAGTAGCGCCTCCTAATGCCAGGGAATTCTTGTAAAAACTTACTATTACTTTAAACCATCGCAGAACTAAACGGCGCAGTAGCTCGAAGGAATTCAACGCGCAGCTATAAAACTTATATATTTGCTGAAAAATTATAATTTAAGACTATTTCAATTTTAAGTACGATGCCGGCACTACATTTTAAAATTTATTGTTAGAACTAGTGTTAGGGCATGACGTTCGAAGATTTATTAAAAGATGGCGCTGTTTACAACAAAAAAAATAAAAGAAGCGATATTGAATGCTGTTTGTAGTTTACGCGAGTAGTACACGTTTAAATGAAAGACTTTAGCGCTTTAAACCGCGATATACATTAGTTGAAACTGAACTGTTGAACTTGTTTGAAAATTATTTTAACTTTTTCAGGCCGAAGTTCAAACAAGTTAAACTAATAAATATCGCGTTTTAAACCGTTAAAGTGTTTTATTTAAAAGTAAAAAATATAATAATTAAATGACAGAATATAGTAGTATGTCATGATCGCTACATCCTTGATCTCGGACGTAAAACACTTGTTGTATATTCCAATGCGTACGTTCGGACTACACTTAGTTCCAGGCGAGGGCACTCACTTGGCGGTGGAGACAAAGTCGCTGAGCTCGCCGTCGTCTCGTTCGAGCTGCTCCAGTGTCCTCGCCTCCCCGGTCGACTGCAAACCGATCACCACGCACTTGCCGCATTTCACCGCCTCGCGGGCCGTCACCACCGCGTGATTTACCTGCGGGCGCAGGTGAGTTAATAGGGAAGAAACGGGAGCGGTGCAACCCCACAGTTTGAATAAACTATACGAATATTATAGTTAGATATAACTTTATTATATTATAGTGTCGGAGGAATCTGCTCAAAATCCTCGTCATCATTTGTTTAAAAACTGAGTCTCTCGACGATCCGTTTACCTATTCACGGGTTATTGGCCTTAGGAACGAGTAACAATTGTCGTACCTTAGAAGCTATACACAGGTACTTGAAGAACCTCTGGTGTGCAGACCAAAACTGGCCCCACATCGTTTTCTTCATGCGAGCTTCCGCGTCTATCAGCTCCGCAGCCTCCGTAAAGCGTTGCATCGCCTCCACCCACTGTCCGCACACATTTGAATCACAATGGAAGCGCCAACATTGCCAAGAGCAAGGTTATAAGATAGATTAAGTTCTCTAGTAGTATCCAACATAAGCAGACAGTCTGTTGATTAAATATAATCAAAATTGGTCTGAACTTATCGGGTCCTTCAAGCCAGATAACGGAGAAGCATATTAAGAAATTAACAGTTACCAATGCGACGGCCTTATCGTACGTCTCCCTAAACGAATCGCTAAGGGGCACCTCCTCGATCTTGAACGACACTCCGTGGAAGGACAGCTGCCTCGCGATGTACATGCCTCGCAGCTTCATGTCCATGGCCACTATCTCCATGGCGCCAACCCCGCTTCAAAGTTACTCTCGTTATTAATGGTAAATATCTTTAACACTAACGCTAATCTCGACTTAACAAACGTCTACATACCGTTTCTCCACAGCATTAATAAAGTCCATAAATGTGGGGAAAGGTGTCCCTTCGCCCCATATCCCCAGGCGGACCATGTAGGCCATGTTTCGAGGCTCCGAAGCTCCGGTGGCGGACGCGTACACGACTCGAGCTTTGGGCAGCTTATTTTGCAGTTCGAGTGCCGTTAGTCCGGTCTTGGTCGCTTTACCGGAACCCACCGGACAGAGATTCTTTGCTTTGTGGCATTCGTCGAATACGATCTAAGGTGAGACGAGTCAAGGAGTCATAAATATTCTGTATTGTTATAAACAAACCGTGACGCATCCGCGATAACGTCACTAATCAAAGGATACGAGTCCGTCGAAGTCCTCCCCGCACCACTGAAGCAACTGCTTGAGCCTGGTTCGGTATTTGGTGTTGGCGTGGGTTTCGCCAATGAGAGCGGAGTACGTGCAGAACACAACGCCCTTCTTCACGTTGCCGTTCACGCCCGATGAGATTTTCGCATATTTGAACTGGAAATGAATATGGGATATGGTACGCGATTCGATAGGATTCCTTTGGGCGTCGACACAGACAGCGAATACGGCTCACCTTACTGAGGGAGTGCACTTCTATGTAGGAGGCGCCGATGTCCCGCAGGTCCCTCTCCGCGTCGTACTTGAGGTCGTTGGAGACGGACACCCAGATGGCTCGCTTCCTCCCTCGAAGGAAGTTCTCGAAGATGATTCCGGCGATCGTGCGCCCCTTGCCCACACCGGCTCCGTCGCCTGGTTGCATTAACACAAACGGTGACAATTCGCTTTACGCTTTCATTACTCGTATGAAAGCGTGCAGCGATATATGACGGCGATAAATTTCATTGGAAACGCGTTCTCAAGGCGGACGGCGTACCGTGGAGTTGATCTGCCGCCGAGCTACCGTGCATATATATGAAGCGGGCCTTCGCACTGACCGATGAGAAAGCCGGCGCGGGTGCCGTCCGGCAGCATGTGCTCGTGGGCCTGCGACGCGTACACGACCGCCTCCAGCTGCAGCGCCGACAGCAGCCCTCCGCGGATCGTCTCATCGGGCAGCGTGGGCTTGTACGTCACGTCCACGGGCTCCACGGACGACAGCGAGGCCGTCTCCACCACCGGGTCGGGGTGCTTGCGCCCGATCTTTACTGTGCTCAAATTATTCCAATTTATGATTTCACTTTGTATGAATGTGTGTACTTTACGCCAGTAGTACACATTAAAATAAATGAAAATACTTTGGAACGTGAAATATGTTAATTAATTATTTTATTTATTTCAACTACGGCAGGACGATTCGACGAAACAAACGCACCATACTTGGTCTCCCTGCGACCGCGGTTTCTTAAGAGTATCTAAAACCTCGGGTCGTAATTAAAATAAATTCAAAATAAGTCAACTAATATATTTCGCGTCGTAAACCGTTAAACAAGTTTTATTTCAATATCTGTATTACTGGTATGGACTTATCTGGATTCCCCTTACATTTTGTCGGCATGTAGTCGGCGTAAGTTTCAGCCACGCCCATTTCTTCGTCGTCGACCTCTTCTTCATCACCGCCCGCGCTGGGTGCCTGTCGCCATAAATATTGCTTAACTTACTTTTTCACTGAGTTTAAAAAAACCGTGAGGTGTCGACGCTTACCTTGTCTACTTGCCACATCGGTTTGCCCTGCCAGGCAGGGCCGAGGCCGAACATGCCGGCGAGAGGTGCCCCCATTCCGGAGGCCAATATTTGATTTAGGTTTTGCAGGAGGTACGCGTTCATGCCTTGCATCCCCGCCATTTCCACTAGGATATGCAAAGTTCTTTCTCATTTAGTACATCACAAGTAGTTATATTAACATATTAAGCAAAAAAGCAATTCAAAGCATTGGAATTTCAAATAAAGTCATAATGAAAGGTATGTCAACATAATGCTTCCATTATCAAACTACTCATAACAATGTTCAGACAAATTGGTCCAAATTTAAATTTTATGTTAGTAACTACTACTACTAACTTACTAGTGCTACGACGAACAATTGACTAAGGCATCACTAAAACTCTTAACTTTGCAGTTCTGAGTGGAGAACATTTTAAGTATATCGCATCGAAAAGGAAATGAGTAACGCCAATGCCAACTGTGCTGACACGGGTTTGCCAGAGCTTTAAAGTCATAAACGAGAAAAATAAAAGTAAAAGAGAATAAATATATTGCTAGTAGTTTTCGTAATACCTGTGTTACGAAAAAAAGCCTCGTAGCCTTTACCAGCGTAAAGGCTACGAGGCTTTTTTGTAACTGGCAACCCATGACCGACTACGGTAGAAGGGCGATGCTACTCACTCTGGGCGAGCAACGAGGCCGCGTTGAAGGAGGACGTGCCGGGAATTCCCGCAGCTGATGACATTTATGTTATCATTACCAAGGTTCACTACCGATTCATGTTACTATACAGAGCAAAAATCCTTACCTCCCCGACCGAGCCCCAAATTAATTGGCTTACTGAGAACTGAGTTTGCCGATATTCTGATAGGTTTCACATTCGATGCTTGTCCGAAGGCCAGGCCAGAGGGGGCTGCAACATATTGGAGTTTTAAAAAGGGCTAATTCTCCAATATCTAACTAGAAAAACAAAGATTAGCCAGAGAACACAAAATGCACTTACCCGCGAGAGGGTTGGTGGTAGGTTTTATTGTTATCGGTGGTGGCGCTGGTTTTTTATCGCCAAGTCGCGCTGCAGCAGCCAGTGTCTTACCGCCACCTGGAAAGCATAGAAGACTAAATGTACTAGTACATTAACATATTGCCTCGGTCTGACATCGCTCGGAAATGTTTGATTTCAGTTGTTTCACAAAATAATTCAATAAATGCGAAAAAATCTGCCAAAAACCGCATACAAATGCATTATAACAATAAAAACCCAGCCAAGGGAGAGTCCTTTCCATAACCAATATAGAGATTCTATTATACCATTTGACTTAGTAAACAATAGTGAGTACAAGACAGTTTGCAATAAGTCCTTACTAAATACTTTAAGCCTGTTACCATTTCATGAAGAGAGGAAAGAAAGGTTGATGAAAGACAGTCCAGTCTACTTACATTCAAATTGCATGTAACTAAATTTCATTAAATTCCATGCAATTTGAATAATGTTATAAATCTAACCTTAACCGCGCTCTTTCGCGTACGCTTTCCTTTGTAATCGACTTCTCAATTCGCTACTACTATACTAAATTTGTGTAAACGTTTTTCTGCGAAGAACTTCGTCGTTTCGAGGTTAGGTCCCATATTAAAAAGGATAATCGAGGGGATTTGAAAAACGTAGGGACGACTGGTGCGTTTGTAATTTGTCTCATTGGCTTTAAAGCAATTTTTTTCTAGTTTGAAGTTGATTTGATGATCATGGTGAAAGACAGACGCAAAAACTTCTCAACCATTTAGAGTAGCTACTCTCTATTGTTACGAAATTTACACCTAAATTGGAGATGACCATAGCAAATGACATTTCAGGGAATTCCCTCAACTGTGACATGGACGACTGTGGATATATGTAAACGAAAGCCTTATTTATTTTCTATCGGGGACACCCTTGGCAGGACGGGTGATCAGTCCACGTTGTCCGCTGACCGTTTCACCCATTTCCTCCTTGCAGAGATTTGGGTCATCCAACTCTTCCCGTGTCCCCTTCAAACCTTCCGGTTTGCTTGCAGAATCTTATTATTTTTTCCATCTGTAGTTCTTTAATTTCATCTATCCGTCTTTGTTCGAGCCCATATGCATTTGTCTTAGCCTCGAGTACGCAGAGCATTCAGTGAGTAGATGGATGCTTGTTTCCACACTTTCTCTGCACTCCGGACATAGGGGATCGCTACCTATTCCTATCATTGTAAGATGTCTGTTTAGACGGCAATGTCCTGTTATGATTTCTACGATGAGTCGGATGTTCGCTCTCGTTAGTCTCATCAGGTTTTTGGTCTTCTTTTTATCTAGGCTATGAATGAACATTTTCGACTGTCTCATACCAGTCGAAGATTTCCATCTTTGGTTTGTCTTTTCTATGATTCTGCGCTCGATTATTCCCTTGGTTACTTTATGGGCTATCGGAAGTCTCGGTTCCGGCCCAATCAAGCTTTCATCGGCTCCTTCGCGAGCGAGTTCGTCCGCTCTCTCATTGCCAATATTTCCTTGGTGTCCGGGGACCCAGGCAATTGCTACTTCTACCTGATCAGTTAGTTTGTGCAGTGCTTTCTTGCATTCTTTGACAATAGCAGATGTTGTCTCTTCTTTGCATAGCGCTTTAAGTGCCGCCTGACTGTCACTGTAAATTGTAACACTTGACAGGGGTCTTAAGTGCCTGGCAATCTCTGCACATTCCATGATGGCAAATAACTCCGCCTGGAATACGCTAACAAGTTTCCCCAGAGGGATTGATCTTGTTATCTCTATTCCATCCTCGCATCTCATGTATATGCCTGACCCAGAGAGCTTTGTCGTTTCCCGAAACGAAAGCCTTACACAGTTTAATACAAATTTAATGATTTGGAATTTTTGAGCCAAATCAAATGCCCTGGTTGGACACATATTTTGAGATATATACATACATAAAACTTAATACAATTTAGTACCTACTAGTACAGTAGTATCTTTTTAAATTATAAATATGCACCTTCCAGCCTAAGTTCTCGCCTACCAAGTTAAATGACTAGCAAATGATAAATTATGGAAGAGCACTATAACTTCTATTGTTAGAAAAATTGTTAATATCTATAATGTAGTCGTACATTAATACCATTGACACTATCCAAAATAAACTAGGCTGTCACAGGTCACATTTGTACTCTACCGATTCAGTACCCTATTTAACTGTAGTAGATCTATGGTTTTAATAGTTACCAGTGGGTTAGTCTAATTGATTTACCTGGAACTTCCAAATTGTCTGGATCTTCATCATCATCAAAATCGGAGTCATCATCTGATGGTGGATTGTCAAATGCACGCTTTGACTGAAAATTTAAACAAATACATTTAATATAATAATTATACTAAATATATTTACAATTTCATAGTAATGCAAATCTAAATTCTATCAGGATATACATTAAATATAGGTATGATTCTGTGTTACGGCTATTACGTACTTAAAAACTTTCAACATTATCAGATCACATACTTTACTTATTTTAAATTTCTTCTTACTACAAATTAAAGAACTAATTATGGTCATAAAAAATGCCACAAAATTTGCCCTTTGTTTATTTTGGTTTGGAATAGAAATAAATGAAAAAAAAATAGCACTACTATATTATTTCAATAACAAAACCGATAAAAGTACAAAAAATGTATTAATGCATGCAGTCCTGTTTATAATTAGACCTGAAGACAGATATTATTTTACGTACGGGTTTATACTTTATTACAAAAACTGTATAAACATGTATTAAAGCGATGTTTTAGCTGCAAAGTTTAATATACTGCACATTTGATTGAGAAATTATACAAATGGGGAATATCACAATCAACCCCATGTATCTGTCCTCTTCATCATAAAAAAAAAATAAGTCTTGTATAAAATGGTTTTTAAAATAAGATAAATAATCAATAATGATAGTGGTAGTATTGGTAATGATTTTGAAAATTACAATTTGCAATAAAAAAGGGTAGGACACAGAAACTGAAAACAGTATGTTTATAAAGTTTAAGTGAATCCAAGAAGCAATTTCTCAGTTATGCAACTGATTGCAAAGGTTTTAAACTGGAGTTTTATTGCATTTTCAATGCTCAAGTCATCAAATATTTCAATGTACGTATTTGTAATTCGTCTTTACGAAAATGCACCTTAATGCACAATCATCTATGAGTTTTGTCAAATATTCTCAAAATTAGCATTGTTTAACATTTCTAGATTAGAAGAGCCCTCGTTTCGATAGTAGAACGCCAAAAAACAAGTTGGGTGCATCTTTACGGCATCGCATTGTTGTACTTGCTCAAGTTTCAAGTGCAGTTATAAAGGATGTATATTAGCACTAGACCTAGAACCTTCTCAGAAAATCAATACAGCCACACCCTACTTGCATAATTAATACGTCATGCAGCTGCTTTTACCCAATTTTAAGAGAAATCTTAGAATTCCTGAAACATGTGAATCTATCATCACCTCATGATTAAATTTTTTGGTTATAAGGTTTAAAAACATGAGAAAAATCTTTAACCGTATATCTGTATCGTAACTAAAAATGATAGCCTTTGAAAATTCGATATGCTGAATCAAAAAATAATAACATCATCAAAACATACAAGACCTATTAAGGGAACATTGTTAAGTACGGAAAAATGTATCAAAACAAAAAACTATCATTACCATTTTTATTTTAGATTTGATGATTCACGGGGCCAACAAGATTTATTGTTGCAGACTACAAATTTTAATTTTCACGAAAATAATCAAAATAAATCACCCGCGCACAAAAAAATAAGAAAACTTCGGCAATTCACACGTTCTAAAAACTAGTCAACCCGACGGCGGTCAATTCTTCCGCCATATTAAAAAAATAGTCAAAGTCAAATGCAAAGATTGACAAAGTGAAAAGAATATTAAATATATTAAACCATAAACAATCGGGTATAGCCACATGAAGAAGAAGTCTTTCTTCTTCTTTTTACGAATAGTGTCTAGTAGATTCGCCTCTCAGGTGAATTAGAGACGAGTATTATAATAAGTAATAATATCCACAATATAACTAAGTAAAGAATAAAAAAAGAATCAATGGATCTAAAGTACAAACTATAATAACGATATATTGACTATCACCGGCAAGTTAGTATAGTCTGTGTGTTGTCGTGGATGAGAATTGAGAGATGTCAATCGTCAGAGGTAAACCGTAAAAGCAGCCCTTTGTTCTCATCTGTGCTGTATCGAGTTTAAATAGTTGGTTTAAATGAATCAATCTGAAAACGTCCGAATTAATCTATCTTATAGATAATAGTAATTTTGTATTCATAACTCAAGATTTTCGAAAAACTAAGCATGGGTACGTGGCCTGAAGTGAGCACAGCGAAATCGGAAAATAGGCATGAAATAAAATTGTCCGGTCCCGCTATTTCCAAACGTATATCTGAAGAAGGGTTAGATAAAACCGTTTTCCAATTGACCAATATTAATCTTCTAAATATAAGCGACACTTGTCTTTCAAGTATTCCCGATGAGATCAAGCACTTAGCGAACCTACAGTCGTTGCTTTTATATGGAAATAAGATGACGGAGTTTAATGAAAACATAACCTTGTTACCGAAGTTGAAAGTATTAGATCTGTCACGAAATATTCTTACGCATATTCCAGACAGTTTGAATAAGATGAAGGAGTTGACTGATATAAATTTCAGTTCAAATCAAATTGCAGACATGCCAAAAATCGGCGATATGCCTCATCTCATAACACTCGATCTTTCCAATAATAAGTTGACAAGTTTTCCCGACATGGAAGAAGGATCTTTCCCACATTTGACTGATTTACGAATCAAAGGAAATATGATATCGGTGCTTTCGTCCTACATAGCTCGCACCCTGCCATCTCTGAAAAACTTTGATATTGGGGACAATCAGCTGAAAACAATTCCTGGTGAAATAGCTTCTTTGAATAAACTGAAGGGTACGTGTCTTTAAATAATTATATACTGTATACTACTTACTATTCTCAAGTTAATATATATTTTACTAACAAACCTACTTTCAGAGCTGAATTTAAAAGGGAATAAACTTTCTGACAAGCGTCTTATGAAGTTAGTGGACCAATGTCGAACTAAACAAGTATTAGACTATATTCGCGAACACTGTCCTAAATCTGATAATAATATCCAATTGGCTGGAAAGAAAGGGAAAAAGAGCAAGAAAGAAGAACCACAACCGGATGAGAATATAAATGAACTAAGCCATAATCTTAAGATCCTACACGTGGAGGATGACACACTAAAAGTGAAAATAGTAGAAAATGAAGTGTGGAATATTCGTCCATACATACTGTGCTGTATAATTGATAATATTCGGTTTAATGAAGCATCCTTTAAGAAGTTTATACAGATGCAAACAAAACTACATGATACTGTTTGTGATAAACGTAATGTAGCGACTATTGCTACACACGACATGATGAAGATACCCGCAGGTATTGCACAGCAATTATTTACCTTTGGCTTATGGCATACCATAAGTCCAAGGTAAATAATATAGCACATATGCTAGCTCCATTTGTATATTAACTTAATGTCTGTTTAGGTAATTTGGTGTACACTGCAAAGCAACCATCAAGACTAAAACTGACTCCACTGTCACGCAATAAGCCTTTTACCGGTGAACAGCTCTTTGTGCAACTTACTTCTGAAGCGGAAGCTCTGAGGAAAGAGAAAAAGCGAAATGTTTATTCTGGAATACACAAGTATAATCTTTATTTTTTTGATCGATTATTTAGGTTGTATTTGATACTAAAATGTATTCATATAATGTATTTTCAGATACTTGTACTTGCTAGAAGGGAAACCAAAATATCCTTGCATAGAGGATTCTCAAGGAAGAGTTATCAGTTTTCCACCGATCACTAACTCTGAGGATACTAAAGTAAACTTTTTCTTCTCATTATAAAACAAAATCATATTTCAGTTTTACTTTTGGAAGATGTATTGGAAGAAAATTATTAACTGTATTCTTATTTGGTAAAAGTCAAGTGTCACTTTTCAGATGTCCCATGAGAGTAAGTCCATGTTGGTAGAAGTAACTTCTCACTCATCCTTAGGGGCTTGTAAAACTGTCATGGACAAGTTGTTGCATGAGTGTCTGATGCTAGGGATAGGAGATGATTTGGATTCAGCTTATCACACACTTACAGTACAGCAGGTTAGTTGTATACAAGAATTCATTGATATTGTAAACCATTATTTCAATAGCTATCATATGCAGTTTTAATTTTCAGGTAAAAATAGTGGACCTAGAAGGAAATCTGAAGAGTGTGTACCCATCTCGAACAGATTGCGTCTTTGAAGGAGCCGCTGTTAAAGTATATAGATTACCAAAGAAATAAGCTTTTCATGTATTTGCCTTTTAAAGATTCAATCTGTGTGTAAAATATTGTCTTAAGATGTCTTGTCAAAATCTCAAGATTAAATACATAATATACTACATGTTTAAAACATACAGTCCTGAGCTTACATCCTGAATTGAATTTCTGCAGTGTTTTAGGTATCATAATGAATTAATTTTCCTTAATCCTATCTTAGTTTTTGAGAAAAAATAACGGAATTAAAACAGTAAGCAAAAAATACATCTCAAAATATACGTCATTTAGTTAAAAAAATATTTTTCAAATAATGGAATTAATACACCTAGTTCTTATCTACAAAATTACTTTCGTATATTCTTGCACGATATCAACGAATATAATATAACAGTCGATAATCGATATACCAAATTATATAACGTGTATCGTGTAAGTACCTAAAACTCAAGTGTCAAAATGATCATAATTCGTCTTCTTAATTTTCTCTCCTATTGGCTTTCCCATTGTAAGGGTTCTGAAATGTCATGTGTCCAATTAGAAATGACAAGGTGTTATAAGAATTATTATTGTCATTTTGTTTTACGATTATAATTTATGCGAGTATAATACGGCCGACGTAACTTGGCATGTCTGATCTTAGCGCAGAAACGTTCCTTAGGATGTTAACGGTGGTAAGGATGAGGTGCGACTTTAAACCATTTTATACAAATATATTTCCACGATCCAATTTTGTCTATTTCAATAGGAATCGATTAAAATACACTCTCAAGGAACGAGTATGGACATCTCTATTGGGTTATTTCGTAAAGCTTCGTACATATTCGGTAATGTTCGGTAAACAATAGTGTGTCTCGGTCACTCCTTGGCGTTTAATTCGTTATCTCTTTCTTGACCGTAGTCCGTTAGAAAAGTGATTGTTTATTGTTAAATTGAATACTATTATTTCTCTTTTGTCAAGTCTCAGTAGTTTTAGTGAAAGATAAGTGTTCGTAGGGCTTATTCTCTTTTAATCAATTATTGGTATGTTACTTTTTCTTGGTATATGTAAAATTTGATTCATCCCAGTAACGAAAATAAATGGCAGTATTAGTTTTCTTTACGAGTGTACATGCGCCAAAGTTCGTCTAACCTATGTTCAGACTTGCCAAGTTACGTCGGCCGTATTATAGCGTACTGATACCTTTACGTGATGTCAAACGAAAACGAAACGTTTACTAAGTAGCTAATCTGTGTCTTAAACATAAAAACTTTGTTTTGACAAGTTATGATTCCTATGTTTACAGATGTTAAAGACAATTCTTATTTCTAATCATGCGTATTAAAACTGTGGACCTATATTTAAAACATTGAGCGGTTGAGCCGTAGTATAAATGCGGCGCAGTCTAGCTCCGAGCCAAACCGGCTCCGGAAATAATGTGTTTAAAAGTCCTTTAATGAAGCGCGCGAACCGAAAGCGAGAGTGCACGAGAATTCCTCTAGCACAGAAGTCTACGTCTCAAGCGTTATCTTCGTCTGACCACGAGAATTTGATTAAGCAAATATTAAGTAAGCCGTTTAAGGTTCCCATTCCGAACTATGTGTCGTCGTATTGTGGTAAAAGCTTAGGTTTGAAAAGAACCCAGCTTCGAAGAGCTCTTCACGATCCCAATGAGCCCAACGCTTTAGTTCTATATCACCCACCACATATTCCAGAACATGATAAGATGAAGATGAATCCGAGCGACATCAAAGTTGCTGTAGTAGTGGATCCCCTGCTTGGTAATATTCTACGGCCCCATCAAAGGGAAGGAGTGAAGTTCATGTACGATTGTGTAACTGGAATGCAAATAGAGAATGCATACGGATGTATCATGGCGGATGAGATGGGTCTCGGAAAGACTTTACAATGTATAACTCTTTTGTGGACTCTTTTGCGTCAAGGACCTGACTGTAAACCGGCTATAAGCAAAGCTATCATTGTATGTCCAAGTAGTTTAGTGAAAAATTGGTACAATGAAATACAGAAATGGCTCGGACAAAGAATTAATACATTACCTATGGACGGTGGGTCTAAGGCAGATATAACATTAAAATTACAGCAATTTATGAACACTTACAATTCCACACGAGTGGCAACACCAGTATTAATCATATCATATGAAACATTTCGAATTTATTCCAATATCCTACACTTATCGGAGGTAGGTTTAGTGCTTTGTGATGAAGGACATAGGTTAAAGAATAGCGAAAATCAAACATACCAAGCACTCATGGGTCTTAAAGCGAAACGACGCATTCTCATTTCTGGGACTCCAATACAGAATGACTTAACTGAATATTTCAGTTTAGTGCATTTTGTCAATGAAGGTATTCTCGGGACCGCTCAGGAGTTCAAAAAGCGATACGAAAATCCTATACTTAAAGGACAAGACGCATTAGCGACCGACCAAGAGAGGGAGAGAGCTCAAGAATGTCTCCAAACTCTTACATCTATAGTAAACAAATGCATGATCCGAAGAACTAGTGCTTTACTTACTAAATACTTGCCCGTCAAGTTTGAACAAGTCATTTGCGTTAAAATGACACCCTTGCAGACGGAAATATACAAGAATTTCATTAATTCTGATACTATTAGAAACAAATTTGCAGGGACAGACGGAAAGAACAGCCTGAGCGCCTTATCCGGAATAACCACATTAAAAAAATTATGCAATCACCCTGACTTGGTGTACGACAAAATCATGGAGCGGACCGAAGGATTCGAAAAAGCCAGAGATCTCTTACCGAAAAACTATGACATCAAGGACGTCAGACCAGAGTACTCAGGAAAACTCATGATCCTCGATTGTATTTTAGCCAACTTGAAAACGAATACTGACGATAAAATTGTACTCGTATCCAACTATACGCAAACTTTGGATTTATTCGAAAAATTATGCAGAAAAAGGCAGTACCTTTACGTGAGATTAGACGGATCCATGACTATAAAAAAACGCGCCAAAGTCGTAGAAAGCTTCAACGACAAGAATTCAAAAGAGTGGATATTCATGTTGAGTTCCAAGGCCGGGGGATGCGGACTTAACTTAATCGGGGCCAATCGTTTGATCATGTTCGACCCGGACTGGAATCCGGCGAACGACGATCAGGCGATGGCCAGAGTGTGGCGCGACGGCCAGAAGAAGCCTTGCTACATCTACAGGCTCCTAGCCACGGGCTCTATAGAGGAAAAGATATTTCAGCGCCAAGCGCACAAGAAGGCTTTGAGCGAAACCGTCGTAGACCAAAACGAGGACTCGCTACGTCACTTCACGTCGGACGATTTGAAGGACTTGTTCCGGCTCGAAGAAGACACTTTGTCAGACACGCATGCCAAATTTAAGTGCAAACGTTGTGTCAACAATATTCAAGTGACCCTACCTCCCGATAACTCCGACTGCACCTCGGATCTGTCTAACTGGTACCATTGTGCGGATAAGAAGAACTTAGCCGATTTAGTTCTCAAACAGTGTTGGGATTTAGCTAAAAACATTTCTTTCGTTTTTCATCATCGCTCGGCCGCGACGGAAGCGCAGAAAGATCACCAGGAGGACAAAGAAAACACCCAAGTTAATAAGAAAAGAAAGATTGAATCAGATGGAGATTACTTTGAACTAGATTATAGTGCAGATGAAGATTTCATATTATGTTAAATCGAAAATTATTTATGTTTAAAAAATCGTGAAGACAGTGATTTTATATATATTTTTTTGTTTTATTCACCACACCTACCTAGAACTCGTACAAACCTATAAAGTGTTAAATAACGGTAAATAACAGTTTAAATCGTGGGAGAGAAAAAAAACCATAACAAAATATATAATATATTGACATAGATTATATATACTTAGTATACACAGTAACCACAATTAACTAATAAGATTACACAGATTTTTGAAAACTACTTCCCATACAAAAATAATTAAGGGCGTAGTGATTAAGAGCAGTATAAACTATGATACTTCAACAGTTCACGTATTTCTTTTTTGCGCATGGCATACCAGTCCCACGAGTGGATCCCACGAGATTCCCGCCTTTTCAAGATTAGCCATAATCACTTGAACCAGACTCAAGTATTTTTCATGTGCCAACGTAACTTGTAACTACACTTAATACGATTTCTCAGGAACAAAATTGCAACACGAGAAACTGATGAAACGACATTTGTCTGAGTACTGTAACGCTTACCAACAGTTATTATTCTGAATTATTACTACATAATAACTAACTAAATCGGAGGTTTCGTGCTGAAGAGGCAAATGTTTGTTAGTTGCTGTTAAACGCCAGGCGTTAACGAAACTACGACAACAAAAGGCCTCATAGAACCAGTACTCACTCATCTAATGATCACATACCCTGTACCTTATTACAAAATATTTTAACTAGAGCAACTGAGTTTAAGGCCAAATGACCAGCTTGGGGGCTGAGAAGAGTAACCGAGTTTCTCTGCTTCCTCATTCAGTTTAAACGGCTCCTTCAACACTTCTAGTAAATGGCGAACCTGTACAATTACACACAGCCACGTTATTATAAGGACAGCATAATTACAATTTTTGCACTTCTGCTTTTTAGTAAATGTTTTTTTAACCTTTTTGAAGTCATTTTGTTCAGCATCAGCGATTGCATCCTGTAGAATCCAGTTCCTGGGAACATAAATGGGATTCACAATCGTCGTGCGCTTGCGTCTCTCTTCTTCGCCGACTACAAAAAACATTTACATCTTCATTTAAAACAATAACTGTTAAAGGGTCTACAGCATATATATACTTATAAGCAGACAGAAAGACGCACTATTTTCTAAGTGGATCCTTTGCTGGTATTTTTTCACCCATTGTTGCCATTTTTTTCCTGTACTCACTTTCTTGAGGGACCAATAGTTCTCGAACTGATTGTTTGCATCGCTCAACTCTTCTAATTTAATCTACAATTTAAAAGATACAATTAGTGCAATTACAATCTTATGAGAACATTATTTCAAACAAATGCAACTTCAATACTTCTGCCAGTTGTCTGAAGGTGGCTGTAAAGTCTGCCATAGTATCTTCCATAAGGTCCAATAACTCATTTACAAGAAGGTCATCTCCTACTTCATAATTTTCCAAGCCAAGTTTGAGATTAAAAACATTTCTAAAACCAGGTAATTTACTATTAGATCTCAAATACACATTCTATTTTACTTATGGCTATTTCCCTCACCTTATTCTGTTCTCTACATATTCTGCCAGCATACTTTGAATTTCTCTAACCTCCTGTATTTGTTCAACTGTCAAAATGGGTATTAGTGCTTCTGCAAACTTATCCAAATTCCACAGGACTATCTAATGACATTGAGGTATGATGAGAAAACAGATTCAATGGTATAATAAATTCTAAGATTCATTTCATACCTCAGGCTGCATCTTGTAAGCATATCTTCCCATATCATCCGAGGAATTGGGCACATAGTGCTTATAGTAATGTTCCATAAAGCCATATGGGCCGTAGTCTATGGTCAACCCCAAGAGGCTGATGTTATCCGTGTTCAGAACTCCATGTGTGAAGCCTAGTCCTATTTAAGGAAATATAAGTTTGATAAAAATCTGAGAGATACATGTCACATTTAGGATACATTAAGGATGAAGGTAGCAACATATTTTATGTAGATTTCAACACACTTTAAACACAAACAAACTAAGAGATACCTTGCCATTTTGCTACCATGTCCAAGTTCCTATGCGCAACTTCAGAGAAGAGTTTAACATATCTGTTTTCATCGGTAATTTTAATCGCAGGAAAATGATACTGAAAGGGAAAACAATGACTTAATTAAGTCATCTAAGCAGTATTTATAACAGGTTTATAGCGTTGGTACTAACAGTTATTATAAAATCTGCTAGTTTGCATGCGAGATCTGGTTCGCGCCGTTTGAGAAGGATTTCAAAAGAGCCAATGCGATACCAGGCATTTGCTAGGCGAAGCACCACAGCGGCACGCTCCTGTCTGGCTTTGCCACTGTAAGTCTTGTCTCTCCATACTTTATGATCGTCGCTCACTGGAATTTTATTACATTTTAAGCATTACTTTCAGATAAATAGGTTTTTTTTATTGCGCACGGAAGGTCGAGTGGTTACTCCACATTATCTGCTAACTATTTCACCTATTTCCCTAATTCCCGCTAAGAGAGGACTTTAGGTTATCTAATTCTCAGTGTGCAAATCTTACCTACCAAAGCGGCCGCTCTAGTTGTTGGTACACCTAAATAAAAGCAAGCCTCGCTCGCCACCATCTCCCTGATTGACGAGCGCAACACCGCTCTGCCATCTCCAAAACGAGAGTATGGAGTCTCTCCTGATCCTTTTAATTGAAGTTGCCATAATTGACCATTCCTAAAACGTGACCAAAACAAATTAGATTCAGAGATTTAACAACATTAGTGGGACTTGAACTGACATCCATAGCAATCTGTGCTGCTGCTCCAACAATTTCTTTCAGCCACAATCATTATTAATATATATTAAATTTATATAATGCCATTAAGTGCCCTAACAAAAAAATTAAGATTTTTAAAGGATAACAAAAAACAAATAAATGAAATATGTAATAGACAAATGTGAATGAACAATTCAATTAAGACCCAGACAGACTTCATTTTATTGTACATCAGTAGTAGTAGTTTACAGTACATCTGTTGATACAAAAAGTGATTTTGTAAGCTTACCTATTCAAATATTCTCCAAGTATATGAGCTCTACCGTCACCCAGTTGATCTGCCCAATAGCCGAACTGGTAGCCACCATATCTGAAGTAAGTGCAGGCAAACTTAGATTCAGCCACAATAACAAAGTATCTACATATTACAACAAATACATAAGTACTAGTTTGTTTATTTTCAGATGAAAGATATGAAAGTAATACACAAAAAGCCAATGTAAAATATAAAAAATTAAAAAGAGATCACTGTTACGAGGCACTAGTCCAATGAAAATGACAATCAACTCTGAAAATGGAGATTCTTTTTTTTGTGGGATATCTGAGTCCTTACCTGTGACATACACTAAGAGCACCTTCAGGTAAATATTTTCCTCCAACAAAGTCAACAAACTCATCACTCTCAGCAACTGTAGGATCCAGGTCAAGTATATCAGTTAGCGCATCTTCAGAGACACAGACTAGGTGAAGCTTTCCTGCAAGTGGTTCTGTGGGCACCTTAAACAGGTAGGGTGTGGAGTTAGCAAATTCTAAATAAAATGGAATAGCTCAAAAAATTAAAAATCATTATTCAGAAAATCAAATTGTGTTTGTCGTTACTTTGAGGTGAAAAGGATTTTTTTTGTTAGATTGTATTAGTTACCTTGGAAAACACAGCATTGTTGACGGCGACTGGTATATTATACTCAGGGTTATCATTTATAGGCAATTCCGCGTAACTGGGATTTTTAAACTTAAATTCCCTGAAATCGCTAATTAATTTTGTGATGCCTAACATGTCGTTTTTGTTAAGTAATACATTGAGTGCACTAAACCCACGCTTCATTAAGAGAAAGCGGCAAAATTATTAACAATGGTGTATTAAAGAAATTTATTTAATTACAAATATTAAGACCTTTTTTATTTTAGCATTTTACATTGACAGAATCCAAATAGAATGACAACTAGGTTCTCTCATTTTGGTCACAGATATAACAAAAAAAGCATTTTTAGACATTTTAGTCTACTATTACATATTGGAAAATTAACGTAATGACTAGTAAGGGATTTAAATTTTAACAACATCAGAAATTAGGTAGAGCAGCTTATTTTCAAAGCGTACGCCCAGTGTGGGGGTTGTGCAGAAAACCCCTTCGCCTCCGCCTCCGGTTGATTATCGAAAGGTCTCTTCATTACTTCTAGAAGGAAGTTTAACTAGAAACAATCGAACAATTATTAGTCTAAAGTAAAATTGATTGATTGAAAAAAGTTGGTGAGTGTACATTTGAAAACGAACTTTTACAAAATCATCGCATTCGGCGTCTAAAATAGCTTCATGCAGCATCCAGTTTCTCGGTACGTATATCGGATTCACGCTTAACATTCTGCGACGGCGCTCATCTTCAAAAACACCTAACGAACTTGCGTCTACTAAACCGAAAGGAAGTGTCATTATAAATCTTAGGAGAGTGAAGGAAGACATGAAGCTGATGAATACATACCCGCTTCTTTGTCCAATCTTTCTCGATACTGATCCAACCAGCATCCCCAAGACACGTGCATTGACAGCCGTTTTAAAGACCACTTATCTTTTAACTTTATGTCGTTTACCATTTCATTAGGCTCCAACTAAATTTGTTTAGACATTAAAAGCTCTGATTACAAAAAAAAATGAAAATACTATTCAGGTACAATTTACTTCAGCCAATTGTCTGAATGTCGCGGTAAAGTCTGCGCCGGTCTGTTGCATCATGTCCAAAAGCTTTTCTACGAGTTGGTCATCTCCCCATTTCTCTTCTCGTAAACCAATTTTCATTAAAAATGTTTCTCTATAAGCAAAAATAAAAATAAAGAACGCCGAGAATGAAAAAATCGCCCTACAAGGTTTTAAAGAACTTACAAAATTTTATTTTTTACGTATGTGTCTAATGTCTTCAATATGTGAGACAAATGAATCTGTTGCGAAGGAGAGAGCAACGGTTTCACGGCGTCAGCGAGTTGGCCAACATTCCACACTACGACCTATAATTATATTTGAGAAGAAGTCACTCAGTAGTGCCGGTCCAAAGTAATGTAGTTAGGGCGGTAGACATACATCGGGCTGCTTCGAAAGTGCGTATCGCCCTTCTCCATCGGAAGAATTTGCGATGAAACCACCATCATATGAGTCTACGAATCCAAACGGCCCGTAATCCATGGTGAGGCCTAATAGGCTCATGTTATCGGTATTCAACAAGCCATGAGTGAAGCCAAGTCCTGAAAAACAAAAAGGTACGATTCTGTATTTGTATTTTTGATCGTCCCCGTTTCGTCAATGTAATGTATAAATTATTATTATACCTTGCCATTTAGCTACTAAATCCAGACTTCTATGCGCAATTTCTGAAAACACCCGAATAAACCTGTTCTCGTCGGATAACTGAATTTCGGGAAAATATTCCTGAAATAGCAAAAGGCTAAAGTGTCTATCCATAGGGATAATATATGACAGAATTAAATAGGTATACCTTTATAATAAAGTCGACCAGTTGCTTTAACACTGGAACTTCCCCATTTTCTGAAAGGATCTCTAAGGAGCCAAATCGGAACCAGCTCGGTGCCAACCGTAGTAGTACAGCTGCCTTCTCGCGACGTAAATCGCCCGTGTAATACACGTCTCGCATTACGGTATCATCGCTCACTGATGGAAGGGATTAGATTAAACGCCTTTCGTCACTCGAGCTCAGTTGTAGATTCGTAGATATTTACCAACTAGAGCGCCCGTTCTGGTCGTGGGAATTCCCAGGAAGTAACAGGCTTCAGACGCCACCATTTCCCTAACCGCCGAGCGAAGCACTACTCTCCCGTCGTAGACGCGGGAGTACGGGGTCAGACCGGATCCTTTCAATTGGACTTGCCACCGTTCATTATGCCTGGATATACACGATTCGGTTATATTATATTAACGCCAATAATACTAGAAAACTTTTTTTCGTCAAATGTTTCCTCTGCAACGTTACCTATTCACGTATTCTCCTAAAATGTGAGCTCTTCCATCGCCTAGCTGTCCTAGCCACAAACCGTATTGGTGACCACCATAACTGAAAAGTAAAGAAATAAAACACCGCAACACGATAAATGTTTGGAGTCGATCGTTATGCCCACCGATGTGCAACGGGCAAAGCGCCGTAAGGTAATTTCGCGCCAGATATGAATTCGGCGAACTCTTCTCGAGTTGTTAATTCCATGTCCATGTCCAGAATGTTATTTAAGGCATCTTCAGACGCACATACGAGACGAACGTTTCCCTCCAAGTGCCGAGGGGTTACCTAAAATTTATATGTATCTAGGAGTAACACAAGTAAATATTATTGATAAATAATTTATTAATAATACTTACCTCGGAATAAATTATATTTTTTATATTCGTTTTTACATCTTCATGAGTTTCATCTATTGGCAGTAGAATATATTTAGGATACTGGCTAAATCTCCATTCGGTTAAATTTTTTATTAGTTTTGTCGATTCACCTTCCATTTTCATAGTTAATTTTTTTAAATCTACGATAGTATAATTTTATTGTAATTGTTTTCTCAAATTAGTTATAAATAATTAGTGTCATTTGTCTGTGTCACGTCATAACGTCATTTTATTTTTTATTGATTGTGCATGAATTCGTGCACCATACTATTTTCCGTCTACTGCGTTCTACAATATAGGTATATTTTAGGTACCACACTAAGTTCTAGCACTGACTTCTACTTTTATAAAGACGACACTACTACTTGTCCTATTAGGCAACGCGACAATCGAATTTGATTTATATTATTATTATTTTAGATCATGTATATAATATAATTATACTTAATATATAGTATAATATAGTACCTAAACCTTTGATAGACGACAGCTACGTTATATATAAGCTCCTTGTGTCAGTGTCAGAATAAAGAGGCGGTATAATTTTATAAACATTAAAAAAAATATATAACCTACAAAACTGGTTTTACTCTATTACGTGTATAATACGATCAGCTAAACTAAAGCGTAGTGTTCAAAAACAAATAAATTCGATTTTATAATATGGTGTATACGGAAGAATATATTAAAGATAAACTGATCAAGGAGCTGGACGCCGTTCATGTCGTAAGTATGAGCTGTCATATTGTTTATCACATAACACGTCCGCAGCCGCATTCGCGTCGCCCCTCGTTAGCGAAATGTTTCTTGCTCTGTTGATGATATTAGAGTTTATAAACGTGTAGTCATTATGACCAAACGGCAGGAGTTTGATAAAAAGAGTATTACGAAAGAGGCGTTGTTGCCGGGCCTACTTTTCGCACTTTTAATACGATGGTGTGTTGCTGCTTATCCTTATTCCGGCTTCAAGAAACCTGTTATGTACGGTGACTACGAAGCTCAGAGGCACTGGCAAGAGATAACCGTTCAGACGCCTGTGCTAAGCTGGTACCGGAATACCACGCACAATGACCTGGAGTATTGGGGCCTCGACTATCCTCCGCTGACGGCATATCACAGTCTCCTCATGGGATTGATTGCCGATTGGCTAGACCCGGAATCTGTGCGTCTATTTGCGTCAAGAGGTTACGAGAATGACAGCCACAAAACCTTCATGCGTTGGACAGTTTTTTTAAGTGACGTCTACTTCTATGTTTCGGCTGCGATTTGTCTGTGTATTCATGCAGAACGTAGCAAGTCAAAGGATGACAAAAATGTGTTTATGAGGACTGATGTGGCAACTATTTTGTTTCTTTTATATCCTGGAATAATTCTAATAGACCATGGTCATTTCCAGTACAACTGTATATCGTTGGGTTTATTTTTATGGGCAATATTCTTTATTACAGCTATAGAAAATGATATTCTAGCGACAGTTTTCTTTGTTCTAGCTTTGAATTATAAACAAATGGAATTGTATCATGCGTTTCCATTTTTCTTTTATTTGTTACGTAAATGTCTAGTTGCATTTGAACATAGGAGTGTCTTGTGTGCTTTTAACAAATTGAATAAATTAGTATTTACTGTTTTATTAGGCTTTATCATTATATGGTTTCCATTTATTTCATCTTGGGACAATCTGCTACCCGTTATCCAGAGGCTATTCCCATTCAAAAGAGGTGTTTTTGAAGATAAGGTTTCCAATATATGGTGCACCATTAATGTTTTCATAAAGTTAAAAAATGTGTATACAAATGATGAAATGATTAAAATCTGTATGTTATCTACTTTAGGCGCGGCAATTCCATCATGTCTGGATTTATTCTTTAGAATAAACCAAAAAAAGTTTTTACTGTCCTTGATCAATGTGTCTTTAGCGTTCTTTCTATTTTCATTCCAAGTTCATGAGAAAACAATCCTACTTGTAGCAATACCAGCAGCTCTTTACTTCCCCAAAGATCCATTCATGTGTTTCTGGTTCCTAATGGTGTCTACATTCAGCATGTTGCCCTTGATCCTTAAAGATCAATTGCTCATTCCTTTTCTGGCTTTAATCTTGATTTACATATCTTTTTACAGTATTTGTTTAAGATTGTCTCTAGGTAATGTGTGCTTTGCGACATTTTTAAATGCTAACCGTGTCTATAGGGTTGCCCACCCGAATACCAATGCCGACTCTTTAGTATTGAAAATGTTCTCAGTGGGTTTCCTTGCATCTTTGCTAGGAATGTTGTGTTTATTGTTAGGGGCGTTATTTGTGAACCCGCCCAATAAGTATCCAGACCTCTTTCCATTGCTTATATCAATGTTCTCATGTGTGCATTTTGTTCTCTTTTATATATATTTTTTGTATTCACAGATATCACTAAAAACTTATATACCCATCAGGGAATAAGGATGAGTAGATGTAGGGCTTGTAATTTTATATAACTTATTCTAGAATTCTACCAGAATTAAATTATGTTTTTAAACCGCAAGGACCTATGTGTATCCACCTGAAGCTTAACAGGTTATGTGAAATAAATTATTAATCTAAGCCATTGTTTAATTATCATTATGAATTAATGATCCTATAAAAAATAAATTCTTATAAAGATACTTTTTCAGTTTAATTCAATACATTATTATGTCGTTTCCAGGAAGTTGTAGATGACAGCGACGGTTGTGGAGCTAAATTTTCAGTTGTAGTTGTTTCTGATAAGTTCCAAGGAAAGCCGCTTTTGGCGAGGCACAAGTGAGTAATTTCATTAGCATTATTTATTTTGCACTAGCTGCGCTTCTTCTTTTTAGATCAGTTAATTTTCTTTCGAACGCAACGAAAACTCTCAAAGATGAATAATTCTCTTCATCTTTTCCAAAATTTCCTACTGTTTCTTCGCTCCTATTGCTCGCAGAGTTAAGCCTTCCTCGATAAATGCTCTAAACAACGCAAATATTTTTTCAAATTGAATCAGTTGTTTCTGACGTCAGCGCGTTCAAACAAACAATCAGACAAACTCTTCAGGTTTATAACATTAGTATAGATATAGATTACTTTTGTGTAAAGAGGAAAAACAATTATGTTTTTCCTGCTTCTATTGAGAGTCGCCTCGTCGGTGATTTAAAATTAAATAAAGAGGCTAACTGAAGACTTTTGCCAACAGACTTGTAAACTCAGTGCTCCAAGAGGAACTGAAGACGATACACGCGTTCAGCCAGAAAACGCTCACGGTCGAACAATGGAACAAGTGATATTGTGAAATAGATTTACATCACACGACCTTCATTCGTAGTTTCATTTTAAGATTTAATCAAACGCAAACGACAACTGAAAGGCAACAATAGGTAGAATAGACTTTGAGAAGTAGACATGAATACGTTGTGCATTAAGGTGACCGCGCCGGGTAAAGTGATTCTGCACGGAGAGCATGCCGTCGTGTTCGGAAAGACGGCGGTTGCCATCAGTCTGGGCCTCAGGGCGAGCATGCTGTTGAAGGTATTCTCATTCAATTATAATACAACTTGTGTGTTAAAATACAACTTTAACAAACTTTTACTTGCAGTTAAAAGTGCAATAGTACTTATTGCACTTTTAACACATTTATCTATCGCGTCTTAATTTTAATTTTCAGACGACATCTGAGCCTCGCATCTCCTTGAACTTTACGACAGTGGGTATAAAGGAATCGATACGGTTAGACCTCGTCGACGAGGAACTCTCGAACTGCCGGAGATACACGGAGGATCCCGAGGGATTACCTCACGAAGAACACCTAATCAAAACTGAAAACTTTGTCAGAGGGTCCTTCCAAGGTTTCGACCTTCTTAAAAACACCCAAAAGAATGCTCTGGTGGCCTTCTTCTACGTACTCTTTGGAATATTCGGCGGAGAACGTCTCGCATGCGGCCTCGATATTAGCTTGGAGTCCGAATTGACGGTCGGTGCGGGTACAGGTAGCTCGGCGTCGTTCGCCGTGTGCTTAGCCGGCGGAATGCTGGGTTTGGCCTCCGAGAAGAGGGGGGGAAGTGCGGAGACGCTGAACTTTCAGGACAAGATGCTCATATCGAAGTGGGCGTACAACTGCGAAAGGATCACGCACGGCACTCCATCAGGTAAGCGCCTGACTGCGATGACTTTACATTACGTACGTTGAACGTCGGGAGAGAGTTTCAGCTTAACGCAACGCTTATTAGGGATTTCGCCGTAGATCGATGCCTAAACCCAGTAACAGGTTTTAGAAAAAAAGAAAGAAAAAATATTTAATGCCTCAAAATACTTAAAACTAGCTACTAACTTCTCAACCTAAAATTTTTGTGGCACGTCGGGATACCGACTCAGCTGAATGCTGCACGAAGGGGATCGCACAGCGCTATTTTTCAGTCTGCTCCCTCTGGCCGAAAGTTTTGTAATAAATTAAAAATGTGAGTGTGAGTTACGTAAGGTGAAATAAAAAAATGAGAAAAATATTAAAACGAACCATGTACATATAACTATATAATAAAATAAAAATACATTATGGTTGACAGAATACATAATTAAGACTGCGGAATATAGGCCCACATACTCTTTTCGTTGAATGGCGAGAACGATTTTTAGTTTTTTTTTTAAAGGTAAATATAATTTGACTTCGGTGGCGGAATAGTGTTCCACACCTTACTCGCAGCGTACTTAAAGCAACCCCGAAAACCACTCGTTTTATGTTTTGGGATTTTCAGCTGGAGCTTATCTTTACTGCGAGTATTTAATAAATGGGAGTCCTTCTGCCATTTTAGTTTTTTGTAGAGGTATGTTGGCCTGCTAGTCTTTACGAGTTTAAAGACCTGTCCAGCTAGATGTAGATTTCTTCTGTCTTTCATCTTCAGTGAGTTTGATTTTATGAGAAACGGCGTGATGTGAGCCCTCTTCGGTACGTTGAAGCAAAAACGCGCACAAGCATTTTGAACACGCTCTGTATAGCTCTCTCTGTTTTAGCGAATAACCTAGGTCCATAAACAGTGTCACAGTAATTAAAAGGTAAAAGAATTATTGCTTCTGTGACAATCACCCTGACCTCCTAGGACAGGTATCTCCTAATTCCATATAGGGGTTTGAGCTTAAAAAATGCAACCCTTATAAGCGAATTTATGTGATCTTCATAGCGCAACAGTGGGTCGAGCAGTACTCCCAAGCTTCTCGGCGTTTCTTCTCGGGCAACGGGAGAGTTTTTCAGCCAGATATTTATATCTTAGTGCCATATTTGCTTACACTGCTGCTTAGAACCTAACACTGTGTATTTAGTTTTCGAGCTGTTTAGAAAAAGTCTGTTGTTATTAGCCCATGTAAGGACCTTTATCAGGTCCTCATTTATTTGAGTTACTGCTGCATTCGTGTCTTTTGGGTCAATGGAATAATGCAACTGCGTGTCATCAGCATACATACGCAACCTGACATGATTGCTTAGATGCCCTAAATCTGCTGTATAGATCATAAAAAGAAAAGGACTTAATATAGATCCTTGAGGACATCCTCGATCCACACTCCGTATTTCGGAAATAGCGTCCCTACCTTGCACCTCCAGTTCAACAAATTGCTTTCGGTTTGACAGATATGATTTAAACCATTTACATGTGCTTTTCTTTATGCCATAGTAAGCTAACTTGGCAACAAGTAATTCTGGGTCTAAACAATTGAATGCCCGGGTAAAATCAAGCTGAACTAATATACTACCCTTTTGCGCATTATTCGTCGATATGATATCCGATTGTACATCCGGTAGTATGTTTTCCTCCTCTATGTATTTTGCAAACTATTTTTGACAAAACAGGAAGGAGGCTAATAGCTCGTAGATCCTTACAATCGTTGACTACATTTTTTTTCGGGATAGGCTTGATTTTTGCTAACTTCCAGGCATCCGGAAACACATTTTCGTCAATAGAAAGATTTACCATAGTCGTAATTATTGGAAGAGTGACAGAGAGTGTCATCTTAATCATTTCAATAGTTATCTTATCATAGCCTGAGGCGTTTGTATGAATACGATTAATTATTTTATAGACTTCGCTGGTAGTACAGGGTTCAATTTTAAATTTAGAAGAGGATTATTTATTTTCATTGTAAAAGTCAAAAAAGCGTTTGTCCATAGAATGATGACTCGGTAACTGAAGAAAAAAATCATTAATTTTATTCGCGGCAACATGGTCAGGTAACGCATCAAGATTTGGCGAGATCCCTTTGATAGAACATTTATTCAAGTATTTCCACATGGCCTTAGGATTGATTACCTTTATTATTATTAACGTAATATGTGAAAAAGGCTGCCTTTTCGTTATTAATAGCACTGTTTGCAGTGTTTTTCGTGTCCTTGTAGAAGCGCATGTGGGAGTCGCTTTTAGTGCTCCGAGCCCTAGCCAAAGCCCGATCACGGATACTCATCGTGGTTTTGACCGTATCGGTTGTCCAAGGTTTGGGAGAATCATATATCCTAATACGTTTCAACGGCGCATGTTTATTAAAAAATTGTAACAAGATCTCGTTGAAACTATCCACCATTTCATTAATATTTTTTACATATTGAACCTTGTTCCACGACGACGCCCGCAGATCTGTTTCGAAATCTATCTCATTTATTTTATTTAGTTGACGAAATGTTCTATATTGTAACGGGGGTTTAGGTTTACATATAGAAAATTCCGAAATGTAATTTTATTAATGTCTTAGGAATCGACAACACTACGGCCACCTTCGGCGCTCTGGTGTCGTTCCGGAAAGGTGAGAAGCCCCAACTTCTGAACCTGAAACTGGACTTGCGCATTCTGCTGGTGAACTCGCGAGTGAGCCGCGAAACGCAAGTTTTAGCGCGAAAAGCGCGAGAAGTGGTCGAGAGGAACCGCGAAATCGGCGAATGCGTTTTGGGTGGGATCGACCACATCGCCAAAAATGCTCTAAAGGTTCTTTAGATTCTTATACCAATTTTATTATCATTATAATGAAATACACGCTTATTTTTGTGTGTTAAGAGCAATAATAGACTTCGCTCTAATCGCGCCGCCCGGCACTTCGGTGAGCGCGAGAGTTATTCGTACTATCTTTCCTTTACCTAGATTTTGCAGAAGCTCTGTTCAGGCGACTACGAAGGGGGGAGCGATTGTCTCTACGCACATTTGGCCGTAAGTAATTTCCTAAAGAAAAGTCTTGAAAACTCAATGAAAATAAATTTAAAACTCTTTATAGTCTAATATTTTCTTTACAAATTTATTCCGATTAATTATCGCTTCATTATTTAGAAATCGAAAGCCCGGAACGAGTTTAGAGTCAGATAGGGGGGATATATTACTAAACTATGTACTTGTAACATTGTGCATTTAGGAATTGTGGAACATGAACCACTGTCTGTTAGCGTCTCTGTGCGTGAGCCATCCGGCCCTGGAGAGCATCAGAGCGAGTGCCACGAGCCACGGCTTCGCTTGCAAGCTCACGGGCGCAGGAGGAGGAGGGTGAGGCCACAAACATGTTTCGTGCTTATTTCTTTATTCCAAACATGTACTTTCTAATGGTTTTCTGAACACTTTCAGATACGCGATCGTGTTAGTACCGCCGAACACCAGGCAGTCTCTTCTAGAGGGGCTCACGCGAGAGCTACTCTCCAAGGGCTTCCAAGTCGTGGACACTAATCTCGGAGGGCCAGGGGTCACGATCTCCACGAGCAGTTGAGTTTGCTCCCAACTAGATTAGGTTGAATCGATGATCCAAACCAAGTTATTTCCAAGAGTTTATTGTCGATACTATAATATACGTCTTCGATTAATGTCGCAATTTATGGTTTTCTCCATCAAATTTTTGTTTTCCGTTAAAGGGTAGAACTAGTTGGGAGACTCTATTTCATTATATGTATCTTTATTAAACGACTAAAACATTCAATAAGCCCGCAGATTAATCAAGTATAAAGCGTGACAAATAAAATGCTATATTTAGTCATATTTGTTTTTTTACTCTTAAAATTAAAATAAATTATTGAACATAACAATCAAATCTTACTCTAAATTAATACTGTAACGATTACGGGAAGATCACAACGCAAAAATATTTGGGTTACTCTTTATCAGCTTAGCGTGGTCCTTGTACGAATGAGGTCTAAAGCAAACGAAAGATTCGGTTTAGGTTTTGCATTGCTCACAGATGTAGTCGCTAAAATAGCCCCTAACTGTCGTCTGCGTGGCTGCGTCAATCGGAGATATCACGTATATGAATAAAGATGAAATCTTCTGAATGGCACCAAGGCACCGTGCAATTTTAATTCAACAAATCGGACGTCATCCGATTGTTTAAATAATAAATAAATGGAAATTGAATCGTCGCCGATGAAGTCCACTACGATTCGCAATCAATATCGGTCGAGTCGCTGACTCGGACGGTTATTGTACAGAAACAAAAAAGGTACAATACTGTATGCGTCTCTACTATTTCGTACATAACATAGTTTGACTACCCAAGAAAAGTACTTTAGACAGTCGTCCGCCGCCTAGACTGGGCTCGACCAATTTTCAAGAAAAAAGTATCAAAAAGCATACCTCGTCCTATCTAAACATACTTACGCATCTAGTAAAGGCAAATTCATAGTCTACAAATTTCTCTTTTCAATTTCGCCCACTCTTTATATCACAATAGTAGTCGTCTCCATTGAGAACGTAGAGCGCGTCGGGTTCCGGAATTTCGTACGTTTAAGCAGATCAAACGAAAGAAAAATATGTTTATCACAGATGTCCCTTAAGAATGTAACACCGCTCATTAGGTAAACGAATAAATAATTAATCGAGCTGCCTCAAACTTGGACAAGTCACGTTAACGTGGGGCAGTGTTTTGCGGATCCGTTAGTTGTGTACCGCGCGACAGCTCTGAGCTGCCGGGGTCTATGTTAGCCTAAATCTCGTCCGAGAGGAGAGCTCCCAACGCATGCCGGAGCAGCGCCATCCGGCCGCGCAGCGCTGTGAGCAGCGACTCCTACAACTGATATCCGCTTCGTATGTGGTTGTCACCACCCGGCTGCTGGATCAGGGGCGGAGAGAGAGGGTCATCGCTCGACGTGACCGTCGTTGACGGTTGGCCTTCTGGAATACACATGATTTGTTCATTCGACCTTGAAACAAAGACCCGTGAAACGAACGACACCGGTATGTAAAAAAGAGGTACGTTTCACTTGAATTATTTAAAAAGACATTACCGTCGTTTTCATCCTCCTCGGCGAGCCACTTTTGAATCTCTGTCTGGTACATTCTTCTCTGCAATACTTCCTTAGTACGCGGTCGAGTTCCTATGAATGTTACGTCGATCTGTGGAAAATGCGAAGCTCCCTTAGTCGCAGGTCAAGAGAAAAAGATTGCGTAGTTGAAGGCTCTATGATGCAGATGTGATTTGAGTTTTTAGGAAGGTGCAATCTTTATTATAGCCCCAACGCGTGAAGGTTAAGAGGAAATTCTGTACCTAAAAGTCCTGTTTGGGTAGTCAATTTTCTCCCATATTTTTCTACGCACTGTCATGTAACATTCTAAATATCCGATATTGTTCTATACATACTCCTGGGGGCAAAAATGTCCTCAAATGCTCCGCTAGATCGCCACTAGCCCCTAAACGTTGGGCTTCCTCCCAACTCGTGTGCACTTCTTCGTGAAGCAGTTTCTCCTCTGGAAACCGTAATATACGTCAGTTTAATCTTTCGGAGATCAATAAAGGAAAATAATGTGGAATGACTGCAACGGATTACCATCTCTCTTAGTAGTGCTCCTCTTGTACTGTATTCTGAACCGAAAGGCTTCTAACACGCTCGCCACCACTATCGTCAGGACGACCATCGTGAACAGGTAAAAGACCTGCGAAGTCGATCGTTTACATATTAAGATATCGTTTACATTTAAGAAGCGGTAAGCCTCTTTTTTATCAAAGACAATAATTCGTACTTACCATAAAGTATAGACGGCTGAGCTGTCCCGCGACACTGGCGAATGCGTTCATTAATATGAACCAGTTGTTGACGACGGTCAGCTCGAAGAGGGTCACTCCGCTCGTCACAATATTCTCGAAGTTATTCAAGTAGTAGTAGCCGAGTGGGGTGGAGCTGTTCTCGGAGTATTTGTAGAAGTCTTCTACTGTGGTGTTGCTAAAGAAAAATTGATAAGAGTTCGGTTCCTTAAAAGAGTTTGAATTGTTCAGATAAAGTTGACGCTTTCAGTACTGTACGGCCGTTGTAACTTGGCAGGCCAGATCTAAGCGCGAGACGCTGCGCAGAAACGTTCTTTAGGATGTTAACGGCGGTAAGAGCGAGGGGCGCGGGACGAAAATCTAGACTAGTGATTGCCTCAATGTCAACACAATCGACCGCTTATTCTATCAAATTTTGTAATCGATTTTTATCGATTTACATTGTGGATTTTAAATCGTATGAGATATTGTACTGGATGGATTGATGAACACAGTGAATGGTGTTGTTAATAAACAATACCATGATTACCTTTAAAGGAAAATAAAATAATTACAAACTTTTTTCATTATTAAACTACCTGATTTAGTTAAATATGAGTTATTATTTATATAATTACTATTTGTACCTTCTTTAGGGCTTTTTATAAAATTATATTTCTACGATCCAATTGTTTCTATTTCAATAGGAATATTAAACGACACTCACAAGGATCGCGTATGGACATCTCTATTTGGTTTGAATCAATTAGTGGTATTTTACTTTTGAGTGCTATATGTAAAATTATCCCAGTAACGAAAATAAATGGCAGTATTAGTTTTCTATACGAGTGTATAATTTTATTATCTAATTTTCACAATTTTAATAGGAATCGATTAAACGATACTCTCAAGGATCGCGTATGGACATCTCTATTTAGTTCTTTCGTAAAGCTTCGTACATATTCGGTAATGTTCGGTAAACAATAGTGCGACTCGGTCAATCCTTGGTGTTGATTTCGTTATCTCTGTCTTGAGCGCAGTCCGACAGAAAAGTGATTGTTTATTTTTAAATTTAATATTATTATTTATCTTTTGTTATATTTTTGTTTTGTCTCTGTATTTTAGTGAAAGATAAGTGTTCGTAGCCCTTATTCTCTTTGAATCAATTGTATGGTATGTTACTTTTGCTCGCTATAGGTAAAATTTTTCTTTTATCCCTAAAATAAATGGCAGTATTAGTTGCCAGTGGCATGCGCCAAAGTTAGTCTAACCTCTATTTAGAGCTGCCAAGTTACATCGGCCGTATTGTAAATCTATCCAACGCATAAGTAAGAATTTTTTACCGTAAAATTGCGGACAATTAATAAAAACACTACAGAAGGTGAAACACGAAACGTATTAGTAACTTAATTATGAGTTATACTACGGTCCGGCGTTTCGGATTCTTTACAGCAGCTAATGTCAAATTCTAGCCCATCTGTTTCCTCGCGGTTGGTATTTGGAGAAACTACTTTAAGTCCCTACAGAATTGACTCGCCATACCGTTTATAATATAGAATCCCCTCCCCCGTTAACAGCGTTTTATTTAAATACATTATACATAGATCAATTGGGTTGTTAATATAAACTCACACACAACAATTTCTTAAATTGTATCCGGCGAAGAGTTCCATGCCGACGATGGCGAAGAAGTAGTACATAACCAGCATGACGCATCCCGCGGACGACATCAGCGGAGAGAGCAGCACGAGCGTCCCGAACACGTCTCTGTACCGCTTCTTCAACTTGTAAAGGCGCATTAGCCTGCAAAACGCGTCAAAGAAAACTCACGCAGGCATACGATATTTTCGGCCGGTCTACATGTCGCGCTGCCGATCATACTCCGCGGCAAGATACTTCAATGTTTCACTGTACCCTCACCTGAGAGGTCTGAACATAACGACGATGAACAATTTGGGGGCCACGGTCAAGAGCACGGCGCCCATGAGCGCCAATAGGGTCACGCTCAAGTCGAACACGTTCCAGCCGCTCTCCAGGTACGCGCCGAGACCGCTAGCCAGTATGCGGAGGCCCGCTTCTACGAGAAACACTACGCACGAGTTTTCAACAGATCACTTTAAATTTCATTATAGAGACGTAATATTAAAAATGATAAATGAGTGGCAGGTGAGTGCAATGTTAAAAATGTTAGTGGACTTCCTACAAGTCCCGGTAGAGTCAACATTTTTAAAATTTATTTTCGATTTTTCATCTAACAAATCAAGTATAACTCACACGTTAGGAACAACCAGGTGTCCCAAGAGGCGCAGAGCAGTCTAGCGCTGTCCTGAAGGTCGCCGGCGGCTTCCAGCACCCGAAGGACCATCGCTAATCCGTTCCCGATAATCAGGGCATCTGATGAGGAAGTGAATTTCGACAAAAAGAGACATATAGAAATATAGAGGAAGTAAATAACAAGTGTTAAGCACTGACATATGATGTACTCGAAGTACGGGCGATGCACGACGACGGCCGCGGCTCTGGCGACGGGCTCGAGAGGCGAGTCTGCGTACCAAGGCGCCCGCGAGGCTTGCGGGGCCCAGCGCAGCGCGAACACTTCGTACACATTCGCAAACTCGCTGCGAGAGAGGCCCCCGGACGCCGATTGGTTCAACTGCTTGAACATTAAGTACACGTCCAAACCACCTTAAACAAAACCCGGATAAACATGTAGTAGGTTTCGTTCGCCGACGAAGTGGCGAGACGACGCGGGCGGACATTTATTTAAAAATGATATACTGATGAATAGATAAATCGCATCGTACTGTAGTGCGGGGCATAGTGTCGGAGGAGGCCGGCGAAGTGGCGCAGCTTGACGGCGTGCGGCGCTCGCCGCGACACGAGCAGCCGGAAAGCGCGCCGGGCTGCTCCTCGGCGGTGCAGCAGCAGCGCGCGACACTTCTCCCGCTCGATGCGCGTGAACGTCTCGTACACCACGGCCAACATCTTATAACAGGTGAAAAATTCACAACCGGCACTCAGGTAGTTTAATGTAGCACTGTAGAAGGGAACAAAACCTTACCAAATTCATGAGAACGTACAAGACAGTGATGATGTAAAGTATAAAGAAAACCGCGAACCACTTGGATTTGGCGTACGACGGCATCATGACGTCAGGGAAACTGAAAAAAATAATTCATATAAGTATATAGTTCTGGGCAAAGCGTCGTCTATCAATTAGAGAGCGCGATATATATTGCACTTGTTTTGAAATAAAATAAAGAGTAAGTCTTAACTCACTTGGCCGTAGTGAGAAGGACAAACATGCTGACGAAGGAATCGCTCAATGTCCTAAAGTGGCCGTTGTCAATGTGCTCCGAGAACAAGTAATAGCCGAGAAGCGAATACGTGGCGACGAAGAACATCAAGAGACCTGGAACAAAAGGAATTTGAGTATTATGAGAATTTTCTGTTGTTGTAAGATTGATATGGGGCAAATGTTATTCCACCTAGCGCACTTCTGGGTATCCAAATAAAACGTACTTTAGGCTAGGCTTAAGTCCCGCCCGTGTCGTGGTTTTATCAATCTAAATAGATTTTTAACTCACCTAGCATGTCCAAAATGGGCGGCAGCGATTGAAGGATCTGTCTGATGAAACGCCTGACTCCGCCGCAGTGGCGCGTGTCTACCAGGAAGATGGGGCGCAAGGCTCGCGTCACTCGGAAGTGAGAGGACTGCCGACACAATACCACCACCGCTTCCAGGACCATTATGAGTAGGGTTATGCCCTGAAAATTCAAGGATGCGTGTATTAGTACTCGGCTTAAAAGAGTAATATGTGGAGTGGATTTTGGAGAACCATACGCATGCACTACCTGGCCATGCAAGACAGAAAATAGCAGGCTCGATCGGTCGAAAGCGATGGCTAATAGTGACAAGTAATAGAGTTTTGCACCTTAATCATAGTACGTTTGTGTTTGAAGATCGTTCCCCAGCCGATCCACTTCAGTTTAAGGTGCAGCTCTATCCCGATCACCGACAGTGCGAGGAGCTCTATGCTTCCGTGAGCCCACACGGGCAGCTGAAACGGCACAAGAGATAACGTTCAGGTAATGCCATAATGCAAGAATTTACCTTATTTTTGAAACGATGTTAAGCATAGGGTGCTAAACAAATCGCTTTAAAAAACTTTTAGCTTAATAGCTAATATACGCTAATAAAGGAGGTTAACATACCTCAAAAGCTGGTACAGCAGGGTCCTCAGTGAACGCTAAAAGAATTAAAACGAGCGATGCCAACAAGTCCAGACCGTGGTACCAGGGATTGTGCACGCGAAGGTAGGCCGGCAGTTCCTCGGGACTCGACGGGTGCGAGTCAAACTTCTCATTATTCAGACCTTCCTGAAGTTTACACAATGATCATCGACGCTTCAATTGCACTATAAATCGAAGTGAGGAGCTACGGACTCTTAGCCCGGCAAAGGAACCCTTCGAACTGACCTCTAAGTAAATAGCAGCTTCGTGGTAATTCATCTCCCAGTGCTCGTCCTCGGACATCTGCAGGCCCGTGTGCAGGGACGAGCGGCTCCCCATGTCCAGCGCGTGGGCCTCTCCGTCTGAGCCCGCTCTCGAGTCTGTAATGTAATATGCATTGTAACGGGCGACTCCGAACGGAGACCATAATCGCAGCTAATATTTTGCGACCAACCGTAACGATTTGGGAAATGCGAATACAAAGTTGACATTGTGACATTGTCCTTTACTAAATACACCAGTTTGACATCAATCTCATCTTTTAGACGCTTTGCACCGTCCACTAAGCGTGCTCCGCAGCGCTCAGCCATTGACTGAATATTGAAATAACTGATAAAGCTGTATTGCCCTCTTTCTTTTTCGAACTTTCCAGCCAATAGACATTTCTTTCAAACTAAAAGAATTGTTAAAGGCTTAAAGGTAATTGTTTAGGCATAGTAATAATTCAAATAGTAATTTCTTCTACACGAGTGCATGAACTCGACAGTTATAACACACGATAGTATAATTGACAAAACAACTATACGTCGTTGGTCGCGGGTTCCATTCTAGAATAGGTTTTCAATTTAACGTAAGAACATTTATTCTGTCCGTACTCGTTATCCGTTCGGCAAATATTTAATTTATGAGCTACTGATTTAATCGAGTCAAGGCAGTGAAAACACGAATGAAAATGAGAGGGTTTTTCAAAACAATTATTGATCTTGTTCACCTTTTCTGCTTTTAGAATTAACATTTTTTTAATACACAATTCATTTAAAAACTTTACATAGTTCGAATTTTCGCAGTGAACGCGACGGAAGAGCCGAAATAAAACAAAAATCGCTTGACAACATTAACTTGTATAAATAAAATAGACAGTTAGGTATAAACGTGAATTAGCAAAGCGGATTTAAAAAAGCGCAACTATTTAATAGGATTGGTGGTGAGTAAAGCAAACCGCAGACGAGTCGAAAGACGACCCTTGTATTTTTAATGAAATTACTGAAATCGAGTTTCCCCTCGTAGGGCATGGGGCAAACACATTTCTGTGTCCGTGAGTGACTGATCGTAAACTCAACGGTTTTATTTACAGACCTACTTGTCTGTAAATAAAACCGTGCTCACTCTTGTGGGATTTACCCGACCGAAATATCTATTGTTTTCGCAATTCGAAACCTGGACCGCTCGCACCCAACGCAATGCTAGTCAACACGTCTGGAGGACGTCGAGGCGTCTGTATCTAAATCGTTAAACGTAAACGTAGAATAGAAAAAGTCTAATTCTATTGGCAAGAATGAAGTTAGCAATTATCTTTTCTCATTATTTTGTCCCAGTATGCATGATGTGATATTGGTGCCGTTTGCATTTCACACGCCCGTGTTACCTTGTACTCAGCATCATTATTATGATAATCAGATTTAGAAATAAAAAGAAATCATTTATGAACGAAGTTCACTGTAAAATGTCTTTTGTCATCCTTTATTCAGAATATAAAAGTGTATTTTATGCCTATATTTATAATTTATATGATTAGAGACCACAAAGCTGCAATTTCGACCTTGAGTGCTTTGGATCAGTAGTTTTGTTACACCATCAATGCTCGTTGCGAGGTACCTAATCATTACACAATTGGAAAGATTTTGAATCCAGATATCTAGTAACTGAGAAAGAAGTCTTCATGTGATTTCAAAGTTGGTAACGTAAAAACACAACACGCATCAATATCAACTACACATATTATACTGTTTACAAAAGGAATAGGTTCCTCATCTAGCAAGAGGTTATCATTTATCTTGATATGCAGAATGATAAAATGTGTTTCAAGGTGAATTGAAGATGACTTGAATGAGACATTATGCCTAGAATCCAGAACTTGATTCATTGTAATACTTACATGATCTTAATTTATACCAATGCTCTCTCAACACATCGTGGACCTTGATAGGTAACGTGGACATTTCAAATAAAGCACCAGACATATGAAATGTGGAACATCTGTCACAAATCTTAGATATTATCACAATTTGATAACACATAGATTCTTCAAATGCTCTATCTAACCTTTCAAGTTTGATTCATTTTAAACAATGATAAAGTATACTCTGCACTTATTTGAACAGTCTTCTATCTGACATCATCATGAAATATAATTTTCTATGTTACTGGTGCCATTATATTAATTTTTGTGCTAATTGAAAAAAATAATACAATGATAATGATAATTATTTTTTAGAAAATTTTTCAAATAAACAGGATGTAGGATCCTGTGATAATACAAAACTGAAATATTTACACAATGTATTAATAAAGGAATAAATCTTCAGAGCCTTTGTCTAAATACAAACCACTTACCATTCTTACAATATTCAAGTTGAAACTGGTATTGTCGGAATGGGTTGGCCCTAAACTATACCTACATTTCAATATGCTTGTTTTAAGTGCTGCTATAATTTGCATCATGCAGAAGCTATTTTAACATGCAAAGCTGTGCAGATTGCGTAAAGCCAACTTACGTGACTTAGGTCAATAGTCTAACGAATTCTTATACGTTCATGTTAGTGTATAAAGAGAAGTGAATGGCTACAGCGTTTACCGTTTACGGTAAAGAATTATTCTAGGATACGATCACAGGCTCCTTACATCCTAATTTAGGTGAAAATTGAAACAAAATATTACGTGATATAAATAATGTATTGTTAAAACAAAAGCGTACACATAATGCGGCTACTGTGCATTGTAATATCTTAGCTTCTCGTTTACTTGTGACGTTCGAGCCGTAATTGTTGAGACTGCTGTGTGCAAAATCATCACTAAATCTTTTATATCCGTCGGACGGCGAAGACGGGCTCCGTAAAGCAGCCATACCGAAAACTGACTACACATAAAACAACCAAATCCTAATTTGCGTTTGCCTATAACTTCTTTACTGTCATATTCTGACACTGGCAGAATAGAAATACAGGGTAATGCGGTACTCGGCAGCAAAGCAAATGGCCATGGCGTATAATAAAAAGTTTTAGACTGTAATTTATGAATACTGTATTTCGTATATATCATGCATGCAGTGCCTTCCTTAAATAGAATAGAAAGATATCTTTAATCTTTATATTGTTAATACTATATTTTCCTACTTTGTAATGCCCGCTGGCGGCCCTTGTTTTATACAAATAAATAACATATATTAAGACATTATTTTTTTAATATTATGTATAATATTATTATGTAGTATTTTTTGCGAGTATCATGTTGAATGCTGTTATTATTATTTTTATTTAAATTAAACGTTTGCGTCCACAGACTAAATACTATTTTTGTTTAAGCTGTCAAAATAAAGATGTAATATGACAACTAAACTAATGTCAACTTCTTTTATCTTGAACCCGGTTTTAAAGTGAGTCGATATTGTTTTCTTTTATATTAAATCCGAGGAAATAAGTGTAATATTTTTATTTAATTACTTTTTTCATAATGATACAAATAATGAATTCTTCGGACAAGCGGTTCAACGAAATATTTCAGTACTAAAATCGCCACAGTATTTATATTATTCTTAAAGTCATTATACAGTCGTTGGCTTTGCAGTGTTATTATTTTTACAAATAACATTAATTCGTTTTAAGCATCAGAAGAAAATATGAAATTTCGTGTCCATTACAAACGTCTATATTAATATAAAAAAATCTTTACTTTAAAATATTGATAAATCAGTGACACGTTGGTTTTAAGGTTGTTTTTCTGTTTGTAGATGGCTCCGAAACCGCCTAAAGAAGAGGGTAAGGCTCCTGCGGTAGCAAAAGCCGTAGTGAAAAAGCCCAAACAAGGCAAACCGAGAAATTACGACCTCGGAAATGGAGTGATGCGTTTCTCGAAGACAAGAATGTATCACAAAACTGTAAGTACTTTTAGATTAACTGTTAGTAGTTATATGTTTAACGATCTTCTCACTTTTCATATCTTTGTTTAAGGCCAAATACAAGTTTATTGGTAAGAAGAATCCCAAAACTCCCAAACCCAAGAAGCCCACAGTGGTTGTGAAACCAATAGGCGGTGAGAAGAATGGAGGAACTCGTACAGTTTTCTTGAAACGTAGAAAATCATTCTACCCAACACAAGACAAGTAAGCCAACTTATATTATTTAGTCTTTCACTATGGTAGACTGTTACACAGTGATAAGTTACTTAAAACAACATTCTATGTTAGTTTTGTGTCTCCTCTACAAGTTGGCCAGTTGCCGAAGTAGGAAACTGCTTGAATATTGTTACTATCTATTTATTATTTAAACAGCTAATGTAAATTTGCCCCCCTTTGACTTCAGAATTAGAAGCCATGGCCACCACAAAACCTTCAGCAAGCACAAGAGACATATCCGCCCCAACCTAACAGTGGGCACAGTGTGCATCCTGTTGGCTGGCAGACACGCTGGAAAGAGGGTTGTGCTTGTTGGAATTCTACCTAGTGGTCTGTTGCTGGTCACTGGACCGTTTGGTGTACGTATTGTTATTTTTGGCTGTACACGTGTTGTTTGTAAAAAAAAATGCTTTTATCATCATTTATTGGAAAAGAGCTAAGAAAATGTAACGAGGTATAAATCAATTCTTTGCAACATAATTTCATAAGTCATAATAATAATAATAAACCCTCTATTGCACAAAACATAAAAAAAGAAAAAAATGTTTGTGCAAAACGGCGTTGAAAAAAAAAACAAATTACAGTAAAGAAATTTCCTTTAATTATACTTTCTGGGAAAATAAGTATATGCAATAAAGTAAACATTTAAACTAGAAATCTAACAATAACCAACTTATGTTAATACACACTACATACACCTAGAGAAGCATAAGAAGGTCCTAAATATGACAAAGATCATTGTAAAAGTATCCGCTTCTTTGTTTGTTCTTTTGTTTTGCATGCACATGGGCCGCGAAGCTAATTCAACCTTAAGATATACTGCAAAGTGGATGTATAGACAAATCCAGTATTTGTTACTTGCATTTATTCCAGTACAACGCGTGCCCGCTGCGTCGCATCCACCAGAGCTATGTGATCGGCACAAGCACCAAGATTGATCTTGAAAACTTCTCGTTGCCTAAACATCTCAACGACAAGTACTTTAAGAAGAACAAGAAGAGCTCCAAGCGCACTGTCAAGCGGAAGGAGGGAGAAGACATCTTCGCCACCAAAAAAGAGGTTTGTTTAAACTACTTGCAATATATGCATACTCTTTATTATCATTACTCTTAGTAAAATAAACGTCATATCAGTAAAAAATAAAACTAAAGACTAAAGTGTGGAAAATTGATATTAAATGGACGCTTAGGAATATTGAAATTTTCTGTCTCACCAAAATCTGATGAATGAATTTACAAATATCTAAAGCTAAAGTGGGTCAGCAGCACCGTTTTTGGGAGCTTTTGTACACGCCACGCACGGGTGCAATGCTGATACCAAAATATATCTATATCAGTAATCTATTTTCTCTAACTTGACAAAAGACCCCAACAAATATGGCTTATTTGTAACACGGGGATAAAGAAACATCGATCGCATGTGAACTAACCTATAGTACTTTATTTTGGCTTATCTCTTGGGGTTCAGCCTGCATTTGCAATGTTAAAAAAAATGTGATAATTCTTAAAATTTTTCTTTTTCTTTTCAATGACCACTACTTTATCGTGTGAGCTGTTTACGGAGTATTTGATGATTTATGTTTAACGTTGACGGCCTTCGACAGAAATACGCTCCATCCGAGCAACGCAAAGAGGACCAGAAGGTGGTGGACGAGGCGGTGATTAAGGCGATCCGCAAGCGCGAGGACAAGAAGGCGCTGAGGGGCTACCTTAAGGCTACTTTCGGCCTCCGCTCCAGCCAGTTCGCGCACCGGCTCCGATTCTAAATAGGAATAAACGTCTATATTTAATTTGGACCTTCATTTTCATACTATCGCTTACCTTTCCGGCCTTCAGCTGTTTAGCCACGTAGGATATTTTTCAATATTAAAGAAACCCACGCCAAGGATGGCAAAGTACAAAGCTATAAAAAATATTCAGAACCTAAATAAAAAAAACTAGTTTCAGGGAAATTGTGATTATGCACTTCGTTCTTAATTTTAAATAAGTCACTACGATTTAAAGCCTTGCAAAACTCCGACGTGAACCGATTGTTTAATATACTGATTAGAGTCAGAGAAATGAAAAAGGGCTTTTACAGTAAGTAATATCAAATCGAAGGAATTGCCCACTATTTGAATAGCGAGTAAATTTCACAAGAACTTCTTGAAATGAACAATCTTTATTTATATTTAGGCGGTTGTGAGCGGTTTCTAGCAGAAGGCACGTTGCGTGGTTTCTGTTGTCCATGCTTTTCGCGCCAATCCGCTTCTAACTTCGCGTACACGCCACCTTTGAAATAAAATGTATCCATAATCATCCAAATTCTTAATAATAGTAGCATATTATATAAAGTTGAGAGACCGCGTTATTGTGCCAAGTTAGACGTCAGCTCTGTATATTTTGCAACTTAAAAATAATATATATTATGGATACAAAGTTGGATGAATGAAATAAAAACTCTTGCCTACAAAAAGTGAATAACATCATAGTGAAGGTATCAGTTGTATCAAGTACAAAATTTGTAGGTAAATATCAAACCCCGATAAGTCACATTCATACTCGAAACTGAACTATGAATAGCGCTAAATTTGAAATTTACTGTAAAAAAAATATTTCATAAAAATTTTGGCACTGACCGGCATTACATCCCTTATATGAAATATTATACAAATATCTTGCAAAGTAACATAGAACTAGTTGGTGACAGAGAGAAGATATAATAAATAATTCCGAAGACTATGTCATGGACGAGATCTTAGATCTGTTTTATTAATCTACTAAATTAAACTACTACATGGAAATAAAAAAATCTGCGTTTTATTTTATGGTTTAGTAAAATATTATGATGAAGCAACCCTAATTATGGGATTAATATAAGATTTGTCAAAACCAAGTAAGTCCTGTAGCTATTTTTCAATACCCGTTACGTCCATAGTGGTATTTTTCAAACTCCGATATAATGCCTTTAGTTTCAATGAAACACCGATATGTCCAAACTTTAACATGGTTTTAAAGCATATTTTTTTTTATATATCCTTATACTCCATATATACGCCTGTATAAATACCCAATTGCTGAAATTTCCATGAAATACAGTAATCAGTAGCTAAAAACACATTTCTCTCATTTCCCAAGTATCGTTTATGGTGGACATAATGTGATTTGATATTTGCCTACACTAATGATGATGCCACTACAAGTGGCCATTAACTACCTACAAGAATTATTACATATACCATTAAAATACTGAAAGAAAGTGGCATTATGGGAGCATTAGTGAACTTTGTGGTGTATCGACGAGAATAAGAAGATAAATAGTTAGGTACGAAATAAAAAGTAACTTTTCAATTTTTGAAATCAGCGCCATCTCTATAAGTTTGTCTATACTACGTTCTAAGCAGTCGATACCGCAAAGCTTGCCAAATCAAATGACACTACGTGTATTGTAAAAAGTTCAAGAAAGGCACAATAGGGGACGATACTAGAACCGTAAACAACATTACATTATATTTCCAATAATAAACACATTTTAATTCAATAGGAGCCCTCGAGTCGCTGGATGACAAAGTGTTCCCCATTAATGAAATGCAGTAATCATGTATTAGAATGATACCTGGATGCGTCTTGGGTCTAGTCGGATACTGGAGTCGCCTGGCGAGCGTGGCTCTCATATGGGCCGCGGCTCGCTCCTCGAAGCGCCGCTGCCCGTCTTGGTTGCTTCTAGCGGAAACTGTCGGGGCCCAAACGCGACCGCCGGTCGACGCTGTCCATCGCCGAGACCTGTTCGACAGGCGTCTCGCTATAAAAGCTGCTCTTCTAAGGACGGCAGATAAATAATGTCGAGATACTTGTTTCTATTGGACGACGGCGGCAGCTGACGCGTTCGGGTCCTCGGCCTGCGAGGCGGAATGTCCTCGTCGCTTCTGGCGCTGTCCGAGCTCTGTTCGCTACCGTCAGAGTCCGTGGCTTCGTCGGCCATCTCTAGCGCGTCGCCGGTGCCGGTGGTGCCTTGCTTCGCAGACGTAGTTACAGATCAGTGGACGATCATTAAGGTGTAATGAAACAAACTAGACTTAAGATAACTCTTACGATTTAAGTTATGTCTTACAAATACAGTTTGAGAGCGAAAACTTTTCTCGTATTTTATTTAAACCTATAACGATGAATCTAGTCGACTGACTTAGTCCAACATTGCGACAAATACATCGCCGGCGCGTCACAGTGGCCTTTATACACTCGTACAGTAGATTATTTGACGGAAAATGTCGGATACTTAGGGCAAAGTTACTTTCAATATAGGTTTTGTTTGTTTTGGTGACGGGTAAGTGATGAGCAGAGTACACAGCTTATGCAGGTGCAAGTTCATAGCGTAGATAGGCTACACATTCGACAAAGCTGAGAAACGATGCGAGCGAAACGGCGACAATTTATCTAACACCTATCTAACTTCAAATAGTAGCGCAACTTACTTTAGCCTTCGGACTCGGGTTTCGCTTAACCTTGTCGGACCTGTCGGGCGAAGCGGTCGCGGCCACAGTGGAGCAGTTGGCCGCCAGAGAGGGAACAGACGCTCGCCCTACCGAGCTCAAAACGGGCGACCCGGGACGAATATTCTCTGTGTATTTACAGCCTTCATAATGTTCTTTCGTAATAGCGTATCGTCGTGCTTTACCACGACCGTTTTGACCACCCCGTCCGTCATTTTTGGTTTTGGTCTATGAGTCGAGGAATATGCTATGCCAATGGTGGAGCAATTATTTACAGCATGAACAGTTTTGCTTTATTAAATGCTAAGAATGAGGTGATACGAGTAAAAAACAAACGTTTCTCAAAGGTTGTCATTACGTTAAATGACGAGGTAAATGCGTGTAATGATTTTCACATCAGATTGTTCAGTCAGTTCGGAAGAGGAACAATTCTTACGGTTGAATTTAATATTGCTCGTGTACAGCTTTCCCAAGAGGCCGAAGGTCCGGCGAGGTGGAACGAGCTGGATCCCCTCCCACCAGAACACCTCCTTGCATTGAAGACGACCGCCGTCTTCTTCGTCGGGTTCTAAAAGAACAAGCTTTGAAATGAACGATCTAGAAGGGAAGCTGGCAGCGGTTCCTATTAATCGGTCCGAGAACTCGCCTCTCGCCACGAGGCGCGTCAACCTCTCGGGGAACATCAGCTGCGGTGGTCTCATAGCGATAATGTCTCGGAAACGGCCGTACACCTCCATTACGGCCGCGTCCGATGCCGAGCGCTCGTCGGGGAGGTGCTCCCGAAATTGGCAACCCTATTAAACAAGGCAAAATATAACTAACATTTCGAACGACACAGTTGTTTGGGTCAATTTAAAGATATGACGTACTGTATTTCGCGTAATAGTCTCGAAGCGATAGGCCCGCTCGCCACAGCAAGGATAGCGCCCGGCCGGCAAAGGCGCGCGTCCTTCCACGCCGAACATGTGAGGACTTTGCTCGTGGTGAGAACACCACTCCATCTGAAGATGAGACAAGACTAAAAATAGTTAGCGGTCCTACTTGTGAGTTAGGGTTAAAACTTATTTTTAATGACGCGGTAGGTGATCGCTCATAAAGTTGAATTTAATCACCTGATACGCTGGAAAGTAGCTGTCGCACAGCTGACACCTCATGAAATGGCAGTCGGCCCAAAGGCGCCAGTAGACGCGGCGCCAAGAGCGAAGTTCACCGAACAGCCAAGTTATGTAGTCGTTGAGGCTCCACGATGGATCTCTGCAATAAAGAGCTTCGGTGCTGCAGCCGATGCGGGGGCATGCCAAAGGTGAAAATAAACGTATAAAAATTACTTCGAATGAGAGGACACCACGTTTCCGCGACGGTCTATGCGCATGGAGGCCGGTTGACACGGCACCCGTTCAGCTATTTGTCTGCCGAGAAGCTTGTTACACCTGCCGAAGAGATTGAAAATGGTTAGTAAATTTCTTAAAGATTTTGACAACGAGCTGTAAGCCGAACATTACTTGCTGCACTTGAAGAGCGTGGCCAAAGTGGCGCAATGGCCCCTCAGCGTCTCCGGCACGGGCTCGGACAGGGACAGGATCATCTTGCAGAAGAGACGAGACTGGATCTTGTCTTTGCGGTCGCGAATGCCTTCCAGCTCCACGTTCGTGTACATCGCCGCTAACCTGCGTTGCGAGTGGGCATTTCTCAGTGTTGTTGTCGTTTCGGGCGTTTTCGCTTGCACTGGTCTTTTTGTTTTTAGTCATGAATACTTAATTCAACGAATAACCTTGAAAGTAGCGTGTCGCTGAGACAGGCTAGGTTTGTGCTCGTCTTCAAGATATCGTTCATGTGTGCGTGGCAATAGATCAGGCAGTCGTGGAGCAGTGGCTCCATCTGTCGATGTAAGGTAGATACATTAACGGTGGCAAGAGTCAAAGGTTTCTCTTGTCGCACACCGCGCCCCTACGTTACCTAGTCGGTGAAGTAAAATTCCGGTTTCTCATCATCAGACAGATTGGCATGAAATCTATTTTATCTACAGGCACGAATAGTCGATCAGACTGATGATGTTTTTCCCGCACCAGATTTATCGGGATGCATAACACATACCTGGAGAAAGGAAGCCGAGACTAAGATGGGAACCACATTGTGCGGGTCGAGGAGAGGCCAGTCTGCCACCAAGATGCTCTCTCGTTTCACCCAACGCATCAACCAATCGAATATCTAAAAAAAATTAAATAAGCTTAAACTGCAAAGCTGCAGATAATAAAAGAGGTGCAGATAATATACGCATGAATTGACCTGTATATCGCAATGCACTGAAATGTCCATGTCCTCCAAACGTTGGCCCGCCGTCACGTCGGCAAAGTAGCCCATCTTTGAGACCAATAGCTTCTGAGGACAACGGAAGTCCTTTTTCATGTTCTTCACCTCGTCACAAACGTGGATCTCTACGTCTCCGCTGAAATGTGTGCCGAACAAATTCACTTCTATGAAAGACCGAGATTAAGAAAAAGAGATTTTATGCTTACTCTTGTTTTTGATTCGATCGCTCCTGGTTTGCAATCACTGAAGACTTCCTACGACCCAAGCGATCGCGGGAATCTTTCTCGTTTACAAAGCCTATGCGAAAGATAGAAGAAAAAATTGTATAACTGTGCGTGTGCATTGCAAGAAACAATTGAAGCGTAGTAAGTAAGTTTCAATTACCATCAAAACTAGCCGGCTTCTTAATCTCGCTAGAAGCGGTCGGTCCTGTTTTTTTGATGATCGGGGCGTAAACGCTCGTAGTCTTCACAGGTTTTTTGTATCCCACCAGATACGGTAAAATCGAATCTAAAATGCCTTCGTTTATAACCTAAAATTAACTATACATTGCTATATATATGTATCCACTATTACAAATCGATATACCAAGGTCAGGGCGTCAATACTTACATCGTTCAATTTACACGTTAAATTAGCTTCTGTCCACACTCCCAGCATTTCCACCCTCGTTTCGGGAGGTAAACTCCGCTGGTTTTTTCCTGACAATAGCAAACATATTTTTCTACTAAATTGAAATCACTATACCTAATACAGGAATAAGTACCTATAATTCAAAACTTTTACGGTCGGACTTCACGTGGCATGCTTACTTACCCTCAATTTCACTACAACTGTAACGTTTCTCTACTCGGTCTGTAACACTATTCTTTCTTTCCAGTGTAGTCTCACTTTTGCTATTCATGGATTTTTGCACAGCGAATGTAGTTTTTTGCAAAAGGTCCCTCTCTTGCTGTTCGATCACGTGGTTGAGGACTGTCAATTTCGTTAGCTCCTCCCAATCTATTTTGGATCCGTCATCCTCTGTGCCGTCCAAGTGCTCGTAGACTTGATAAGCCGTTTTCATGAAGTCAAAAAACTCCTTCACCGTTATGACCTCTGCTGATAATTCCGACTTTGCGTCAACGTTTTTGGTAGGTGATTCGGATCGATTTAGATTTCTAGTAAGTTTGCTATCACCTTTATCCATAAAAATCGATGATGTATCATTTTCTGAGTTCGGACTAGACATTTTGGTAAAGAAATCCCTTAAATCGTATTGTTAGTTCGCAAAAAAATACCAATATTATCTTATTGTATTGATCAAATATACTCACTATCACTTGGAGACGGACAACACTAAATGAATTTTATTGCTTGTATAATAAATACATAATATTTTCACACTAAATTACAATTCGCGTGTTTCATGTAGACAATAAAACATTTTGTATTTCAAATTAGAATATTTTTTCAGCGTCTGTTTACAAAATAAAACGAATAGTACCTGAATCTTGAGGGCTGAAGTAATAGTCAAATTTCAGAAACGGTTTTTAAATTGATTGTTTTTATTTAACAATATTCAACGTTTTTAATAGCTAATTAACCATTATATCGTCTTTGATGAGCACATTTAGGTGATGTCAGTCTGCGCTTCTGCTACAATGACAATTGACAATATGAATACGTCATATTATATTTTTGTTACAAGTTTCGTGTTATTTTGTTGTCTTGAAAAGTTATTTAGAATGTCTTTTACAACATTTTATTATGGAAACTTACCAAGCCGAATATGATAAAGACGGTTTCTTGCCTGAGACATTTTGGAAAACTCCACAACGAGCGGTTCCAGGCAGACCTTTGCAAAGAATCGCTGAAAACGAGGTTATGTCTGGATCATCATACCAACAATTCCAGGCGTCAGTAAATGACGCCTGGGACTTGGGAGACGATGAAATTATATCAGGTATCTCGGAGACAAAGATATCGAAAGCCATATCACACACTGTAGCTTTAAATGTCATAAATTCGCATCGTAATAGTACTAAGAACGACCACAAACCTGACGCAAAATTAGACGGCAATAGTGTAAAGTCAAGTCAAGAAGAGGTAGTATCTTTGAAAAAGAGTGAAGTAAGAAAGACTGGCAGCGTTTCGGGTCCGCTAAGGCACTACCCCGGTCGGCCTCGGCCTGTCAGACCATCGGCGTTGATTCCGCGCGAAGAAAGCAGTGAATCAAAGCTAGAAAGGTTTCAACAAGTGCTGGAGAGTTCGGTTTTAGATTTAGATGAGTTAAAGCAGCTGAGTTGGTCTGGAATCCCAGTCAAGGTAACTATTATTCCTTTCATATAATCAAGTTCGAACAAGGTCAACTTTCTCATATAACTAATCTACTAAATATTATTATTTATAGTTCTCATGTTTACCTTCTCACACAGGCTAGAGCTGTCACTTGGCGCCTCTTAGCGGGTTACCTTCCAGCCAATGCTGAGCGCCGTAGAGAGATATTAGAACGTAAAAGAGCTGACTACAAGCATCTTGTTAGACAATATTATGATGCAGAACGAGAAGAAGAGACTTACAGACAAATTCACATTGATATTCCTCGGATGAGCCCACTGGTGGCACTCTTTCAACAGATCACAGTACAGGTAGGTTTTATATTAAGAGAAATTTTATTGTTATCATAGGGTCAAACAGTTTAGGGACTTTATCTTATTTAAATGTGTGCTTGCAGGTGATGTTTGAGAGAATCCTTTATATTTGGGCAATAAGGCACCCTGCATCAGGCTACGTTCAAGGCATTAATGATCTGGTGACACCATTCTTTATGGTGTTTCTGCAAGAAGCTGCTCCTGAGAAGGAGTTAGATAACTTTCCCCTCGATACTTTGAGTGAGGAACTGCGGGATACCATTGAAGCAGACTCCTTTTGGTGCCTCTCTAAGTTCCTGGACAGTATACAGGATAATTATATTTTTGCACAGCTCGGTATTCAATATAAGGTAATCATTATACAAATCAATTTCAATATTTCTAAGCAATCTTAAATCTGGTATTTTAGCTTATCCATCGAGTTGGTGATTTGTTACAGGTGAACCAATTAAAAGAGCTAATAAGGCGTGTAGACTTATCCCTTCACGAACACCTTCAAAGTCATGGGGTCGACTACCTCCAATTTTCATTCAGGTGGATGAACAACTTGCTCACTAGGGAGATCCCTCTACCTTGCACCATTCGCCTCTGGGACACCTATCTCGCCGAGTCGGACGGTTTCGCCACCTTCCAGCTCTACGTGTGCGCCGCCTTCCTTCTTCACTGGCGCGAGAGACTGTTGCGAGAGCGCGACTTCCAGGGCCTCATGATCCTGCTGCAAAATGTTCCCACGCAAAACTGGACCGACTCCAACATAAGCATGTTGGTGGCGGAAGCGTACAGACTGAAGTTCGCCTTCGCGGACGCACCGAACCATTTGCACAACGCGGGCAAATCTGACAGATGACTGCTGATCTTCATTTCGGCTGCACCGTTTCGTGAGTTCCGTCCGATTCGCGCCCTGCGAGGACGGGGGACCGGATCGGGGCGGCGAGGCGAACCTTTTGTTTTTCTCTATCGTTTCGTATTTTATGTTATTTACTTTATGTTAGCATAATGTTTATAAAATGTTAATTAAAGACTTAAGAAATAAAACTTTAAATGTATATATCCTCGTTTTATTGTCGTCCATAATCAAACCTTTCAAATGTGCTCGAAGCTTCCGGTCAGGCGTGACAGATGAGTGTTGTAGCTCGATGTGCACTTGCGCGGTCGACCTTCGCCTTGGCCTAGGCGTTGCACTGCCTGCTGTCGTATGTTTCAGTAAACAAACTTCGTGCAAATCGGTGGCGTATCAATGTATACTCGCTAACCTCGACCGCCGTACTGAAATACTAGTACATACGAAAATAGTGGTAGAACAAGATTGCAATAATACTAATTATTGTAACTCGTATTCGACAATTTAAGATCGATGGAGCTCAGAGTACCCTTGGAAAATTAAATGTGCCCAGCTGTGATTTCTTAATGAAATTAAGCAAAAGATGTTTGTTTGGGCCCCCCTTAAATCCTTTTTAGCAATAATGTTTGGCCGATACCTGCCACGCAACAAAACATTGACAAAATGGTATTTCATTTTAATTACTATCTCTTGTAATATGCCATCGAATCAGTACCTAAGTGCTTAATAAATAATAATCGTACAGCCCAAACAAGTTAGTATAGAGACGCTTGTAAAAAAGTTTTAGGTATTTCAGGATTGATATCTTAGCGTACTTTTAAGTATTTAAGTTGTACAGAAGGAAACATGTAAAAAAGAGATATTTGAATAAATGGCTAGTGAAACTGTAAAACGCTATCGAACGCGCGTATGTGACTTCATATCACACGACGAGCTTTCCGGCTTTGTTTCCTCTTGATAAGGAGCTTATTTTACAAATTAGTGGTGCGAATTGTTCACACAATTCTCTCGTTAAACGAATTGTAATTGCGTTAGTCTCCGTACCGCTTTGGTTTTATTCAATTGCCTTCGCATTAATATTTACGCTTTTAACTTACTTTAGCGTGCATTAAAGAGGTACGTTGATCTGAATCATTTTTAGCAAACAAATGCGTCATGTACAATATTTTGACGTTAGTTTGGACCGCGTATTTATTCGAATGAAGTGTTTGGACGAATATGCAGAATGTCAAAAGTAATTCCATGATCACCCAGTTAAAAGGGGCAAAACACTCTAAAGCTAGTGTTCTTTGAATGTACTTTCGATTGGTCGCTTATATTGAATTTATTTTTATCGACACCACACGACACCCCTATATCGATGAAAAGCAAAGTGTGGTCAAACGCCGAGTGGCCAGCTGCGGTCACTAATTGGGAGTTGGCGACAAACGGTGGCTTTCCTCCTAGATAGCGAGCCGTTATTTATGTGGGCTCCGTGTCGTTCTCCTAATACTCGGTACATAACGTCGGTGTGAAGAAGTATCACTCGCCCGGACTCGCCGCTTTTTGTGGAAAGGTGATTTTACGGGATTATGTGAGTCTTGTAATTTTCAAAACGTCAATTATTCTTATTTAAACTGTTTTGTATGAAAAACGGAAATAAGGAAAACGAGAAAAAGAGGGAAGAATCCTGAACTCGTGTCAGTTGCGGCTCATCGTATGGCAGTTTGCTTGAATATCGCCAGCTGCCTAGCGAAGGGCAACAAATTGCACAGTTCAACGACGCCAAGAACCAGACACACCGACCACTGCTGCACACGGGCCTCAACTGAATTCGCGACACATAACGGCAATGTCTGGGATCCAGAAATTATGACCTCGACAAAATACGAAAACGAGTGCTTAAAGTATTGTCTGTAATTTGCGCGAGTAGTTCATTTCATAAAAGACTTGTAAACGGTTTCAAACGCGAAATATATTAGTAAACTTCTTTTATTTATTTTAATTTCGATGCGAATCCGAGAATTCTATCTGAGTCACGAATTAAATAAATAGGCGAAGGTGGACATAATAAATACGAATTACTCAAATAATAAAAATTAAAGCAAAAGGTGAGCCGAATCGGCATTGAGCATAATTTTAACATTGACCTCTCACGGCCAAACCGGGGCGAGTGCAACGTCCATTCTCGGTCTCAACATAGCAAAGTCCTCGCATTATAGATTCGCTCATAAAACAATTGACTGTCATCAAAAGTCGAAGCGAAAAGTCAGTTTTCCTAAGGACAGCTCGGTCGCTGCATCCCGCAAGGCCAACGGGACGATCGATCGCGGGCAGTTATCCTTCGCTAGGGAATGTCTTTCTATATTGAGCAGTCAAATGTATTGAAGTACAATGATATATTATAATGATTATAAAACAGCGACAGCATCAGCTTAACGATTTTTTTACTTGTCACTCGATGGTCAATGTAACGTCTAATCAAAATGTGCCGTCGACTTAGTTCGGTTTTAGATATTCGGAAATCCACAGACTGAAACCAAAACGCGATTATACTTCACGACATTTTCATCTATGGACGGTGGTCCATTTCATATCCAGGTTTCCAGGCGAAGTCCAACATGTTTCAGAAAAATATAAATCGATAAGAAAACCTCCAGACCCACGACGAAGTAATTTACAAGGTATAAACAAATATTATAACTTTAAGTCGTAACTATTTCTGCTTTTTTGCCCATAACATAGCTCTGTATATGCCCAGAAGTCTGAGCGATACAAGTGTAGCAATTAAAAGTGCGTTAATTCCAATTAAGCAAAGAGTAAATTATAATTTTCATATAAGCGGGTCAAGGGGGCGAGGCGGTTTGCTCGATTACTTTGTGAAAAAAGTTCGATTTGAAGGATAAACCTATTTTTACCGATTTCTTTGGTTCATCACTCGCCTCTTTGTCCCGAGGCATTTTGCGATTTTCTTTGTTCCCGCGCACATTCTATTCTCATTTGTCACAACACTTATGAGGACTGAAAATTTAAAGAATTATAATAATGACTCGGTATCCTGTTGCAGCTGTGGTACGATGGAACAGAAATATGATGTATTTATGAATCAGCGAAAAAGCGGTAAGGATGTAATATTAGAGCGTGTTCCGAGGTTCCGAGGTGCCGGGACGACATTGGCCAGGCGATGAAACCCGAGGAGGGCAGCCCTGGCCCGCTCTTAGGACGCGGCGTCTCGTCGCGCGACAACCTTAAATTTTTTTTTCTTTTAATTTCGTGAAACTTTAAAGGAGATAATATCGCTACGCTAACCGCCCACGAACACAACGCCTAAGGTGTAAACTGTTAAAAATAAAATAAAGCGCCCAGGCATCGGATGAACGATTCCAGTTTTCATTGCGTCCTCAGATGATAGTATACCCACATCGCGGTTTTCCTTTTTCACGCTCCACGTTGCAATAACAAACTTTTGTACTTTTTTTTACAAAACGGTTCTAATTTACAGATGTTGTAACATCGTAAAAAAGCGATATTTTACATTCGCCCAGAGTAATGGCTGTTTTTTTTTATTACAATAATTATGATTAGAGGCACCACCGCGAGCGCGTACCATTTATTGGGATGCCATGTGTAGGTTTATAAACGCCGGTGGCCTATGCGCAGCCTACATACTCGGCTGGGTTCAACGGAAGCGAGGAGTGTTCGCGTCGCGATGTTCTTTCGGTTAGTCCGTTAATAGTCGTAGGAAGAGGTGCGAGTGCAACAGTTCAGTGCGCGCGATACTGTTTCCTAGTGAATTTCGTCCGGACGCGAACGCCTTTTAACTTATTATAAGATGTAACATTGAGTAAGAAATATTTTCGGCTAAAATAAAAATTGCGACGAATGATAAATCTCCTTATAGCGACGCGTGTGCGTGTAATTACTAATTAGCATCCACAGCCAAAGTCGGTTTCCCGCGGCACGTCGGGCCTTTGTTAACAGAACAATATAATTTTTTTCCCAAATTTTAAAAGATTAGCGGGAGACGCGTAGACATACTTGCGTTTTGTATAGCAACGCTAATCACAGCCTCCTTCGCGGCTTTCAAAAACAGATGAAGGTCCGATCAGGGCAACACTCAGGCTTCGCTTTACGCAGGGTTCAGGAAAGGTGATGCGTATCGCAAACTTACAGACTCGTTTTATAAAATGAAACGGAAACGTCCGAAAACTGTAAGTCTACGTTGATTTTGAAGAGTAACGCAAACGGAACTATATTTTACTTTGGAATTCATTATTCCACACATCTTTGATGGCATTGCTTAAAAAGCATTCGTCGCTTCTCTCTTAGGGTTTTGATTCCAAAAATAAAAACTACACACGGTTGGATTGAACATATACTTATATATATATATAATAGCTAAATCTGTGGGAAATGTGGCTCCTCAAATTAAATCCCTGTTCGATTAAGTAAGTTACTCCACACAGAGATTAAAATATATTAAAGAAAATGCTGTTGACGCCGCGAGTGACTTTATATATCGGTAACAGATTAAGAAAGATAAGGTAGGCCGTGCGAGACGGTGGCAGGTGGAGAATTTATAGTGACATCGAAACCGGATGCTCCGAAGACGATCTCGCTCGTAGGAGCCTACACCACGGGCTGGACGAGTCGCTCGGAACCGAGAAAAGTAGACTCCCGTTATAAGATTCGACGGTTCGGTTTGGAGTCGTTTTGCCATAAATTCTTTATCTTTTATCTATACGAATATTATGGGAGCCCTTTCCTACATAACTTATATAATTGATAATAATTTCGTTATTATTCGAACGAAACGTCATTTTGCTATCGCGAGAAAGACAATGGGAATGGAAATATGTTAATGTCATCCGAGATCGTCGCGCACGCAACCGTCGCAACATCCACCCTAGACCGATACCCAGAACAATACCGATAGCAACATTTTTTTCTATCGCGTACCTTTATTCAAGTGCTCGTTACATCTATCTTTGGCACTAAACCTGTCGTACGTGTAATATCATTTTTGTGATAGGACAACACGCGACGACCACGACGACGACGACGACGCCTCGGATTCTGAAGCCATTTCTTCAGTCGAGTGAACTTCGTCTTTGATAAAGCTGAAATAAAAATCTGTTTGCAGATCAGTGATCCCTGTGCTTTTGTCTATCGGCGCGGCCGCGGTGGCGCAAGAGTATACGGATAGCCCCATCGCCGAAGAGACGACACGACTGACGACGGACGCCGGCTCGGAAGCCAGGAAACCGATCGAGAGGTCTCCGTTCAGCGTGGCCGGAGTCACCTTCGACTATGTCACGACGACCGTCGACGAATCGGCGACGAGCGCGGCTTCGCCCCAATCGGATAGACCGACGCGCACGACGGAAAGAGTGCCCGCAACAAAACCGTCGTTCGTCAAACCGAAACCGAAGTTGGCTTCGAAGCTGCATTACTTCGGCAAAGAGAGCGCTTTCGGCGGCTTCGCGAGGAATGCGGTGGAGCGCGCGGCCAAGAGGAGGTTCAAGAGTCGATGCCGGTGCGAGAAGATCTGGAATTGCCCCAAACTGCAGATAACGGTCCCGCGCTGTCCCGACGAGTACTTCTTGTGCTGCTTCTGATGCCGCCATACAATTGACGTTGTATAACTTTTGTAAGAAATATTCCCACCGCTCGTGTCAATCCTAGTTCAGTGTACGTAACGATTTATTGCGAGTCATCGACCCGCAGTGAACTCGAAGATTATATATTATATGCAATAAATTTGTGAGATGATAGTGGACTCGGTTTTATTTGTTCTTTAGATTTCGATAAACAAACCGCTCAGAAGAATTCAAAAATAATTTAATCATTTTCTTTACTCGTTCAGTACACAAAATATACATTAGATACAATTTATTAAACGTTAACCTTAAAATATTGAACACTCTTTAAGATGTCTCGACAATGACAATGCGTTCAATCGAGTTCATCGATCGGACCTCGAACCGGACGAAACGGACAAAAATCTCTCTTCACACTCTTTAGAGTAACATTGGCACGTAGGAATAGGCAGAGACTTCAGTTTACATATATTAAGCTTACACTAGTTACGACAAAATTATATTTAGGAAAAAATAGTTTCGAACAAAGATAGCAGTCTTAGAATGAGTATATCCGTTTCCATCTTACTCTTCCTTCGGCGAGGGCGTCGGCGAGTCGGCTCCCGTCGGCTCTCAATCCGGGAACAACAGATTCCCGTCGCGACCGCAGCGTTCCTGCACAACAAATGGCGATCAGGATCGTTAGGACGCCGTGCTCGGCGGGCCCCATTTCGCAGGGTGAGAAGAGTGAATCACCTGATGCTCGTTGATAAGGTAGATCGGCAGCGACTCTGCACAGAACTCGCACGGTATGACGGCTTCGAGGGGCGGCGAGCGAGTACGACCGCTTCGCCCCGCACCCTCCGGCACTGGGCGCACGCGGGCCAGGTCCGGCCGGCACCCCGTCTGGAAGGCAATGTGAACGCCGCTCGTTAATCCGCCTACATCGCGCGCGTCGAGGGGCCTACTACGGTACCTGGTGCTGGACCAGCAGGTCGGCGGGGACGGGAGCGCCGCAGAACTCGCAAGGCAGCCGCACTTCGTCCTCCGGCGATGGACTATTGCGGCTGAGAACGAATAATCGATATGAAAGACAGAAACGAATGCGTTAGTAATTTCCGAGATAATATCAAAAATGAGCGGTGAAGGAAAAACAAACTTACTTTTGATTCAGATCCACGTTAGGGTTAGCGTTGTACGGAGCAGTGACCTGCGAACGACATCTTCATCAATATCTACTGAACGAGTGTTTGTCATTTTTTTATAAATCGAGCAGAAAACAAATGCTTTGCGAGGCTAATCAAATGAGCGCTCAGACCTCGTTCAATCCTCTCCGGAGTTCCCTCAAGGAGGACTTGATCTGGACGAATCGGTCGCGTGGTCGACCCCCGGCCCCCTCCCCCTCCCTCAGCCGCAACTCGTTAAACCGCTCCGCGAACTCTTCCTGGCTCATGGGCGTCAGGTTTCTTAATTCGTCACGCCCTCCGGGGACTTCCGAGGGTCGTCCGCGTCGCCTCTCCGCAGCCAAGTTGTTCGCGGATTCTGGAATTGACGAGCGGGCATTATCGTTTATCATATGATGTACAAATAAAGAGTTGGTCAGCATCGAAACGGTTCTTTTTAACATTAGTCGTCTTGTCGAATACCTCCAAACAAAGCAAACAAAGAAATCTACTGACAAAACGCCTCCTACCCAGTCCGATTCCGTTCGTGTCTGCTCCCAGCATCTGTCCCGCGGACACTTCGGGCGTCATCCACACCCGTCCTTTCAACTTGTTCTTGTAGCTCTGGTCTTCGGCGTCTCTGTTGTGAAGCGCGTCCATTTTTCTTAGTTTTTCTAATTTCTCTAGGGGGCTAAGGACGGGGGGCAGACCTGCAAATGTTCCATAATATCATATCTCATGCACAAATGAAATAGAGGCGCCCGCTTCACATAATGCGGTCTGCCCTGTCAGGGCAACGGCACACACCTAAAACGCTCTCGGCAGTAGCGTTAAAGGTTGAACGGTCTGGACATCTCTAACTACACTGGGTTAGGGATATGACATATTACTATTATTATTATGTCCCCACAAATTATATAGATCCTGGAGGTGATGCCTCACCGCAGGCCAAGTTCAGTTTGTTTTGGTCACGGCGCTCCTGCTCTTCTTTCTGTCGCCTTTGCAGAACCTTTTCGTACGCCACCTCCCTCTTAGGATCCCGAGGGGGCTGTACTGGAGGTTTAGGAGCTGGCCGTTTTTTGATAGCCCCGCGAGATAATGACCTACAATAGAAGGTTCTCGGATTAAATCACGTTGTCCTAGTATTATGAGGAAGAATGATGTCCAATTCGACCATACATCTTTGTGCCTTGCCTGCCTTTTTACTTTACTTTAAATTATAATAACAGTTAAACAGATGTTTGTTTTAGAATAAAGCTTAAGTAATTATTGATGCGGCCAATACTTACATATTTTTAATTTTGTCAGGTGGTGCACTGATCGTGTTGATCTGAGGCTGGTCATTGGTCCTTTTGGGTTTAGGCACTGCCCCATTTATGGAGCCAGAGGCCCTCGGTTCGGCGGTGTCCTTCAAAGTATTTACTAAAGAATTCATATCATTGATGTCCGCTGGAGTACTGGGTGGGAACATAAGCTCAAATGGATTCTGATTTCGGCTGGCCGTATTCTGTCTTTTTTCCCCACTCGTATACTTAGGCCAATCGTTGATTATCGTTTTCGGGGTGTCTTTACGGAAAGGCGGTGGATCTATAATTTTACACTACGTTCATGTTATATGACCTCGATTATTTTGATCTTTGAAGACCATAAAAATCTTTCAACATTCACAAACAGTAATACAATTACGCTCACCGTCGTCCAAGCGAATAAATCCGTGATTAGATTCCGTGTGTAGTCGACGGTATTTCAGCATCACCCACTCTCCACACTCCTCGCATTGCTCGGTCCTGGCACCGCAGTATCGCTCGTGGGCAGGCAGTTCACCGCGGCGGACATCTAAGTTGCAGTATCTGCAATTCATATTCACATTGAAACACACTTACAACATTACTGGACCGATGCGAGGGTAGATAACTAAACAATACCTGCAGGTCTTCATAGTGTGAGCACAGGAATCTCGGACGTGATCCTCCAGGTCTGTGCCGCACACACTTTCGCCGCACTGCTTACAGGGTGCTGTTAAAAGTGCGTTGTGTACTTAAAATGTATATCATATTTTAAGTACAGCTAAACTTTTATTATATTAAGAGTAAGTTATTTTTGTAATGTGCTTTTAATAACTAATTCCATCTACTAAATATGAAAGTCATCAATAGATTAAAAAAAAATAAACACTCAACAAATAAGGTTAAATCATTAAATACTGTCTATAGTTTACGCGAGTAGTACACATTTAAATAAAACACTTTAACGGTTTAAAACGCGATATATTAGTTAAACTTATTTGAAAATGATTTTTAACTTCGGCCCGACGTTTCGGATGCTATGCAGCCTTTGTTTTATGCCTTTGATTTGGGCACTGGTAGCAAATGTTCATTTAGTGTTTTAAGTTTTTAACTAGTTTAAAGGTCAAAAGTATACCTAGCTACCTACATGAATAATTGATTTTAGATTTGATGTAATGTATATTTAATAATTAGCGGCAGTTCTCAAATTTGCAAAAGTATAAAAAATAAACATACACAATTTGTGCATCTTGTCATGATGATCCTGTAGCTCTGCTTGCAGTATAGGCTCTTTGCACACTGGACACATGCAGATGTTCCTCGTGCAGTACACCCTATGGATAGTAAAATTCACCACAGGGATTTCTCGCTTGCTGTGAAATAAGAATTCAAATCAGTCCAACTAAATTTGAGGGAAAAATACAGGTGCTATATTAGGTTATGCTATAGCTTATACAATTTACATAGAAAATCTGTTATATCGATAAATACAGAATAAAATTTAAATCCTAAGGGATAAATTATAAGCCTACTTAATAATGAATTGAATTTAATATTTACCAGCAATTGAAATGAATATTTTAAAATATATGAACATTCAACAAGAGGTATCTATTTAAAAGGTAAACAATCGCGTAAACGAACACGCAAGACTCGCTCCAATTATCCTAAAATAAAGTACTACGTATGAGGACTAAAATAGATTTGATATTGACAGAAGCATTAAGCCCTTTTGTGATCTCACTTACCAGTTGCCGCACGTCTTGATCTCGTCCCCGTCCATTATTCACGGGGGGGGATTATACCGAGAGAAAAATTCGTCAACTGGAAACTCAAGACCAAACATGCGACATTCTACAACCAGCATCTAGTGCATGTTATCGATGAAGTCTTTTGTAAGCATGTGTGCAGTGATATGTATTAAAAACTAAAGCTAACTAGCGATTAAATTTCACACGATCTTTATGTGCAAAATTATACTTTCCCGTTATTCCCATAATTCATGGAACTTATAACGGAGTTGTTTATGACAGGAGCTACTAACGAGTAAACAGCTGTTCGAATTCTCTAAGTCTCCACAGACGAAGATTATTATCAGTGTTGCCACTATACAGTTTTCTGTATAGTCTTTCTTTAGTTTTAGTCCGTAACTTCACGATTTACGGATATAAAATCTGTGTGAAGTTACTTTTTAACATAAGAAATCTCCATAATTGATATAAAAAATGTTTTAAAATACTTGACAAGATAAGTAAGAAATGTATATGACGGAGATGCAAAAAAATTCGCGGTCGTCGTTGTGCTCCGACATATTTTTAGTGCGCAAAACCGGCGTAGGTGACATTTCTGTACAAGTGAAACGAGAGCTCATTGATCTTCCCCGCGGTCGCTGTAACTCATTCGGCACTTGTCGTGCTTGCGAAGGGGTTCGCGACCCGTGGATGTGTGTCCCCGTCTGTCTTTGCTGACCGCTTCAACTGTGGTCGTTTGGTGCGAGTACTCGCAACGCACGCAAGTTGGCGGGCTGGCTTACTGCACTGCTCGTGCGGCATCACTGCGCCCGGCGTAAATGGTCCCGTTTCAATCATAAAGAGGGGCAGGCGTGCCGCGAAGTGTGGACCTAAGGGTCTTCTTCAGCAAATCTGCTCATAGTCTTACAATTGAAAGGCTGCAAACAGCCGCCCACTCCGTCGGGAGCCCCGTGCATGAACCTTTTTCCGCACAACTGCCTATGACATATCACAGTGACTTGATTTGACAGATTGTCAATTTTGACAGTTAAACGTGACTGCAACAGAGAGACTAATTTCATTGTCGCGGTAAAATACAAAATATTGAAACAATAATTCTCCGACATATATTTATTTATTTTTATTCACACAAACACAAAAATAACAACTAATTGAACAAAAAAAAAACAAAAGGAAATGCTTATTACTAAAAGAAATCACTTTTCAAAATAGGTGCGTACCAACCCAAAAATCCTACTTGTTAATACATATAACAAAATAAGAACTACGTTTACTTATACGGGGGGTTTCTCGATTAATAAATCGAACCTGACACGGTTTGATTCATAATCGGGCCATCTTCCAGAAAAACAAAGCAGATATTCATTTATCGGGGCATTTGCTGACGGTTAGGGGGGCTGCCAACATTTATTAAAAACCAATCACACACCCCTACAGAATAACAATTCCAACATGATAGTGAGTTACTCTAGTAGTTATTAATCATTAATAGCACTTCATAGTCATTAAATTCTTTATCAGTGATATTTCATGCAGAATGTCACTGTCTTACTCCTCAAATTAACCAAATCTGGTGACAAATGAATAAACGATTAGTAACGCGATATATATTAGTTTAACTTATTAGAAAATTATTTTTAACATCGGCCCGACGTTTTGGATGCTAAAGTTACACCGTTAAAGTGTTTTATTTCAATGTGTACTATTCGTGTACTACACACAGTATTTAATGGAGATATATTCTTCATAGATTTCATGGGTACCTTAATATGTAGTTCGCGTCAAGCAAAAGCTTACATTTCGGTAAAGGTAATATTTCAATCTAAAACATTCCTGCATAAAAATGGGTAAGTATGTATGTAATCAGCTGTGTGTTATTAGGCCACACTAGTGATTAAACAATTTTCAGTGAACACAAGTAGCCTAAACAAAAAAATGATAAATATGAATAATAAAGTGGGTGATAGAAATATCGGAATTCCGCCCTGTTCCCAAGCCACCGTCCAGAAAGGAAAAAGCTGTGAAGTTTCAGTTTGTCGATCTCCAAATATACAAAGCAGACATAGGTTAATAGCGTCTCTCGTTCTATGCCTATCTATCTATAATATTATGTGCCTGAGGTATTCCAGCGTTGCATCGAATCGCATTGCAACCCCATGCTTGTCTGTGCTCCTGTATCTTAAAAAAACTTTCAACAGAAGCAAGTATACTTAACCTCAATTTTCTCTGTAATAGTAAAGTTCTAAGGACTTTGTCGAGAATATGGAGTCTACGGAATCGTCTATGAGTTTCCGAATTATTTCAAACTTATTTAGGGCGATACGGTTACAAGGGTTCACGATCTCTGGCTCTGTAAGGTAGTAAAAGTAAAAGTCGTGCTGGTCACTAGTCTTAAGTTAGAGTTTACTGCTTTTTAATAAATTACCAGCTATATCACACATTCCTCGCAAGTGAAGTTTAAGGAAATAATGCTTAACTCAAACGACTTAACGAGCTCTTTAATGGCTTCTGTAGCTTTTACAAATTACAGTCAGCTTGCTGCTGTTGCTGCTACAGCAAGTCGAACAGAATGGCCGCGACCGCCTTATAGTATATACAATTGATATCTAATTGATTCATTTTAAATTTAGATTACTAAATAACTATTATTTGGCCACAAATAAACAAGGTATAGGATGCGTATTTTACAAATGCATAAGTAATCATCTGAAACAAATCAAAGCGAAGGTGAGATAAATATTCACGACGTAAGTACGCCAGTTTGGTGGTCGAGTATGACACCGTAACAATTCCATTAGTTCACGTATTTCGATCAGAACTGTCCTCTCTGAAACCCTAAGCCGACACCGCGCATGGTGTGCGTGGTAGCCCGCGCCACTTCGTACTGAGCTTGCATCGCTTGGAACAGCTCCTCTTGCTTCTTGTTGGGGTCTGCGCCTTCGGCCACTTCGCTTTTTACAGCAGCTGGAACATGAGATGACACACTCAGTGCCGATCCCGTCGATCGATTGCACGAGAACAAGAGAGCCCAGGGATTGGACTATTTGACTGTTTTTTAAAAGGTATTTCACTCCATATTTTTGAAAATTTCAAAATAAAAATTCTACATTTAAATTACACGTCTAAACGCTATAGTATAGGCTATCGCTGCGATGGGCTGGGGCTCGGGGCGAACAGATTTTTGTGTCTGTATCATTGATCCGTTCTTTTAACGGCAAGTGGTCGGAGAGACTTCTGTGCCCTGACGGAAACAGTCTTTTTTTGTTATACCTGGGATTCGAACCCAAGACCTCTCGCGCTCAACGCAATGCTATGCAATACGTTTAACCGTTTGGCTACAGGCGGTCGACTAGCTTTAGCCAATATATAATTATAAAGGAACCTGGGTCCTTGATGCCCATGAGCCGCATGAACTTGGAAACCTGTTTCCCATCATTGTCCTGAGAGAATCGGGCTCCGCTCCATTTGGCCGCCTCCTCTTCGGCGTTTTTCGTCTTGTTCGACCAGAGGAGTTTTCGTTTCTGCACCTGCAAAGTGCATACTTCAAATTCTTTGCGTACACGCGATATACCATATAATAAGACATCATGCTGTTCATCGAAATATCACTTCCTCTCGACCTGGAGTCTCTAGTAGAGGGCACAGTTCCCTTTGGTTTACATACAAAGGAGCGTGTAAAGAAAAAAGAGACGCACCTGGTCTAAGACCTTGCTCGCGTGGTTCGAGCCAGGGTTACAGTAATTCGGGAGTCCTGAAGGATTATCTCCGGCGGCCGCTCTCAGCTGTTGGGCGGTCGTCATCGATCCGTCGGGAGTTTTTATTTGTAAACCTAAATTAAATAATATTATTGACATATATATGAACAAAGTGCAAATGCAGCTTAGCGCTACAATCTTGTTAACTCTATGTCTAAATACCGTTATTTAAGTATTGAAAATCTCACCCATTTTTTCCATTACTTCTAGCTTCTTGTTGACTTTGTAAGATGAAGGCCTGTAGTCGCCAGATGGGGATCTTCTGTCGTTGGAGCTGAAATATGGGAAACGATCGACGCTGTTAAAGCAGGTAAACATTTTTAAGAGAAATATCAAACTCAATTTTTCATATACTCTTCTGAATGAGATGAGATGGATACTCACAACGAGTGTGGAGGAGGGTAGGCGTGGCCTCGCGATCGTGATCTTTCGCGACCTCTATCCCGACCGGAAGATCTGTTTGTGTAAGAGACATTAAATACTACAGTAAAACGAATCGTTAAAAAGTGTCCATATAAAAAATACCGTCTATCCTCCGAGCGTCGATTGTGGCGGTCATAATCGCGGTCGCGAGCGCGACCAGGTTCACGACCCTGGTCATGGTCTCGTCGGTCGCGCTCACCAAATCTAGAACACATTATATGGATAGTGAGCATTTCTATATAATTATTGGTGTCTATTTATAAATACACAAAACTATATTATATTTGTACCTCGGCGATACTGCGTCTCGAGCGTCCTGCGACGAGTGGGTCGGAGGAGCGTCGCCTCCGAAGGGTTTGAGGTCCATTAAAGCTGGCATCTATGACACACAATGGCCTTTGCAAAATTCCAACAAAAATTACAAATACAGTCAGTGGCGGCTGACCTTAAATGCGCTCGTGTGCTGAACCACCGACGACTTTACTTCATCTTTATTTTAAAATTACCATTTTAATATTTATTATATAAACGTACAAATACGTATAAAGAATTAATTTCCAATTTGTGAAACGGTTATAAAACTCGTAAGAGATACGAGGCAAAACGCCTGACGCGTGAAGCAACAGATCTCGAGCGGACCGAAGATTGCCGAGAGCACAAAAAGTGATTAAACATTTCGCTTCAGTCGTCGCATTGATTTTATATCAGAATATTTGGAAGTACCAAAGTAAGTGGTGCTGCACCACCAATTCCACAACCCACCAGCCGCCACTGAATACAGTATTATTACATGAAGGTAAAACGTAAGTGTATGCTAATGCATTTTAACTCGTTATACTATAATATCCAAAAAGTATGCATATTACTGTGTACCTTCGAATCAGTGGTCTGTTTCTCTTGTGGTCTGTCTCCGAGTAAGCCACGACGGGGAGGGTCACGAGGCCGCTCGTTGCGCTCAGATCTACAATGTATTATTAATATCAGTGATTTATTTACAAGGGAAACAAAAAATCTAAATAGGTTGGTTTATAACCAATATAGATATGTATTACTTTGAAACAATCAATCACTGTCTGCCTGTCTGTCCGGTTTTAACGCCTATACTAATGAACCGATTTAAATGAAACTTGGTACACGGATATTCTAGGGCCTGAGAAAGAACATAGGCTCATATAAACCCTATCCGCAGTAAAATCGTGTAAGCTCGAAAGCATAAAGAAAGACGGGATACTGATAGCGATCCCAAAGAAATCCTCATGGAAATGATGAAAGTCCATTTCCCGGATTGCGAAGAACACATAGGAGATGATAGCGATAATAGAATCCACATTGGGGAAAGGCAGAAGTGGAGAATAGACGCGGAAAATGTGGGCACAATATGCTACACAGTTGGTTCCAGGAAAGAAACGACAAAGCTCTCTGGGTCAGGCATATACATTATATATATGCGAGGACGGAACAGAGATCACTAGATCAATCCTTCTGGGGAAACTTGTCAGCGTATTCCAGGCGGAGATATTCGCCATTATGGAATGTGCAGAGATTGCCAGGCCCTTAAGACCCCCATCACGTGTAACAATTTACAGTGACAGTCAGACGGCACTTAAAGCGCTATGCAAAGAAGAGACAACATCCGCTATTGTCAGGAAAGTAAGGAAGCACTGCACAAACTAACTGATCAGGTAGAAGTGGCAAATGCCTGGGTCCCCGGACACCAAGGAAATATTGGCAATGAGAGAGCGGATGAACTCGCTCGCAAAGGAGCCGATGAAAGACTTCCGATAGCACATAAAGTAACCAAGGAAATAAGCGCAAAATCATAGAAGAAACAAACCAAAGATGGAAATCTTCAACTGGAATGAGACAGTCGAAAATGTTCATACTTAGCCTAAATAAAAAGAAGACCAAAAACCTGATGAGACTAACGAGAGCGAATATCCGGCTCATCGTAGAAATCATAACAGACAGACATTGCCGTCTAAACAGACATCCTACAATGATAGGAATAGGCAGCGACCCAGACAGAGTAGGAGTGATGTGAGGTGAGAGTGGAAGTGTTACGGCAAAGTGGCACTTACCACATAGATTGGCTGCCCTTTTATAAATAAATATTCAACGCGGACGAAGTGGCGGGCACAGCTAGTAATCAATAAATAAATATATAAATAAAAGATACCTGTATCTATCATCTCTCCGTTCTCTATCGAAGCGGCCCGGGTCCCTCCTCGGTGAGGCTCGTCGCTTGTCCCGCCTGTCTTCGCGGTCACGGCACCGATCGCGCTCACGGGGGCACTCGCCCGCGCGTGTTTCACCTGGAAGAGTGACTCATCAATGAATGGACCGCAATCCAAATCTCAAACTATAGTCTAAACTTAAATCCGTTATCTCACCCGAACTGTGCCTATCTTCTTTATATGAGCGATGCGAGTGACCCGGCTCGACCTGCGGCAACTCTGGCTCCGACTCGACGTCCTGAGAGTCCTGCGGCAAACGTTCACTTTTACATCCTTTCAAACCTTTTTTTTCATATAGTAGAAGTCAATAAGGGTAGTGCACTAGATAAGGTAGAAAACATTAGAATGTATTTTCAACACCTTATCATATTGACATCTCAGAAATAGATCTACTATAGTACTAAAATAGTATTGATAGATACCATTTTAGTACCAGCCACACCCATGGTCTCTCGAAATTCAGAATGCCCACCATACAAGTGCCCACGGCTGCTATATAGCAACCGAAGCCTAAGGCCGTACTTACAGATTAATGAATAGTTTCGCGTTTAAGATGACTCTGAATAACCTTTAATAGATAACAATTGTTTTACCTTTTCACCGAGTTAAATGAACTTGTCTTTTCTTAACACTACATACTCACATGGTGAAGCCATAAGCGGTAAGCCCGGGAGACATCTCGTAGCACCACACTTCGTATTTGACATTTGTTTTGGTCAATTTACAAATGGGTACCATATAAAATAATAAAAGTGTTAATATCATCCATAAAAAGAATTTTACTGTCGATGATAGATGCACAACAGAGACACAATGGTAATTGAGATTACGTGCTATTCCATATTATTGTTTTCGGTGGACATGAGATAATTTCATCTTTGCAAGTAAAACTTAAATTACTAAAGTACATACATTACATGTTGTTGACTTGCTTATAAGAGTATGCTAATCTACAATTCTATATTTTTCAAAGGTCTAATGAAATACAACAATATACATTATAAAGCTGAAGTACCATCGTAGCATCGTATCTGTATATTTTTACATCTATGTATAAACTTAAAAGTGGGTACTAACCTCACTCAGATCCATATTGACTTGTTCGTAGTTAGTGTCATCTTCTCTTCTTCGAATGCTCCCCACCTACAATTTTACTCTATTGTCAAGCAGAGAAGAATATTAATATCACGTCTTTAGGCTTACTAACGAGTAATTTTTTTTAAAGTGAAAAATAATGTAATATTTACGATACTCGTGTCTATAGCAAATTTATGTTAAGCTCGTCAAGTGAAGGTGGATTTAGTAGTGTACTAATATACCTACAATAATTTCCTCTTAGGCAGTTTCGAACGAACAGAATTGAAAACTAAAATGCTAGCTGCTTATGTCTTTATAAGTCCATTTAAATACGCAATCGAAATAAAATATGAAGGCCACTTACCGAAGCTTGGTATCCGTATCGCTCAGGTTCAGTATCGTCGTCGCTTCCGTATCCAACAAGGGAATCCATTTTAAAAGCGATTGTCACAAGTATACAGCAGGATTGTTTCACCACAATATCAAGATATAATATGTAATGTATGTACGTAAATATAGATAATCTCTTAAGACTTAAATATATTATTCTACTCTACGAGAAAACAACAATGCCAAAAGTAGATAGCAACATAAAGAGAATCCACAGATCCAGAATCAATTTCATCTATAGATATAATATATAGTAAAAATTAACCGGAACCACAGCCGCATTTGATATATGTCATAGATTATAGAAATTCTGACTTAGCAGAAAGTAGTTCGTGGTAGTCTGTGGATTATTTTATTGTATATTCTTCGCCCTCCCCTCTCTTCTTTGGGATATTTTACTAGGTCTGTGTTATTTGTTTGGTTCTTTGATAAATTCGTATTTTTTTTACTAGTTTATGTTAAATATATTTAGATTTTGAGAATTCTGTCTTGAAAGATGTACTTAAATTTGTTATTATATATAAAAAAGTTAAAAGTACATTTGTTTTAAACTTTAGTGTGTATAAAATATTCAGGGTTCGAAGGGAACAAGTCGACTAGGATCAAATTTAGCCATGGAGAAAAATGGAGACTGTAAAAAGTGTAAGGCAGCCGAGCGATTTAGAGTACGAGTGTGTTTGAGGCAAATGTACGGAACCGCAGACATGCGCTCTCAATGCCTGTTGCTGGTGGACCCGGAACAGGCAGTCGAGTGGTTGGAGCACCGCTTGCGTGCATTGTTCACCCTATCCGGCTCGTTTTATCTACGCTCAAGTGGCTATCTGCTGCCTAGTTGCGAGTCTTTGCAAATACTCAATCCTAATGACTCTGTCGAGTGAGCTCACAACTATAATATCATCTAAGATATACTCATATACAAATTTGATTAACTTTTGTTCTCTAACTTTAGTAGTCTCGATAGCAGTAATATTTTTATTTTTCAATTCATTGGATTTTTTTTAACAAAAATATAACAATTATGTATCAATTTTGTTTCAGGGTTGTCCCAGTGAAGGAAGAAATCTTAGACAATCAGGTATTATTCTTTGTAATCTTATACATATCATTTTTAAAATATATATGTACGATATGTGTGATATCTTTATTTATTTGTAGGCAAATTTATCACAAGATATGACTGATCGAAATGGACATGAAGTGCATTGGAATCCAAGCAGAAATATGTGTCATAACGAGGGGAGTGAAGGGAAGATAGTGCAAAAAGAGAGCCAATTGGATGCTTCTAAAAGAAAAGCTTTAGCTCTGCTTAAAGAGAAATTTTCTGGTTTTAGTGGTGATGAGCACCGGGATGGTAATGTGTTGTCAGGTGATAGTTATTCAGTTATTGGTGAACCAAAGAAGAAAAGAAAGAGGGTACGGCATCGAAGACCAAAAGAAAATCAGAAACAAATCGACGACATACTAAATAATGGTGTGGCAATTATGCCTACCACACGCCCTCCTCGCCTTGTTCATTCCGTGTAGTCAAACTTATATATTTTAATTATATAATATAAGTACATATATGACAACCTTTATTCTTAACTGAAGATTGTTTGTCGTTGCATCTTATTTGAAGCAGCTCTTCCTTATAAAATTAAACAGAAAATTTTGTGTCACTTAAGTAAAATGCAGAGAAAAAGCCTCAACTATCAACTTCAGACAGACGCATTCAAATTTTTTCATAGCAATTCTTTAAATGGTTACATTAGGTATTATACTATTTACAAAGGGAAAATGGTTTTTGTGTTTGTTAATGACAGAGGACAGAAAAGCTTGGGATTGCTGTTGGGGTACAACAAGCATGTATGGTAAAATACCCCCAGCATGTAAAGATATCTCTGTGACGGTGATTTGGGCCCGGACCGAATTTCGATGTTCCTTCTTCCTACGATGGCGGAATGCAATCAGTAAATAGAGGTTTTAAACTTATTGATTTTAAAGTCTACAATAATAGAATTATTTGGGAAATAACGGACATAAAAGTAGCTGCTCTTGAGTTCTATTATTATTTATGTTGACGGCCAGAAATTTTTCGGTAGGTTGAAGAAAGATTCTAAAATATGCAAAATAAAATAAATTCTACCTTTTATTTTGTGTCATCGATTCATACTAACTCATAAAAAGAAAAAAGGCATAAATCGTTAAGTAACGAAAACGATTTGCAATTAGGAATTTGCAGAGTTGTACAAAAATTGACTATGTCTGGCTGCGAATATTCAAATTCTGACAGTGTAAGTGGCTTCGAGGTGTGCACAAGAGGAGTACGATCACGTGACATCCAGGACGAATGAACTTTTCCGTCAACCATTGTTCATACAAAACCTCATCTTGTCCATCACGAATATAATTGAAAAATCGAAAATAAATTGAAAAAAATTCGACTCGGGCAGGATTTGAACCGGCCTCATCAGCGTTCCGTGCTGTTGCTCTACCAATTGAGCTACCGAGTCTTAAGTCATCGTCGAATTTTTTCAATTTATTGATACATGCACCTCTCACGCAATGTAATTTTAACCTTAACATTTGCGTATGAAGGTTGAACGTCTTGTGCTTTGCAACTTAAGAAAACATCGAAAATAAAAATACAAAGTTATAGCATTTGAAAACTTTATTATTTTTTTATTAGTTATTGCACATGAAGGCAATATACACAAGGTTATTCTTTGTTGATACTAAAGCTGAAACACGACAAACGTCTCTTTAGGATAACGAATAATAAAAAATCTAAATTAAAAAACTTATAAGCAACAGCTTCTCAAAGCAAATTCGATTACTGTATGCACGGTTGGAATATATTTTTAACAGGCGCTATAATTTCTAAACCAAAATAGTTCATAGATTGTGTTTAGGTGTCAAAAGTGTTATATTAAATTAAACTTTGTAAAACTGTCAATCTATTTTATGTGGCTTCGTTCTCTAGAACTTTAAGTTAAATTAAGGCTTTCCTTTCATTTTCACTACAAAGCAAATTCAATTACATGCACTTTTGCTATATATTTTTATCAGGCGCTATAAATTCTGAAGAACAAAAATAGTTCAAAGATTGTGTTTAGCTGTCAAAAGTGTTATATTAAATTAAACTTTCTAAAACAGCTAATCTAATTTATGACTCTAACCTGTGCCAAGTTAAACATCACCTCTGTATATTTTGCAACATAAAATAATAATAGTGTTTTAAAAACAGTTGAAACGAATAAAACTAAATAATTAATAAATAAAACAAAAAATATTTTTTATTATTATTGTAAGAGGTTTTTCAGAGAATAATAACTCACTCCTAGTGTTAATATATTTATTAACAGTTATTATATGTTTACAAAGTATTATCGTTATATTAGGATATACTATTGAATCGTCGGGTGGACGCGTGGCATCGCAGCCCTTTATTCACCTAGCTAATACTTTAACTTGACGACGCGTGGCATCGGTCAAGCAAAGCCTTTACTTTAATATCTTTGAGCAGACTGCCGGAGGCTATCGTACTCGAAGACACCTAGCGAGCTAATGCCTTCAGCACCGTGTGTTTCTCCTGGTCGCGACGCAGTCGCGACCTCCTTGATCGGCCCGTTTGGGCCCTGCAAGGGGTGTTCTATCGCGCCCTGCGAATACAGGGCGGTCCCTTGGGTCGTTGTCGATGGTTTGGGAACGCCTCCGCGTCTCGCGGCAAGCCAGCGGATATAGATGCGGGTCGGCGTTCGTGGTTGTAAGAAAGTTGGTCGCCGGCGGGATCTAGTCACGCGCACCGGCGTCCGGGGTGCACCGCGGGTAACACGCGGTTGCAGGCGATCGGGGACACGGGCGGGATAAAGTCGCGCGCACCCGTGTCCTGTGCTTCTCCTTCTGCATCGAGGCCGCGTCGGGGTAGAGCCGCATGGCGGTAGCCGGGCCGGGCCAAAGGGGCCTGTGGGCCTGAGGGGCAGCCGGGACGGGCCCTGGACGAGGGGGCGGTCGACCGGCGCTCAACCAGCAGGGCACGGCGCGACCAGTGGGGGGCATCGCAGCTACTTCGGAACATGCGGGGCTTCCTTCAGCGACCGGGGAGGGGCGGTCAAGTCGCAACTCCCGGCTTAGCTCGGGAGCGGTGGCCGCCTCCTGTGAATCTTCTCCTGTCTGCATCAGTGGCCGCTTCGGGGAGCGCGGCGAATGCGGGGCTTCCGTCGGCAGCCGGGTAAAGGTCTTCGTTGGGTGTGTGGATGTCCTAATATGCTTCGGGTTGCTAGTGGAATCGATAAACGTCCCATTAGCAACCGGGAATGGATCCTCTTCGTCGGCGAAAATAAGTTGCGCCGAGTGGGGTTCTCCAGTCGCCTTGTTAGCTTCATTGAGGGGGAGGGGCGCGGGGGGGAGGGCGCATTACTCCGCGCGCGGCACAGACCCACCGGGTGAGACCCTCGGTAATCCCGAGGGAAGCCCAGCGAGGCATAGCCAGCGGCTGTATCGCTTTGAGAATGCGCCCGTAGGAATGCCGCGCCCCGGAGTCCTGTTCGGTGGTGGTTTGCGATACATCGCGGCCGCAGCCTCAGACAGCGGCCCGCCGATGTATCCGCGCACTTGATGCGCTCGTTCGTCCAGGTGTCTGCGGTGTGGTGGTACGCAACGTAAACGTAAACGTAACGGGAAGCGTTGCGGTCAGGATGTCGTGCTCGGTAAGGCGCGCGATACTCGCGCTTAGCCGAAGCACAGAGGGCCTACAGGCACTGCCCTAGCCATCGAGCCCGTTCCGGACCCCTAGCCAGTCCGCAAGCGAACCAGCTAGTGGCGATCGGTTCGGGAACGACGGCGGCGGCTACTGGATGTAAGTCTCCATGCTTCGGCCAAGCGGATCTTTTTCACAAAAAAGACGGCTTAGCACAGCGGAGGGCACGTGTGCTCGCGGCTGCAGGTAGCCCTGCCTTCAGCAATCGGCGAAGGGTGCTTATATACTAGTTGAAGGCGCTTATGTGTGCGTTACTCTAATACGCGACGATCCACGAGTGTTGTAGTTATGTGCAGGAGTACTGGGCGTTACATCATTTATTTATTATTATTATTTATTATTTATTAGTTAAAAATATTTCATAGATTGTGTTTAGTTGTCATAAGTGTTTTACTAAGCAGAACTTTCTAAAACAGCTAAGTTTTTTTATGTACACTTAGTAGGTACAAGTTATGATTTATAATATATATATAGATATCTTCAAATAAGAAGTTATATGAACGTTTTAAATCAGAGACGTTTAAATATATTTTGAATACCTGTGATTGATGCATGTTAGTATGTTAAGGTTGAGTTAATCCAAGACAACTTTTTAAGTTTTAAAAAAAGGTAAGTACTTAGTGGGGTTGCCTTGCCGTGGTATTGATGTAACTGATTGGCCCACGACCATGGGGCTGCTCTTTTTTGTTTTATTTTCTTGAGTTTTCTCGGCAGATATTAAGAGATTCTCTTATTACCAGTGTTCTTGTTTCTCTCTGTGTTTTAATTAAATTGTTTATTGATAAATTCTAGCATTTTATTTTCTAAGTTTAAACATGATGAAGACTCCATCTCTTCAGTACCGATAAAAACACAATATTTCACTGCCTCGCTTGTTTCCCCAAAAAGTAAAGACGTTTCTTCTGATTTTCTACTTTTGTTTGGAGATTTTCATGCTTTGCTAGTAACGTCCTCTATGGGCCAATCTTGAGCTTATAACATACACGTAGTCTCCATCTCTATCTATTGGTATCGACTGCTTGGAACGTAGTATAGACAAATTTCTAGAGATGGCGATAATTTCAATGTTCTTTATATTGAGGTATTCGAAATATTTTATTGACAGAAGGAAAAAACAAAGAACTGCATGACACAAAAAAATAAAAAGAAAACGTATAGGAGAAGCTAGGACCAAAGAGTTTGTTGAAACTTTTCTAACATTTTAAAGCTCTTTCTTTAAATGTCTTCTTATTCTCGTCGATACACCACAAGATTCACTAATATTCGCACAATGTCACTTTCTATAAGTATTTAATCGATTGATCGCCACTTGTCATAACAACAGATAAAAACTGATAACTTCCTATTGATGTTCTTGATCGTGTTTGACCACAAGTGCCTTTGGTTGATGTGTACTACCCGTATTGTTGGTATCGGAGAAGAAAAAGGTTTATAGCAAGACAAAAAGTTTGGACTTAAATTATCTTGGCGTTCGAGTGAAATCCGCAAAAAATCACTAAAGATAGTGCAAGTGTTTTGGTCAACTTTCTTAAGCAAAGTTAAAATCTAACAAAAAGTGTATAATAGCGTCATCTGGTGATTCACATTTGAATTTGAATACTTATTCCAACGACATGCCCAATCCATCAAATAAATGCACTATGTGTGCGAAGTTCTTTGCGATTGCTTCAGATGGCGTTCGAAGCAAAACTGTAATTTTCACTTGCATAAAGATTGCCCAAAAGCAGTAAGTCCAAGTTCGAAAAAATGCTGCAAGCCGTGTCTGATAGCTAGCTCGAAAAGTAATCGAGATTATTTTGCAATATATTCTTATCAGGCGCAATGATTTCTAAAGAACAAAAATCGTTTAAAAATTGTGTTTCAGCTAAACACAATTTGTTATATCAAACGAAACTTTCAAAAACAGCTAATCTTATTTATGTAGATTTGTTCCGGACAGTTCGCGTTAGGTTTAAAGCGTAGTAATATTATTGTGAACTAGCATATAAATAAATAAATATTCTTTGACTTTAGGAAAAATATGTTAGATATATAAGCACATGTGCATGGCGTCCTTTGTGTGTATAAAAACATTAACAAAACTTTGGGTCATAAATTGTAATACTAGAAAGGCCACTTGTATTGTATCCACTTTGTAAAGGGATAGTTTATTGGTTACATATATATTGTCTTAAGCGTTAACAAATGTGAGAGATCGCCGTGCCATTAGTTTAAGTAAGTTCTTTAAAATAATTAAGTGTTTGTTTTCCATGAACCCGACGCCACGGCTCATTCTGCACTCAATACCTGCATCCCATTTCTCTCTCTTATGACTGAAATGATGTTACCATAAAAGAGAGCTCTGGGAGCAGGTCAAACTAGTTCGCTTCTAACATCGACACGGCACGCATCGCGAGTACTTTGCCCATAGACGCCGTTCCTCTCACGGTTCGCGTCGCAAGTACTTCGCATTGTAGCGTGGCAATCGGTTGTCGTGGCAAAGCGACATATTCGTTAGCGGCAATGTACTGGTAGTTTTTAAACTTTTTTTTTTTAAACTTTTTTTTTTAAACTTTTATTTAAACTTACAATCAAACGGCCTTACATAGCGCTTAATTAACAATAAAACTTAAAGAATAAACGAGGCTAGGCCTTAGAGATTGCTTACATCGCTATAACGGGTTAAATTACAGAAATGAGAAGGAAAAAAAAGGAAATTAAGATATTTTTTTTTTTGTTCTTTTTTTACTTACAATTTGCTTAATACTACTTTTTTGAAAATGTTTAATCTATTCCAACAAATATCAACGTCACAAAATTTGTTGTTAAAAAGTTCGCAGGACCGCGAGAAAAACCTATGTTTGGCATAATTAGTATGACTGGTGTTAGTGGAAAAAACTAGTTTTTTGCGTGAGGAGATGCGTGGTGTGTGGAAATTAATTTTACTAAGTAATAAGATTGAGTCAATCTCGTTGTGTATGATTTTATAGAGAAAAAGTAGATCAAGGTATGCACGTCTATTTATTAAAGATAGTAAGTGATGTTTGTAAGCGCTAGTTTCATAGTCGTTAAAATAGTTACCCGTAAAGTAATCCAAAGCCTTTAGGAACTTATGCTGAATTTTTTCTATTTTATCTATATGTACAGCATACAATGGATTCCAAACAACACTTCCAAACTCTAAAATATTACGAACGTGAGAATTGTATAATATCTTTAGGGTATCAGCTTTTTTGAATGGCTTAGAGTAGCGAATAATCATTCCCAACCTTTTGAATGCTTTAGTTGTTATGTTGTCAATATGTATATTGAAGTGCATTTTGGAGTCCAGTGTCACTCCCAGGTCCTTGATATTTGTAACGCGTTCTATGGCCCTTCCGCTAAGCATATACGTATGGTCTAGAGCGTTAACCTTGCGTGTAAAGGTAATTATACGAGTTTTGTCGTGGTTTAGAACTAATTGATTACATCTACAATACTCTTCAAACTTGTATAAATCTTTTTGAAGTTCACAGCAGTCTGTGACGGATTTCACCATTTTGTAAATTTTTGTGTCATCAGCGTACAGAAGGTGACACGAGCTTTCAAAGCAGGATCCGATATCGTTGACATAAAGCGAAAATAGGAAGGGCCCGAGATGCGAACCCTGAGGAATTCCTGAAGGTATTTCTAGGAATGTAGAACAATGGCCCCGTAATGCTACAGCTTGACTACGATTAGAAATATAAGATATAAGCCATCTAAGTAGATCTCCGTGAATGCCAGACAGTGAGAGTTTTTTTATAAGTGTTAAATGATTGAGCTTGTCAAAAGCTTTCGAGAAGTCAGCATAAATTGCGTCTACTTGGTAGCCAGAATCAAGAGCCAACAGCAAATGATCGGTATATGTAACAAGATTAGAATCCATAACACTACGTCCAGGAAAGAAACCATGCTGACTGGGAGAAATATGATTACGAAAGACTATTGACAGCTGATTGGTTACAATTTTTTCCAGAATTTTACCTAACACACTTAATTTGGAGATTGGTCTATAATTAGTAATGTCGTGTTTGTTTCCCCCTTTTGGAATAGGTGTAATAAGGGCTTTTTTCCATACACTAGGAAAACAGCCTTCTGAAAGTGATTTTTTAAATATTAAAGCAATAGGAGTGGTAAGATCTTTAGCGAGCTGTGAGATGAAAAACGGAGTCAAGCCATCGGCACCGGCTCCCTTATTTACATCAAGGTGCTTGAGAAGCTTAAAAACACATTCGTTAGTTATTTCAATGGAAGAAATATCAACATTAGAAAAGGAGTTATTAAAAGAACTAAAAGAGTTATCAATTATATACGGAGAACCATCATGAACAAATACTGAATTAAAATAACTATTAAACATACTTGCAATAGAAGAACTATCCGAAGAGGCAACGTCTTTGAGATACATATGTGAAGGTATATCTATTCCCTGTTGCTTGGATTTAATAAAAGACCAGAAGAAGTTTGGGTCTGAACGTATCCTATTTTCAGTAAAAATAATGTAATTATTGTAACATTCAGTCTCCAAGTGCTTAATAGTACGGCGCAAGTCCGAAAAAGCTTGATAATCACGATTGTTTTTATATCTTTTCCATTTCGAATGTATTTTCGATTTCCTGTGCATTAACTTTATTAATGTTTTAGAATACCAAGGTGGGAAGCGACTAATTGGATGAAACGTTTTTTTAGGAACAAATCGATTTATTAAGTGATGTATTTTGTCATAAAAATAAGACGTGGCCTCTTCAGTTGTAAGTGTTGACATTTCAGACTGCCAGTGTATAGAACAAAGTGCTCTGCTTATATCCTCATACTTACCTTCGCGAAACATATACTTATATATGATATTTATAGGAATATAAGCTGGTAAGGGCATGTTTAAGTTAATCTCCAGGGCCTTGTGGTGTGAATCTTCGAATATTAAAGGCGAAGAGGCAGCCACGGTTTGACAAGACATATTACTCAATACTAAATCTAATATTCGATTATTTATATTAAAACAGCCGTTATACTGAGACAAATTAGCGAAACTCATGAAATGAGATAGTATGGTGGCTTTTGTATCATTATGAGTAATTATTTGTAAATATGCGTCGCTATGACTTTGACTCCAAGCTGCTGAGCTAATGTTAAAATCACCTGTTATTAGAAAATGATCGGAAACATTATTTATAATCAGGTCTGAGGCACTGTCGAAAAAAGTTTGTAAATGTTGCGTATGGTTGTTATTATGGGGAAAATAACAACAGGCTATATGTAGCGAGCGGGCACGGGAGCGCGCAGCAGACTGTGACGGTGCACCTACCAATTCAATGCTAACCCACAACTCCTCGGAGGTGCGCGCCGAGCGCCACTGATCCCGGCGGCGCACGCGCAGGTCTCGGCGGACAGCAATTAGTACCCCGCCGCCGCGCTCCCCACCCGCGCCCCTGTCTTGTCTGTATACATTATACCCAACATGAAAGTACTCATAATCACTGAAATCAGGAGTTAGCCATGTCTCGGATAGACAAATTATATCATAGTCAGACTGTACGACATTGGAAAGGAAAGAATGTGATTTTGTGCGCAATCCTCTAACATTCTGGTAGTAAATATTGAGATTATTTAACATGTGGTGGTCCATAATTTATGAATATTTTGTATTGTAAAAGAAAGTAATATAAATAAATAATTCTTATGATAAGATTTTTGGTTAATGAAAATAATAGAGAACTTTTGTGACGTTGATTTACAAAAAGGGTGA